TTTTGTTAACCATGACAACTGGCTTGATTTTCTCTTGCATAGCTTGTCTCAACACTGTTTCGGTTTAGACACAAACACCTTCAACACAATCAACGACGACTAAAGCTCCGTCTGTAACTCTTAAGGCAGCTGTGACTTCAGAACTGAAATCAACGTGTCCTGGGGAATCGATCAAGTTGATCAAAAACTTTTCTAAGGTCTTATTGTCATAAATGTCATATTCATAATAAAGAGAAACACCAGTTGATTTGATTGTAATACCTCTTTCCTTTTCGTCTTCTCTGGTATCTGTTGCTCTTGCATCACCAGCAACTTTGGAGGCGATAATACCAGCTTTGCATAACAATGAGTCTGTGAGGGTTGATTTACCATGATCAACGTGTGCAATGACAGACATGTTTCTGATGTTGTCTTGTTTATCCATGATCTCTCTGATCTGATCCACTGAAAAATTTACCATGTGTTTTTAACTTTTTAAAAAAAAGATTTAAATTTCCCCATAATTAAATCGTGGTTTTATATTAAATGCGCATAAATAAAAAAAATTCAATAATAATTAATATCTCACTAAAACGAGCAATCATTTTAATTCTTTAATAAAATAATTTTATTATTCATTAATATTATAATTATTCAAAGAAACTTAAGTTTATTTTTATCATTAAATTTTTATTTTCCATTTCATAAACAAAACTCTGCAAAGTATTTGAATCAAATCTTGGCCATTCCAAAGGTAACTGGCTCAGTCTGACATACTGAATATATTTACAATGCAGATTTGGCAATTTACAATTCATGAACAAGATTTTTATTCATCTTAATTAAAAGTTTGTGTCTAACATTAAACTAATTATTATGAGTAATTTATCATCCTTAAAGATGATGGATATTTTATTTAACTAGATAAATTTAGATTTATAAAGGTATATATTTATACTCTTGAAAAATTACTGATATAATTGTATTATAGTTTGTTATTAACAAAATGAAGCAGCATTTATTTGTATATATATAGTTTAGTTTAATATGAAAAGAAAAATATTGGTTTCTCAAATGTATTTGAATAAAATTGAATAAGTTATCTTATTTTAAGCATTATTTCACAATTTATCTAAATAAATTCAAAGAAAATTAGAAGTATTTTACAAGAATTTCCAAATGAAAATTGTCGAATATGATATTATTAATAATAATTTTATTTCATTCTTGCTTTTATTCTACTTATTCGACTTTTTCTGGTGCCTCATCCTTTTTAGTTAAATGAGCCATATATTTGTGCCATCTGATCAAATTTTATAGAGCAGGATCAATATCTTTTATTTTATCAAATTCATCGAAATCTCTCTTTCCAACAGAGTAGCCATCACCATCTAAAAACATCTTTTCTTGTAATTCATCATTCAATTTCAAATGGGAATCATCATGCTCATGTATTTAAACTTCCACATTAGATTTAGGTGGTTTTAAGGATTCAAAGAATTTACACAATTAAGGAATAGTTAATTTACCCTAGGATAATATAAAATTATAAATTACAATTCTAGTATTTTTTTCACAATCTCTGACATCAATGACACCAGCTTTTACTTCTTCTTCACCAATAACTCCAACAAAGTTATAGTATTAGATTTGAGCATTACGAACCTTCTTAGCAAGAGTCTAATCAGATTCATCAGTACTAACAGTGTATCCTTCAAGTCTCAATCTTGCAGCAATCTTCTCAGCTACATCCTTATAATAAGCGGAAACTGGACATAAGACTAATTATTTAGGTGATAACCAAAACGGCCACTTTCCTCCACATTATTCAGTCAAGACAGCAATCATTCTTTCCAATGATCCCAAAATAGCTCTATGGACAATGACTGGTCTTGCAAATCCTGCCTTTAAATGATGATATCCCAATTCATATTTCTTTTCTAGATAATATAATAAATGAAGTAGTACCATGTAAGACTTTGTGTAATTCATGTTGTGATAATCCTTGACTTGATCCAGATTCAATAATATCTTCAGGTAATTTTTATTTTTTGTGTTATTCTTATTACTATTATTATTATGGTTCTTTTTATTATTTTTATTTTTTTTATTTCTTGAAATTCTACTCTTATGGAGCTTTTTCTTCAACGGGAACTTCAGCAGGCTATTATTAGGGATGTTAAGGAGGAGTAGAAATATTATCAGTGTCTGAATGATGAGAAGCTTTTCTAACAACATCAATTATTTCTTATGCTACCTGAACTTATTCATTATGAAGTTATTCCTTATCCTATTAGACTTCTTAAACATCTTCACTGGCTCTGTATTACAAGTTAAATCTTTCAGGCAAATTGAAATCCAATTAAATGGTACCACATTAATGTTCTCTCTTGTAGGCATCATATAATTTGACATCAATTTTAGGTCCATAGAAAGCACCGTCTCCAGGATTGACTTCGAAAGGTTTTCCGAATTTCTTTAATCCTTATTCCAATTGATATTCAGCATTGTCCCAAACTTCTTTGGTTCCCAAGAATTTTTCAGGACGAGTACTCAAATACAATTTGAATTCAAAGCCAAAGAGTGAATAGATGTAACTTAAAAAGTCAAGACAACTCTTGATTTCTTCTTAGATTTGATCCATTCTACAGAAAATGTGTGCATCATCCTATTAGAAACGTCGAACTCTAGTCAATCCACTCAATGCACCATGTACTTCATTTCTGTGTAAGACACCAAAATCAGCAAATCTAACTGGTAAATCTCTGTAACTGTGTTGAATCATATCAAACATTAAACAATGTCCAGGACAATTCATTGGTTTTAATCCATATTCTCCTTCTTCACCCATATTGATGAAGAACAAGTTTTCCTTATACTTATCATAATGTCCACTTATCTTCCATAGTTAAGCATTGAAAATGTTTGGTGAAATAACTTCTTAGTAACCTCTGATATAGTATTGTCTTCTTAGAAAGTTCATAAGAGTGTTGTAAATATGAGCACCACTTGGATAGAAGAAAGCTGATCCAGGAGACAATTGATGGAACAGATACAAGTTCTGTTTCTTACCTACATTTCTATGATCCCTTAGAGCCAATTCCTTTTAGATTTTGACATATTCATCCAACAATTTCTTACTGGGAAATGAAACACCATAAACTCTTTACAAATCATCATTGGTGTTCTTACCCAACCAATAAGCAGCTGAGTTCTTGGTCACTTAAAATGCCTTAACATAACTAGTGTTGGGCAAATGTGGACCAGTACATAAGTCAATCAAATTACCACATTTGTAAGCAGTAGTCATAGCTCCTTCTGGGATCTTATTGGTAATCAGCTGTCTCTTAAATGGATTAGAGCCAAATAACTCTAAACTAAAAGATAATGGTGATCAATTATACCATTCATCTTTGGTTAAGACTGCTCTTTAAAATTCTTACTTGGATGCTGCTAAATCTGAGGCAGCCTTCTCAATTTTTACGTAATCATTCTGAGTTACCTTGTAATCTCCAATGTAACAATCATAAAAGAATCCACCATCTATTGCAGGACCAATGCATAAATGACATCCATATACTTCTTCCAATGCTGAACCCAAAATGTGGGCAGATGAGTGCCAAAATACTTCCTTTCCATTATTATCATCGAAACTCAACAATTCCAATTGGCAATCTCCTTCCAAAGGTCTAGTCAAATCCCAGATCACGTAATCTGGTTTCAAATTCAATGAGGATCCTTGTGATTGCTGATCTTCATGATCTACATCCACAAAATCTATAGGTGTTCATAAGATAATTATACTTTTCTCAAATAAGTTATCGTACACAACTTTAGCAGCCACCATATTTTCAGCCAACTTCTTACTAATTCCTACAGCAATCATCAATGGAGTAGTAACCCACTTTTTACCTAAGATCTTTAACTATACAACAAACCTTCTATTTTCTTTCCGTCCTTTAGGGTTATGGTGATTGGGGTTTTCTCTTTGGCTTCCAGTTCTGCTTTTTGACGTTGATATATTTCATTAAATAACTTCAATCTCTTTTCTTAATAAACAGGCTTTCCAATTTTAAAGGGTCCTCCGATCTTATTTCCAGATTAAACTATTTATCCTTCAGTAGCTTCTTTCAATCTCTATCCTTGTTGCATAATTAATTAAATTTATTTAAAATTTTCCTCAAATCATTGTATTCACACACTTGTAAAATTCTTTCATATTAAAATTAAGTAATTCTTACATAATTAAAATACAGCATATAATTGAATTTTAGATAAATTGTGATAACATATTACAAGGCACATTTAATAAAATGATAATTATATAGAATATAGAGTCAGAAAATTTCCAATAATTAAATAGAATATTACAAAAAGTCAGAGTATGTGCATATTTAACACTCAAAATTAAACAAATATAATAATAGTTAAATTTTAATGACAACATAGCACCAAGTAAAGTTAGCATAAATCAAAATACTATCCTTAATGTTATTATTTTTTGAAGATAATATCAAAGCTTTCAGATCAGTTGTACACTGACAATTATTGAGTATCATCAAATTTCACCCTCAAATGACAATCCTCATTTAATATTGCCATATTGTCAAAAATAAAGATACTGAAATTTCTATATAGATTTTTATACTTTTAAAATAAAATTTATATGTAATTAATATAATGAAATTGAATTTAGATATATTTTTAATCGTCGTTCCTTAGATTTAGTTGATTTAGATATATTTTTCAGGATTATTACTCGAAAACCAAATTTGAGGGTGGTTTTACATCTTCAAATGATTTGAGGAGTCTATTTTCAAAGAAAATTGATAAAATCTATTTGAAACAGTAATTAGTATTTCAAAAATTATTTTAATTTCTCATTAGAACTTACATCAATTCATTTTTTAATTGAAAATAGCGACCAGTACAGAATAAATAATTGTTTCTGTATTTAATAAACTGCCTTAACAATATATGCTAAAACTCCTATAAAGAATAAATTAATTAATATTGAAAAAAGTTTATATTAATTGATGTCTTTTCGAAAAACTACCTTCTCTTAATACTCTAGTAATGTCTTACAGCTTGACTTCGAGCCAGAAACTTAATCTGCCAAAACTCTTCAGAGATCCAATTATAACATAACCAACTCCCCTCAGGGTAACCTAGATAGTCTTGACAGTTTGCTTGATTAAAAGTCTTCCAAGAAATCGCGCTTCTTTTTTAGCCAAAAAATTGAAAGTGAAGAGAACTTTCAATATTTAAAGACAGAAAGGGATTTGTAATAGAAGGAAGTAAAAGAAGTTCGGCCTTTTCGCTTTAGAAGGAGGGAAATCCATACAAAAATTGATTTAGATGATAAGAATGATGTAGATGAATTTTTTACTGGAGTGGAAATACCAAGAATAAGCTAATAAGCTTAAAAATAAAATCCATATCAATTAGTGACCTTCACTGATTATGTAGAAAACATTTATGGAAAAGATTGGTTTTAATAAAGAGAGAGGAAATTCAAGAGATAAATCACAGTTTAAGATTTCTTTGATACCCCATGTTGACTTTTATTATTTATTAAAAAATGTAATATATTCCATTTTCACCATTATTCGACATTTGATTTTTGTCATAATTATCAAAAAAAAATTGAGATTACTTATTGGATGATATTCAAAGATCTTTATTAGAAAAGATAAATCCATATTCCGAAAAGACTTCCTTATTATAATGTACTCTCCAAAACTGATTGAACTATCAACAATTCCTGAGTCTTTTTAAAATTGATTCAAGAATCCAATTCTCGATTTGCCATTACCAGAACCCTATCAAAAATATGATCTTCTTCAATAAGTGTAGTGAATAATTCAAAAAAATGATTGCATCGCTTACAAACTATTAAAAACCAAATTTATTTCAGCTAGAATTAGTTTTTTTGTTAAATTGAAGAATTATTTATTCTACTTTAAGCTAGATTGTCCTTTATTTTGAGTTCTTAACCTTTAGAATGTGATTAAAACCTCTTTCAAAAATTTAAGTGATCAATATAATTTGTATTAATAATAATTATCATAATTATACAAAAATAACATAAAGATATATTTGATATTTCATTTGTTATTTTAAGAAGAGTTTAATTTCAAAATATACAATAGGGTTGAATGTATACATTGATTATAACAATTATTAGCATTACTATATTATTAAAAGATTAATTTGTTTTAACTTAATTCAATGGTTAATTTTTTAAGCTTTGTAGTTAGCTTAATATAAAGAAATCGCATACAAAAAGCAACTCAATATTATAAAACTATATCATTAAAAATATGGTGATCTTATTATTTCTTCAAGAACTCTCTAGATGTATTGGATTAAATCGGTTAGAATCAAAATTAGCTTAAAAATATTCATTATAATTAATAATTGTTATATAAAATGTATAATAAAAGATATTCAATATAGAAGGTTAATTTAAGAAAAGATGATAGATCTGAAATCCTTTATGAATGATTATAATTGATTTTGGATTATGATCACAACCAATAAAATTCTGCGATCAGATTTTACTATTCAATTAATTTATTGACAAGCATTTAATAGTATTTAAATTTGATATGTGGGGGGAGCACTAATAATAAATTTTGGATGTCTTTAAGTTCGTCTTTAATGGACATTAAGAATAGGTGTAAAATTATGAGAGAAAGTTGAGGAATAGCTGAAGAACCAAATCAGAATAATCAACAAATATCAAGAAATCAAGGGTATTGAGAGAGGTTACAAATGATTGGAGTTATTGATTATTTCATAAAATTGAATTTAGATATATGCAACAATTTTAAATTAAAACTCTTTGATATTATGTTGTTATGCTATATTTCATAGGACTTAATTCTATAAATTCAGGTTTATTTTATAATTTAAACAATATAAAAAATGAGTTAAGGAATGAATAATAATTCTCAATTACCGCTTATGAGTATTCCACAAGATTTGGATATTTACTAAATGATTTTGAGGTATGGCAATGATCTTATTTATAACATACTAATAAATTATTGATATCCGTATATTTATTTGATAGGCTTATGATTATATTAGTTAACAGCAACATCCATTGTATAAAGCATTACTTACTTCCAAATTATAATAGCTATGTTAAGCATAGCTACTGCAAAATCTACCCTAAAGTTTGAACTTTAACAATTCCTCCAAGGATCTCTTTCCGATCCCCAATATGCTAAGTAAGCTAACATTTATATCCCTGTCTCTCATTTATATACCATATATATGAATTATTTGCCATAATTATGTAGATGTCCTGTCAATGAATAAACCGATGGAACTGGATCAATACTTTTCCAATTCAACACAATTTTTGTAATAGGCCAACTTCCTGAGCCCATTTTCTGTGCAACAAATGAATTTCAACTAAAAGTAAAAAAACAACGTTGATAATCCAATTACAGTTGATGACGATGAACCATAACAAGATTAAAAAAAATGTCACAATCCACTATGCAAGAATGTGGGTGACAAAAAGATTAAGTCAAAAAAGAATGATGTCTTATTCTTTTGTGATAAATGCTCCAAATTATATAATAAAGGAAACTATTGTGATTTTTGTGAATAAGTACCAATTTTCATCTAACTTTTTAAAGGTTTATGGGTCCTATGATGATGAGGCAGGCTGGATCCAATGCGATACTTGTCAAAAGTGGGTAACAAGATTGTTTTATAAATTAGAATCATATTGCATGTGAATAAAAAAATAGGAATTAAAATATTCAAATAGAATTTGAGACTAGTCAATATCATTGTTTGAGTTGTTCCAAAAATATCAAGAAACCTAAAATAATTAAAAAAGTTGAAGAACCTCCAGTCGTGAAATAACGTGCAATTATAGAATAAGAAGATTGTAGAAACAGGGAAAAAAACATTACTTTTGTTGCAACCAAAGATAATAAAATTTAATACAGTATTCAAGAGAATCTAAATTATAGCATTTCGATTCAATTTAATGGATGATGAAATCAAGTAAGATTTAGATTAATTGAGAAATTCAACAAAAAAAAAACCAAAAATTTAATAATCATCTCCACCAAAAATCTAATAAAACACCCAAACTTAATAACCTACTCAAACTCAATAGCAATAAACCCAATAAGAAGTAAAATATTTTTAATCACACTTAGAGCTAAGAGACTTCATTCGCCAATAGAAATTTAAGAAGAAGAATTAATTAAAAAATCAACTATAGAGATTTGATTGGGGAGTATTGAAATTTATAATATTTCAGTCATTTATAAATTCAATCTAATTTAATATTAATATTAATGCTTAAACTATAGGAGAAGAAGAAAATTATAGAAATTTTAAATAATCCAATTTCTTATTGTAATAGACCTACTAAAAGCTCCTCTACATACAACCCTTAACCTATAGAATAGTTGGTCTTTAACCGAAGCTTGCTTAGAGTCTACGGATATTAAAAACCACAAACCCAGCAGAGAAATAGAAGAAAATTCAATTTGAAATAGTTAGAAGTAACCCAAGATATTGAAAACAATAAATAAATTGTAGAATTGTTAAAACGAGACTACTCAACAAAATCCAATGTTGAAAAATAATCATCTTTCAAAAAAGAACAGTTAGAAAAAAGATGCAACACTACAACAAATAATAGATTCTTTTAATTGAATTCGATGATCAACAATAAGAGGAACACTAACATTTCAAGAGTTGTTGAATAATAAAATGATAGCCAAAAATAAAGATATTAGATGCTTCATCTGAATTTTATTAAAACCTAAAAATAATATTAGAATATTTATGGAATACCATTATCGGAATTTCTTTTAGAGCATAAGTTTTTGACCTTAATTCATTAGCAATTATTGATAATTTTATTGATGGTCTTCTAAATAGATTGTACTAATATATACGAAGTAGTAACTTATAAATAATATAAACTCTTTAAATAAGTTATAATTTGGAAAGATTTATCCATTATTGAATTAGTTGATAAAATTTCATAGATTTTTGAAAATATTACTGGAGGAGATTTGCTTAATATCATTCATTTAATGGCTTAAATCTAACCTTACAAATACAATGGTAGGTAAAAATTAAATAGAGATATGCAATTATTAAATAAAACTATTTAAGATTTAGAATATAAATGTATAGAACATGTTTTATAATAAGGAAATTTAAATATACAAATTGATATTACTAAATTAAAAAAACTATTTTATAATTAAATTATTAATATTAATACATTTATCGACTTATTATCCGGATAATTTTGATTATAAATACATATAATATATAAATTTCAAATTTACTACCTACACAAAGGACATTTATTATTAATATTATACCACTTTTATAAACATAGTTAATGAAAAGTGTGTTTGCATTCTCGAATTTAACTCGCAATCTCATTTTCAATAACTAATTTTAGGCAAATGCTGCACTCTACTTTTTCATCTTTTATTATAAATTATTAAGTTCTCAATTTCTTTATCATAATATTATCAAAAGGAAATATGATTTTTGATGTATCATACCTTCTATCAGTTTCTTATTTCTATAACCCATTCCTCATTTAATTTATATATATGCAATTAATTATAACAATAAATGTATTTATTTATATGAATAAATAATTTCCAAAAATTGAAATAGATATCTGTCACTGATAATTAATTGAGAATGTCCCATTATCTCTTATTGTCTTATTTGGGAACATAATCAATAAAATTAAGTGATAATATGGCACCTTTAGGAAAATATTAGACATTTTTGATTATGCGGTTCATTAATTTTTGATTGCAAATCATCAGCAAAGTTTCTTAATAAATTAGTTTATCTTTTTTTGCCTTTGAAATCAACACAATTTACAAAGCTTTCTATTATCAAATAGTTATATGCTTAAATTTTTGAGTAATTTTTAATAGCTGATTCTCTAATAATAATAAATTATTCTCGATATTTTGTAATTTATGAATTTCAAGTTACAAATGGGATAAATAGGAACGTAAAATTTTATTAATATTAATATTAAATCAATGGATGAAAGAAGGGCTACGTTTATGTTTTTTATAAAACTATAGTATATCTATATCATTAATACTTCTTCAACAAATTACGCCAATTATTTAGACTCTTTCAATATTTAATTGTATTTCATTTATTATTGAGCATATGTATTTATAATATATTATTCTTATTAAAATTCTTGAGATTCTTTTCGTAAATCAAGGAACCTTTTTTTGGGAGGAACATACCATTTATTATAATCCTTAATATTTTTCCTGGGAGATATCTTAGTGTATTGTTTAGCTGAATCCTGAGCTTATGATTCTAAGGAATATAGGGATTAAGCTCTATTTTATTTCGGAATGAATAGCGATTGATTGATTAATTAATTAATTTAATCGAACTAAATAGGTTGAGTTTATCTTCTATCAATTGGGGGAAGCAAAGTTGCCTATTGTTTTTTTATGTTGTTTTTCATAATAATTTATTTTATTAATAGTTTTATATAGATAATAAAAATAAGGTTAAAAATAATTCTTAATTTTTAGACTCGCTAATATAATTTACTTTGAAATTTTTGTTCCTATTTGTATTTGTATACTGCATTTCTAATAATAATTTTAAATTTAATATCAATAGTGCTTCTTAATATTAGTTAATTGCTAAGTGGAGAATCAGAATAGGAATTTAAGATAACATTTAATCTATATTATTCTAAATAGTTCAAATTAAATGTAAATATATTAAATTAATCAAAATGCAGACTTAAGTTAAATCAATTAAGTATATAAGTGCTTTATTTTCATATTTTTCATCATAATAGAGTAGAAGGATGAATAGCCATAGGTAATGTATCCTAAAACAAAAGATAAAAATGATAATGATTGCATTTTACATAACCTAAATTGAATTAAAAGATATTAACTGAACAATTAGATTAGAGTGGGAAATTTAAATTATTTATTGAAAGGATGAAGCATTCAGTGTATAGATGTGTATTTCTATATCAATAAAGAATGATCATATATTCAGTTCTTAATTATTTTAGATTTTAAATATATAATACTGTTATTAATATCAAATTTAGTGTAAATTAGATTGAATTCAAATTAATAAAATCAATCTAAGATCAAATTAGAGTGTGATAAATATGTAAGAACTTATGAATAGATAATTATATATTATAATAATATAAGGAAATCAACAACATGACTTTCCATCTTTTTTTTCCTAATCTTAATTTTACGGATTATCTATTTTTATATTTGCTAATTGATCAAAGAAATTGAATACGTTAGGTTGGATGGTTCACAACAGAATTCACCATTTAAGATGTTTCAGTACCTGGAAGAGTAGCTGCTATTTATTTGAATAGTAATTCAACATTGCTTCCTGATTTTGCACTAACTTCAATAAAGTGAGCATCTTGTTCCTTGGCTAGAGTAGCTCCTTGCTCTGTGGATACAACTCTTCCCATTAATATGCATTAGTTACCTGTTATCAAGATCAATCTTGTTGGCCACTACAAAGATGATTACATCGTTGCCTCTTTCTAAGCGTACATCTTCAATCCATTTTACAACACTCTCAAATGATTGTTTCACTTTTGTATTATTAGAAATTACCCTCAACATCATAACAAACTACAGCAACTGCACTATCCCTAATATAGCTTGGTATTAGGGATCTAAATCTCTCTTATCCAGCAGTATCCCACAATTAAAGTCGAATGGTTCTATCCTCATAGTAAAGGGTCTTGGAGATAAAATCGATACCAACTGTAGGCTTGAATATTCAAACTGTCTTACATGATCTTTGCCATCAAAAGTGTCAAACATGAATCGATTTATTATAGAAGTTTTTCCAACCGATTGATCTCCTAAGAATACTAGTTTATATTTAGATAATGGAGCCACCATAGATCCTTTAGTATCAGTCATTATCAATATAATAATTATTTAAATTAAGTAATTAATCGAAAGTTAAAGAATTATAAACAACAACGTAAATTGACCTTAATGATGGGTTTAGTTTCATTAATTAAAGATTGTAAGGGGAAACATGAATGATTCCTCATCTCTTTTTTATCAACTAAATATGGTTATTCGTCAAAGAATTTAAAAATAATGATATGAAAATACATAAATGTGAATAATATGTTCATTTTTTTTTCCAATCATGATCTTCTTTAAAGAATATTCCTAATATAAAGGCAACGCAACAAAATCCAAAGACAATCCAAAAGACTCCTCCATAACCTATCTTTGGTTCTCCAAATTTGTACAATAGATATCCCAACATATTAGATAGACCAATAACAAAGAATAAACCACCATAGATAATAGGTCCCACCTTTAAAATAATTTAATATTATACCTTATGACCNTAAATTAGATTGAATTCAAATTAATAAAATCAATCTAAGATCAAATTAGAGTGTGATAAATATGTAAGAACTTATGAATAGATAATTATATATTATAATAATATAAGGAAATCAACAACATGACTTTCCATCTTTTTTTTCCTAATCTTAATTTTACGGATTATCTATTTTTATATTTGCTAATTGATCAAAGAAATTGAATACGTTAGGTTGGATGGTTCACAACAGAATTCACCATTTAAGATGTTTCAGTACCTGGAAGAGTAGCTGCTATTTATTTGAATAGTAATTCAACATTGCTTCCTGATTTTGCACTAACTTCAATAAAGTGAGCATCTTGTTCCTTGGCTAGAGTAGCTCCTTGCTCTGTGGATACAACTCTTCCCATTAATATGCATTAGTTACCTGTTATCAAGATCAATCTTGTTGGCCACTACAAAGATGATTACATCGTTGCCTCTTTCTAAGCGTACATCTTCAATCCATTTTACAACACTCTCAAATGATTGTTTCACTTTTGTATTATTAGAAATTACCCTCAACATCATAACAAACTACAGCAACTGCACTATCCCTAATATAGCTTGGTATTAGGGATCTAAATCTCTCTTATCCAGCAGTATCCCACAATTAAAGTCGAATGGTTCTATCCTCATAGTAAAGGGTCTTGGAGATAAAATCGATACCAACTGTAGGCTTGAATATTCAAACTGTCTTACATGATCTTTGCCATCAAAAGTGTCAAACATGAATCGATTTATTATAGAAGTTTTTCCAACCGATTGATCTCCTAAGAATACTAGTTTATATTTAGATAATGGAGCCACCATAGATCCTTTAGTATCAGTCATTATCAATATAATAATTATTTAAATTAAGTAATTAATCGAAAGTTAAAGAATTATAAACAACAACGTAAATTGACCTTAATGATGGGTTTAGTTTCATTAATTAAAGATTGTAAGGGGAAACATGAATGATTCCTCATCTCTTTTTTATCAACTAAATATGGTTATTCGTCAAAGAATTTAAAAATAATGATATGAAAATACATAAATGTGAATAATATGTTCATTTTTTTTTCCAATCATGATCTTCTTTAAAGAATATTCCTAATATAAAGGCAACGCAACAAAATCCAAAGACAATCCAAAAGACTCCTCCATAACCTATCTTTGGTTCTCCAAATTTGTACAATAGATATCCCAACATATTAGATAGACCAATAACAAAGAATAAACCACCATAGATAATAGGTCCCACCTTTAAAATAATTTAATATTATACCTTATGACCAAATATCTTAGCACTTACAGCAGGATAACAAGAGAATAATCCTCCTTCACAGCACATTGTGATACATAAAATAATGAAATAGCCAGCATAACTCTTATCGATATATCCAATAGCGGCAGTACAAATTAAGTTGATAACCGCTATTATCAGATAGACCTTTTTGAAACCAATTTTATCAAACAATACTGCCCATCCAAATCTTGAACCTCCATTGCACACTGATTAGACTGAACCAAGTACTGTTAATGATGCATCATCAATTCCAAGCTAAATAACTATAATTCATTAATACTGTTTATCCAAATACTTTATAACAATTAGCCATTAACATTCCAAAAATGATAGAACACAAAACCATCACAATCAAAAACCAAAATGGTCTTGATTTCATGCCTTATCCTAAGGTTTCACATTCAGCATGCATAACTGTTGGATGATAGTCAACTGATTTTTCATGATTGATTCCACTTGGCTTTTTATTTCCTTCTCCTAAAACCTATTAATATTCCAAATTCAAATCTCTAGGATATTTTACTAATAGAGTTGCAATTATGGTTAGAAGGAAATATGATCTAATATAGTATGAATAATATATTTACAAAGCTAACATCTAGAACATAAAAGGAACATTTTCGAAAACATCCCTTGAAAAATATTTTTTTACTTTCCCATCTTCATCAAAAGGAATGTCTGGTTCTTCATTGTTCGGATTGCAAATAGCCTTGCATATAAAGTTAAAAGTAAATGCTCCGAATCCATAACCGGCAATAATCAATCCTGAAACCATTCCTCTATTAAATGGGAAAAATTTCCATCCACATACTAAAATTATATAAAATTATTACTGATTGGCAACATGTACACTAGTCCAGAGGGAATACCTATCATAAAACAATATATCAAGATAAATCCATAAATATTATTAATGAAGGACAGTATTAAAAATGCTAAGGAAATTAAGAATCCTGCTCCAGCTATCATAGTTTTAAATCCTATTCTTTATGCTAACTTAACTCCAAAAGAAAGAACAGAATTTGTGGCAATTCCCAATATTGGAAACACAATCTAGAGTGTTGATTATGTGACGCTTGGATCTTTATCCTTCATGTAGGCACCAACATAAGGACCTTGAAATTAGGAGATTAATATTACTTATTCCACCCCAGAGATAAAATGTACCAAGCACAAAGTGAAGTGCAATTCCACCAAGTAAACAAACAACACCTTGGATTTTGATACTTTGAAGCTCCTTTGGTGAATACTCCTTAAAGTGATGCTCGTCTCCATGTTCATCTGCTTAACTTTCATGATGATGCTTATCCAATTCATGATCGCTTTATGCTACTGATTAAGGAACAGCCTAGGGCTTCATTTATAAAGATATATTTATTATTTAATGTTCAAATGATTCATAATGAATAAATATCTCTCAAATTTCAATTTCCCTCATTTAATTTTCATACATATCTTTCGTTTCTAATTCTTATTTATTTTGTGCTTTCTCATATTCTTATTCAACTATTCTTCCTCTCCCTTCCTTAATTACATAAAATAACAACATAAATAAATTTAAACATAAGAATTGCAAAGTAAAATATTAATTTCCAATCTACTTCATGTCATAACAGAAAATTTCTGTTAACATTAATTCGATAATCCATATTATTTCTATTATCAATTATAAAATTATATTATCAAAATATTCAACATTATATTCAGTAATCTTTTAAATACTTGTTATTATGCTTTTTTCATTTATTTCTAAATTGCTATTGATTTCAGTTGTAAAATGGTAATACATTTATTAAAAGCATATTAGCATAATAATATCCATGAGATGTAAATATCCATCAATTTAAAATAAAACAGGACTATTTGGTAGTACTGGATGAGTAATAGTGATATATAAGACATCTATTACTAAATATGCTGGATATTTAAAATAACTCTCTTCATTTTCTCTAAAGTATTAAAATGACAATAACAAGATTGGCAATAGGTTTTAGGCTCTGCAAAAACAACAAACCAATAGAATTGTAACATCCACATGTTTTCTGCATAAGAATATAATCAAAGGTATGAATATAATCAATAAATATTTAACGTATGACGATAAAATAATTATTATAAATATTCCTATGCTATATTTTAATAAATTTTATTTTGTTTTCAATAAAGTTAAAATTAAATCCTTGTTTTTGATAAACATATAAGCCAAACTTCCAATTGAAAGTAATTAATAAAATGGAAAATCACTTATCAAAAGCAAGAATCCTAAAAGACTTTAAATGACAGGTTATTTCATTTTTAAAAGTAATACCAAAAATAGTGTTATTTTTAACAAGTTAATCTCAATAAATGCAAATGCTGCTGTTAATCCAATGATATACCAATCAATAATCACCAACTCTTGTTGTTTGAAAAATATCAAGTACAAGATATATAGACATAAAAAGAGTCCAAGCAAAAGAACAAAGATGTTGCCACTAATTTCAGAATTAATAGCAAAAGCAAGATCTTTTATTTCATATTTTAATGTATCTAAATAATTCTAAATCATCTTATCATCTTTACTTGTTGAAACTAATTCAAATTAATCTTTGAATAAGTCTAAGTCCTTCTAATACTTGATTGACTTCTTTTTTTCTATCAAAGTGTAATGTTCATATAACTGATATAAATTCATCATGTAATCCAATAGTTAAATCTGATTGATATCTTAGGCAGGTTTAGTTTCGTAAAATAGACCTGGCAATATCATTCCATGATTTTCTAATGGTATAGGAGAATCAAGTAGACAACTGATTGTAGAAGTTAATGAATCAATTGAATAAATGGTTTTGGTATGCTCATCTTTTGATAATCTAGTTCTATTCGTATAGAAATAGACTTTGTCAAATTTGAGAACAATTATCATTGTATTATTGCCGACTTAAGACAATAAATTATCATATTCTATTGATGATAGCTAAAGGTTATCAATGTAATAGAATGCAAAATCATCTTAATTTAATTTTGCAATTAATTCTGATCCGTCATTTAATTACTAAAATTAGCTAAAAGGATCATAATCTGTATAAGCCTTATAGCTAGATAAATAACTAGTTTTATTTTGTTTTTTTAACTGGTATGTCACACTATCTAAGGTTTAATATTGGATATTCCAATATTGTAATTATGCAATCGGACTTATTCCATGTATTACTGTATTGTAAAGAATTTCATAATTAATATTGAATTATGAATCAATATGATAATATACATCATTGTCGTCGAATCCTGTAAAATTTTCATCGACAATTAAAACGATTCTGCTAAATACATAATAAAAAAAATCCTTCTTATCAAGGAATAATGGATTTCCAGTATTCTTTTAAGCTTTATTTAATTCTTAGGAATTCATAAAGTATCCAATTAAAATGCAAAGAAACGCAATTATTTTCAGGCTTAGAAATCCAATGTTAGTATAATTGAACATATTAAAATTTATTATTAATTAGACAAAATATTTAATACAACAAAACATACCTCTTTATTGTTTATTAGACTTCTGATTATCAGCTATTTAATATCTTCTTTTTATATCCCTAGTTATGCTATGGATTATATATTAATCAATTTGGTTGAAACATAGAGTCATTATTTAACAAAGGATGAGACAATAATACTAAATTGTTGATATTTAAATTAAAATCTATGATTAACAAATTACTACTTCATAAAAACATCTAATTACCTTGATTTGATAACTAAATAAGAATGCAGAAGAATTGTTTATCTATTTGAATTAAGTTTGAATAATCAGGAACTCAGATCTTTTGTAATACTCACATAACAATAACAATTAAATTGTTTCAAACTAATTTGGCATCAGTTTCAAAACTATTTTAAATAACCTAGTAATTTCATAATTTAATACTTTTGATTCATTACAAAAGAATTTGAGTTATTACTTATTTTTTACAATGGATAGTGAATGAATTTCAGGGGTTTAACAAATATTTGCCGATGGGGAATTAAATATTCAAATTTACAATAGACTCAATAATTGTTGATTAATTTGAGAGAAAATTAAAAAAAATAAACAAATTAAAGGTTTCTCTTAAGTAAAATTCTGATTTTCTTAGAAACCAGTAATTTTTTAAAACATCTATTTTTGTTTTAATGAAAAATTCTGGGGAGACTTTTTAATCAATCTGGTTTTAGCATACTCAAAGATCGAGGGAGAATAGATATGTATAATTAAAAAATATATTTTATTGATGATTTTAATGTATAACTGTTTCATATTCATATGGTTTCAAATTAAAAGGATTATTATAATAATATTAATAACCAATGGCGGACGATGACCCAATGACGCAGCAGGAATAATTAAAAGATGATGGGAGTGAACCATATGGAAAATTTCGAATCGCAAAGCAAATATTGTGTTCAATCGCTTACATGTGCCAAGAGAGAGTATTTGCTGAGGAAGTAGACAAACTAGAAGAAATTGGAGAGAGGCTGATAGAGGTATTAGATGTGTATAGTATGAAAGGAAGGACTCTGTACGGATTTCAAGTCAGGTTTGACAATGAATGATTAATCGGAGAGAGAGAGAGCATTTGGACACAATAGGAAACCCAGAATTGAACCTAAAGGGTATTGTGAGTTGTGGCTGGGAGCTTTGAATGATTTTACAATGAAAGTTTTATGCATAGCAGCCATCGTCAGTATTATAGTTGATGTTTCAACTGCTGATGATAGTTACAGGAAATTGGCTTGGATTGAAGGTAAATAATAAAATAAATAAAATAGGATTTGCAATATTGGTAGCAGTGATTATATCTACAAATGCAAATGCTGTGAATGATTACCAAAAAGAACGACAATTTTAAAAATTGAATGAAGTAGCCGATGAGAGAAAGAGAGTGACAGTAGTTAGGAATGGAAAGAAGTGTGATATTCATATGAGTGAAGTGCTGGTTGGAGATGTTGTACAAATATTCGAAGGAATGGAAATCCCTGCAGATGGTTTTGTACTGGAAGCATCAGATTTGACAGCTGACGAGAGTGCTATGACTGGAGAAACTGATCCAATCAAAAAAAATGTGTTGAGTGAATGTGTTAACAAGAGGAACTAATTAAAAGAAGAAGGAGGACAAGTAAATATAAATATAATTATATTATTAGAACACAGCAGGCCATCACGATGTTCCATCTCCAATAATGATGAGTGGAACAAGAGTTCTAAGTGGTGAAGGCAAGATGCTCATTCTTGTTGTAGGAGACTCATCCTGTGCTGGTAAGATTGCAGCATTGTTGAGATAAGATGAACCAGAAGGTAAATATAATTATAAGATTTAATAGCCACTCCTTTGTAAATGAAGTTAACTGCAATAGCAGAAGATATTGGTAAATTTGGATTGATCTCAGCAATTTTGATTGTTTGTGTTATGTGTTTAAGATTTGGTATTGAGAGAGGATTGAATGATGATTGGGAAAATTATATGATTGTTACAATCATTGGATACTTTATCATTGGAATCACAGTGGTCGTCGTTGCTATTCCAGAAGGATTGCCATTGGCAGTTACTCTATCATTGGCTTATTCAACCAAATAAATGCTTCAAGATCAGAATCTAGTCAGAAAAATGGCAGCATGTGAAACTATGGGAGGAGCCTCTATGATTTGTTCAGACAAAACAGGAACTTTGACTCAAAACAAAATGTCACTCGTTAATGTGTGGAATGATGATATCATTGAAATAGATACCTATTCTGAAAAACAATAATTGACATCTTATTTCCCATAAAACTTCTAAGAATTCTTTATTTAATGTGCTGTTGTCAATGGATCTGCTATGCTTAGGCCTGAACCCAAAGGTTCTAAGACAGAAATTGCCTTATTGGAATTCATCGAAAGATGCACTATGAATTATGAAGAACAAAGAGAGAAATATCCAGCTAGTACTAAATTCCCCTTTAGCAGTTAAAGAAAAAGAATGTCTATGGTTTTAGAATTAGATGGAGGAAGACGTAGATTGGTTTGTAAAGGAGCATCAGAAATGGTATTGGCTGCATGTTCATAATATCATTCTAAGGGAAATGGATCTATTGTTCCCATGAATCAAGACTTAAAATAGAAAGTAGAGAAAGCAATTGAAACTATGGCTGGCAGAGCATTGAGAACTATTTGTTTAGCATACAAGGAAATCAGTGCCAGAGAAGATTTGACAACTAAAGATCCAAAGGGTGTATATGCTGTTGAATAAAGTGACTTAACCTTGGTTGCAGTATTGGGAATCAAAGATATTCTTAGACAAGAAGTGCCAAGAGCTATTTAATTATGCAGAAGAGCAGGAATTAAAGTTAGAATGGTTACTGGAGATAATAAAATGACTGCTAGAGCTATTGCTAAGGAATGTGGTATCATTACACCAGGAGATGATTAATCTATTGTTATGGAAGGACCTGACTTTATTGCTAAAATTGGTGGTGTTGTTTGCTCAAAGTGTAGAACTGCTATCTGCCCTTGTGCAAGAGATAGTACTACTGCAAAGAAGGAAAATAAGGATGTTAGAGTTGATACAATTGCAAATGCACAAGAGTTCGACAAAATCTATCCTCATTTAGATGTGTTGGCTCGTAGTAGACCTGAAGATAAGTATGCTTTAGTAACAGGTTTGATTGAAAGAGGTCATGTGGTTGCTGTTACAGGTGATGGTACTAATGATGCTCCAGCTTTGAAAAAGGCAGATGTTGGATTTGCTATGGGTATTGCAGGAACTGAAGTTGCTAGAGAGGCTGCTGCTATTATTCTATTGGATGACAACTTTAATTCAATTGTTAAGGCTGTTATGTGGGGTAGAAATGTCTATGATAACATCAAAAAGTTTTTGAGATTTTAATTGACTGCTAATTTGGTTAGTGTGGGATTGACATTAATTGGTGCTGCTGTTTTGAGTTAGGAAATTTTGAAACCTATTTAATTGTTATGGGTTAACTTGATTATGGATACTCTAGGTTCTCTTGCCTTAGCCACAGAGCCACCCACTGAGAAATTACTGTATCGTAAACCACATGATAGAAATGAGTACATCATCTCTAAAAAGATGTTTAAATTCATTATTGGAACTGCTTTAATATAATTAGCTGTTGTTTTATTTATAGTGTTTGCAGGAGATTCCTTTTTGCCTGAATATGCTGATGAGTATGATCTTACAGCATACAGAGGAATAAAGAAACGATACAAATATAGTGATCATTTGTGCAAGACTACTTATGAAGATCTCAAGAAATATTCAGAGGAAAGTGGTAGAGCTATGACTTTGATTCCAGATGTCTCGGCATCAAAGGATGTTAAATAGAGTGGTTATTGTTTATCATCTGAATGTGTGTGCCATGAAGATAAATGTTATGACATCATGTGTGAGGAATGTGATTTTGAAACTAGTTGCACTATTGTAGCCAGCGGTAGATTGAATACTCCTGATGGAAAAAGAGATTATGCAGTATTCTATGAAGATACTCACGAACCTTCTCGTCATGTATTAATTAATTCATAAACAATTAGTTTACTTATGTCTTTAATGTTTTCATTATGCTTCAATTATTTAATTTTCTCAATAGCAGAAGATTCAATGATGAAATCAACATTTTTGAAGGAATCGCCAAACATGAGGCCTTCTTAACAATCGTACCTGTTATTTTCTGTATCTAAATCCTCATGGTAACATTTGGTTCTAAAGCTATTGGTCTTTATGGTAATTTCGGACTCAAAATATAACAATGGTAATTCTTGAATATATTTGTTTAGGTTGATCGGTATTGGATTCGGATGTATTTCAATTATTGGGTGTTTCTTCCTGAAATTCATCAAGGAAGACATGTGTTGTGAATGTGGTAGCAAAGAAATCAACCCAATGGAAACTGAACATAAGGTTATCGCCTTAAAGGGAGATCATTCCTCAGGTGGCTTAGCAAGACGTTATTCATCTCTTGTAAACTCATTCATTTATCTTTTAGAGACACGATTAGAATCCTTTTAGTGCTCCTCATCAATAACATTAGCATTGAATAATTATAAATAATCATATATATTAACTAAATAAATGAAAATCAACAAGAGAGCCACTATGGAGAGTGAGTATGACTAAAAGGACATCGTTGTCATTGACAATGGTACTGATACTATCAAAGTGGGAATCTCTGGAGAGGATTATCCTAGAGTAATTATGACTCTATTATATTTATAGCTTATCTATGATAATAAATGCGGATCACACTCAGTTTAAAATGACAATGACAATCCAAACAATAAACCATAACTCTTATTTGGTTAAGATTTAAAGAAAGTCATCAAAGAAAAAAAGTTGAATGTACAGTTATCAAATCCAATCAAAGACGGAGTACAAATTATAATTATTATATTTCCTTAGAAAATTGATAATGTGGAATCTATGAAAGAATTCTGGCAATATATTCTTGAGGATGGATTACAGATATCTGAATTGCAATAAGTCAATTTATTAATCATCGATCAAGTAAAGAATAGCAAAGAGTACAAATCAAAACTTGCTGAAGTCTTTTTTGATTATCTCAAAGTCTAATCTGTTTTGTTCATGAATTCAGCAACTTTGTCATTATTTTCTACTGGATTAGTTAGGTAATTATTTGAATTACCCTTTTTTCAGTGGTCTGTCAATTGAATTAGGACATGCTGTTAATACTGTTGTTCCTATTTATTAAGGATTCCCAATTATGCATGCTTTAGAATTTTCTCATATCTCTGGTGCTGAAATCACATAATGTTTGGAAAATGATTTGAAAACCTACGAAATATCACTAGATAAATTTTCAGAGGAAGAGAAGCAATGGATTATTAAAGATATTAAAGAAACTATGTGTTACATAGCTAGTGATTATGAAATGCAAGTAATAAATATCAATTATCAATTAAGATCAACTCAGAAGATAATTTCACAGAAGAAGAGCGAAGTTATGAATTACCAGATGAATAAGTCATTCATATAACTCCAAAAATTAGATACCACAGTTCAGAAGCTTTATTCAATTCTGCTGTTTTAAACAAGACTGGCTTTTCACTCCCTCAAATGATTGTTAATTCAATCCAAAGATGCGATAAGGAATTGAGATAAGAATTGGTTTCTAACATGGTCCTTGGAGGAGGCACTTCTATGTTTCAAGGTCTAATATCAAGACTACAAGATGATATTTGTTAGATCTATCCAGGTGGTGCAATGAGGTCAGAATTTAACTTTGTTGCTGATTTTCAAAGGAAGTATAGTGCTTGGATAGGTGGTTCCATGCTTGGATCACTCAAGACATTTTAATCTTTAGCTATCAACAAACAAGAGTATGAAGAAAACCCAGAAGGAAAAATGTCACTTATTCATAAGAGAACATTTTGAAACCAATTATATTAGTAATTATTTTTATCAGATTTCATATATTTATATATTCTATAACTTACTATAGCATTTATTTGTATAATAGGATATATATATTCAAAATATCTATTTTAAATTTCTTGATTGTTATTCGTCACCTGACAGACGAAGACAATTAATTGCTTTTTTATAACTATTCATTTTAACTAATATTTAAGCTAATAAATTATAATAATAATTATAACCTTTTTTAGAATAATGATCTAAATCTTCTAAATTATAGAAACCAAATTAATCCCAACATTATATTGCTTCTAAGAATCTTTCATTTTAACATAAAATAGAAGCTAACAATCATTGATTATTTTCAACCTTTGTAATTGAAAAAACTTATATTGTTTTTATTTAATTTTATTCCATCTTCCCAACAGTCTAAGCTTTCAGAAAATCTTTCTTATTCAAATAAAGCATTCGCTAATAAAATCATTTGATTAATGGTACATTTTTCTCGATAAAAAATTATTTCACTCTAATTCAATTCGATTCCTTTATTCCAGCATTATATAATTTCATCAAACCTTCCTAATTCCTCTAGAAGAGAAGCTGATCATTAAAATATTATTGCAACTTACCTTTAAAGTTGAAAAAAATAGAATTATGTTTATTATTTTAGATCCCAATATCCCACACCTCAAGTGCTTATTCAAACTTTTCTTATTCAATTAAAATTTTTGCTAAGCACAATTTTGCAAATTTACATTTCTCTTCATAAAATTCACATTTGTGTTTATTATTTTCAATCCCATAATCCCAACATTCTAATACTTCACTGATTCTCTACAATTTAGATAAGAATTATGCTTAAGATATCATAAGCGATTTACCTTTTTCAATATAAAAGCCAATATTGTTTAAATTATTTAATATTCCTTAATTTAATATTTCTACTGCTTCTTCAATTCTATTCTGCATTTTTAATGCTTTAGCTACATAGTTAAATTGTTAAGATACCAAGCTAACCCAAAAAAGGTACATAAGATTAATGAACTTTTACTGCTTGAGTCCAACATTCTATAACTTTATCATACTTTCCAAGTTTTTTTAAAGCCCAAGCTATCAATAAATAGATTTAGTTACCTTTATGGCTATAAAATTCCATAGTCTATTAATTCAATGATATGATTTTATCACAATAGATTATGACTTCCTCAATTCTATTTTACTTTTATAATGCCTAGACTATTCATAATCAAAAGAAATAACTAATTTATATATAAAAATTTGGATCTTTGCAATTAATTTTGATCCCTTAATCCCAACATTCAATAATTTCATCTAATTTTCCATTCTTCTCTAAAGTCTTAGCTAAAAATGTTGAAAAAGATATTAAAACCCTTCTCAATGTAATATAATATATTTGTTTTATTATTTTCAATTCCTTAATCCCAGCAATCAATACTTTCTTATATTAAACCAACCTATTCTAAATATATACCTAAGCTTTCATTAATAAAATACATTTTAATCCATAGAAGTATATATCAGTTTAATTCAACTATATTGCTTGATTTAACAATTCGATAGCTTCTTTTTGAAGACCTTTATCTCGTAATTGAGAAACTATTAAATGTAATTAGTTCCATACACAATTTATAAAAAAATATTCGAGGATTCTACTGCATCTTTTTCGAAAAGTAATAAATAATCAATTTTAATAATAGTCAAATATATTTAAATATTGTAAAATACTATGAGAATTAAAAATTTTGTTTTACTAAAATTCATAAACCTTTATTCGATAAGAAATCAAAATTATAGTATAAAATTTGATAGAACTCAAAAGGTTTCTTTCGCTTGAGTCATAAATTTTGTTATGAAAAAATTCTCTTCCTATCCCAACTAAATTGCTAGACGTTATATTTAGATTGCTTTCCTATACATATTTAAGCCTTATAGTGAAATTCCTTAAAATTTAAATGATAATCTTTTTTACTCTTTTGATTAATAATTTCTGAATTTTTTGAATCAAGCTTAAGTGCTAAATCATAACAACATAAGGCTTTAAGATATTAATTTTATGTTTCTAAAGAAATACCTGAAAATAATGTAAATATTCTAGTTACATTTCCATAAATAAATTTGCACAAAGTTTGGATTTAATTAAAGAATGATTTCGAAATGTTCCAAAGNAAAATTTTTGCTAAGCACAATTTTGCAAATTTACATTTCTCTTCATAAAATTCACATTTGTGTTTATTATTTTCAATCCCATAATCCCAACATTCTAATACTTCACTGATTCTCTACAATTTAGATAAGAATTATGCTTAAGATATCATAAGCGATTTACCTTTTTCAATATAAAAGCCAATATTGTTTAAATTATTTAATATTCCTTAATTTAATATTTCTACTGCTTCTTCAATTCTATTCTGCATTTTTAATGCTTTAGCTACATAGTTAAATTGTTAAGATACCAAGCTAACCCAAAAAAGGTACATAAGATTAATGAACTTTTACTGCTTGAGTCCAACATTCTATAACTTTATCATACTTTCCAAGTTTTTTTAAAGCCCAAGCTATCAATAAATAGATTTAGTTACCTTTATGGCTATAAAATTCCATAGTCTATTAATTCAATGATATGATTTTATCACAATAGATTATGACTTCCTCAATTCTATTTTACTTTTATAATGCCTAGACTATTCATAATCAAAAGAAATAACTAATTTATATATAAAAATTTGGATCTTTGCAATTAATTTTGATCCCTTAATCCCAACATTCAATAATTTCATCTAATTTTCCATTCTTCTCTAAAGTCTTAGCTAAAAATGTTGAAAAAGATATTAAAACCCTTCTCAATGTAATATAATATATTTGTTTTATTATTTTCAATTCCTTAATCCCAGCAATCAATACTTTCTTATATTAAACCAACCTATTCTAAATATATACCTAAGCTTTCATTAATAAAATACATTTTAATCCATAGAAGTATATATCAGTTTAATTCAACTATATTGCTTGATTTAACAATTCGATAGCTTCTTTTTGAAGACCTTTATCTCGTAATTGAGAAACTATTAAATGTAATTAGTTCCATACACAATTTATAAAAAAATATTCGAGGATTCTACTGCATCTTTTTCGAAAAGTAATAAATAATCAATTTTAATAATAGTCAAATATATTTAAATATTGTAAAATACTATGAGAATTAAAAATTTTGTTTTACTAAAATTCATAAACCTTTATTCGATAAGAAATCAAAATTATAGTATAAAATTTGATAGAACTCAAAAGGTTTCTTTCGCTTGAGTCATAAATTTTGTTATGAAAAAATTCTCTTCCTATCCCAACTAAATTGCTAGACGTTATATTTAGATTGCTTTCCTATACATATTTAAGCCTTATAGTGAAATTCCTTAAAATTTAAATGATAATCTTTTTTACTCTTTTGATTAATAATTTCTGAATTTTTTGAATCAAGCTTAAGTGCTAAATCATAACAACATAAGGCTTTAAGATATTAATTTTATGTTTCTAAAGAAATACCTGAAAATAATGTAAATATTCTAGTTACATTTCCATAAATAAATTTGCACAAAGTTTGGATTTAATTAAAGAATGATTTCGAAATGTTCCAAAGCCTCAACAGATCTTGATAATATTTATAATGAAATCCCTAAAATAAATTAAAGCATATACCTACATAATGATGAAGTATTACAGAATTTGGATATTCTTTTAAAGCTTGTTAACCAATATCTATCACTTCGTTATACTTTTTCTTTGAAATTAAAGTAAGACCTAAATTAGATCTATTGAATACATCTCCAAACTTAAATTAGAGGAAATTATGGATTTAATTTAATTGCCTCATTAATGATAGATTCAGATTCATCAAATTAATGTAAAACATCTAGAGCGATACCTTAAATTACTGATTGACATTTGGGTTACCTTTAATACATAAAATGATAATATTTTCAGAATCATTTTTCAATTCTTGATTACAATGCTCTATAACCTATGTAAAAAAGTAAGGATTTTCAGCTTGAATTTACTCAACAAAATTTATCAGCTTATCGATTTGATTTAAATGGATTAAAGTTTAGCCTAATTAAATAAATTCCAATCAATATACATTTATAAAATTAAGAATAAGGAGCATTTTGTTTTTTTTGGACTAAATCTGTAAACAATTCATCAGCTTCAATCCACTTTTTTTAATTGAATAGATTAACTGCTAATTAAACTAATCAATTAGACTATGTAACAATACATTAATCAGTATTTTATTGAATATTCTCTTGATGTAAACATAAGTCTTAATCCATGATATAAGGTTATAATAATATAATTAATTAATTTAAATTTATAATAGGTGATATTTTGGGTATTTCCCATAAACTTGAGATATTTCATTTAAATCAATTACACATTAATATATTTGGCTTAGATTATCTAGTAGTAAGAATTATCTAGAAAATATGAAATTACTTATTTCAGGAATTCGAGATATTAGTATTTAACTTAGATAGACTGAATTGAAATAAAGCAACTATAATTTATATACAATTTATTCTATATAGTAAGTTAGTTCAATAATTCTAATCTGGGTGAACAATAATAAGGATTACTAAGATGATTATCATATCAAATTATGCGATTATCGAAATGGCGAGATAAAATCAACTAAGATAAATTACAGCAGATGTGTAATCTGCTTGAGTAACAAGATACTCAATTAAGCTTGTAAGTTATATAATTATTTACTTATTTACAATTTCTATAATAAAGCTTAAACATATGTATGTCTCGAGTAACACAATTAATTAAAATGTTGAATTTTAATTTCAATATTTCTAATGATTAGAATTACAATTAATAGAAACTAATAGGATAGAAACACTTGTTACGATATTTCGGGTTCAAACTATTAGATATTTAATTGTATAAAGAAAATTAAAGANTTTGAATCAAGCTTAAGTGCTAAATCATAACAACATAAGGCTTTAAGATATTAATTTTATGTTTCTAAAGAAATACCTGAAAATAATGTAAATATTCTAGTTACATTTCCATAAATAAATTTGCACAAAGTTTGGATTTAATTAAAGAATGATTTCGAAATGTTCCAAAGCCTCAACAGATCTTGATAATATTTATAATGAAATCCCTAAAATAAATTAAAGCATATACCTACATAATGATGAAGTATTACAGAATTTGGATATTCTTTTAAAGCTTGTTAACCAATATCTATCACTTCGTTATACTTTTTCTTTGAAATTAAAGTAAGACCTAAATTAGATCTATTGAATACATCTCCAAACTTAAATTAGAGGAAATTATGGATTTAATTTAATTGCCTCATTAATGATAGATTCAGATTCATCAAATTAATGTAAAACATCTAGAGCGATACCTTAAATTACTGATTGACATTTGGGTTACCTTTAATACATAAAATGATAATATTTTCAGAATCATTTTTCAATTCTTGATTACAATGCTCTATAACCTATGTAAAAAAGTAAGGATTTTCAGCTTGAATTTACTCAACAAAATTTATCAGCTTATCGATTTGATTTAAATGGATTAAAGTTTAGCCTAATTAAATAAATTCCAATCAATATACATTTATAAAATTAAGAATAAGGAGCATTTTGTTTTTTTTGGACTAAATCTGTAAACAATTCATCAGCTTCAATCCACTTTTTTTAATTGAATAGATTAACTGCTAATTAAACTAATCAATTAGACTATGTAACAATACATTAATCAGTATTTTATTGAATATTCTCTTGATGTAAACATAAGTCTTAATCCATGATATAAGGTTATAATAATATAATTAATTAATTTAAATTTATAATAGGTGATATTTTGGGTATTTCCCATAAACTTGAGATATTTCATTTAAATCAATTACACATTAATATATTTGGCTTAGATTATCTAGTAGTAAGAATTATCTAGAAAATATGAAATTACTTATTTCAGGAATTCGAGATATTAGTATTTAACTTAGATAGACTGAATTGAAATAAAGCAACTATAATTTATATACAATTTATTCTATATAGTAAGTTAGTTCAATAATTCTAATCTGGGTGAACAATAATAAGGATTACTAAGATGATTATCATATCAAATTATGCGATTATCGAAATGGCGAGATAAAATCAACTAAGATAAATTACAGCAGATGTGTAATCTGCTTGAGTAACAAGATACTCAATTAAGCTTGTAAGTTATATAATTATTTACTTATTTACAATTTCTATAATAAAGCTTAAACATATGTATGTCTCGAGTAACACAATTAATTAAAATGTTGAATTTTAATTTCAATATTTCTAATGATTAGAATTACAATTAATAGAAACTAATAGGATAGAAACACTTGTTACGATATTTCGGGTTCAAACTATTAGATATTTAATTGTATAAAGAAAATTAAAGATGCTTTAAAGAAGGTTATACTTACTCTGATTCAATCTATGAATTGAGATAGAAAATTAAAATTAGTGAATAAATTGTTTAAGTGATTGCTGGGTGTTGTTGAGATATAATATTTATTTTCGGATATCTATAACTGATATCAATAGAAACACTTGTAAATAGGAGTAAAGTATTATAATTAGTTCAAGTTTCAATCTAACTTTATCAATATGATAAGGACTTTGATAATTATTATTGATTTTAATTTTATAAACAACTAAATAAGATATATCGAATTTCATTAGAAATAAAATTAATTATTTAGAAACACATGCAAAATCTAAAATCATTCACTCCTCGACAAGAAGTTAAACCAGTCAAAGTCAATATTACAACGTAATTCACATAACAATAAACACTATAGTGAGTAATTCCAGGCCTTAACAAAAATGTATAATTTGGGTAAATTATAAACAAAAAATGCTGAGCGTGAACTCATTTAATAGCATTTGCAATAATAGCAATTAATATAAACCAGTACTCAAAGAAACAATACACCATAATCTTGCAAGAGCGCCTAAGAAGTATGAATGCATGCTATATAATTTTAAGATGAAATATTTCCTGTATTAAAAGAATAATGGAAAAGAATAATAAGTCAAAATCTAAAACAACTCATAGGTTTAGCAGAAACCAAAGAATAGTTTACATCGCAATTTCTCTTAAATAGAGAAGTCTGGATCTCCAATTCTGCCTTCAAAAATTTAACCCTAGGTAACTTCATAACAAAAGGTTAAAAAATATAATCCCTTATCTATCGATTAAAGATTTACATCAAATTAATAATTTGTCTAATAAATAACGTCTCAAATCAATAAAAAAGAGGATCCACCAAAAAAAGATAATTTAAAAGTTAGTCTAGACGACTTTGTAACTTAAATTAATAAACCAGCCAAGAGTTTGATTTCTCCCTTCAAATAAACTAAATCTTTATCTCCTTCCAGTAGAATTCAATCATCTAAACAAAAAAGTAATACTAATGTAGTAATCATATTAGAATATATATACTATGTGACATCTGTAATAGAAACATTTAAACATTAATATTCGCAAACCATTGAATAGTAGTTATATAAGGATCATGCTATGTAAACGTTTAATTGCATTGGATTTTGTCTGAATTTGCAAGATCCAGATCCTTAAATCTTAAGATTAAAAGAATTAAATCTACCTCTAAAATAAAATTGCAAATGTATGATAATAGTAGTAATAATAGATAAGAAGACAGTGGTGTTTGATTTGGATGAGACCTTGATACATTGCAATGAAAATTAAACTCTAAAGGCTGATATTTATATCCCCATAAAATTCCCTTCTGGAGATGTAGTTTCTGCAGGAATCAATATTCGTCCTTATGCCAAATGGATATTAACAGAACTCAGTAAGTTATGTGAAGTAATTGTATTTACTGCCTCCCATCAATGTTATGCAAGTTAAGTGATAGCTCATTTAGATCCCAATAATCAATTTCTTTCAGCTTAGGTGTTTAGAGATGGGTGTGTGTTATCAACTGAAGGTGTGCATATTAAGGATTTGAGGATTTTTAAAAGAGATTTAAAAGATATAGTGTTGGTAGATAATGCTGCATATTCTTTTGGCATGCATTTGGAGAATGGAATCCCTATAATTCCATATTATGATAACTAGGAAGACAAGGAATTAAAATTTTTGTATGACTTCTTGGTTGAACAAGTATTGCCAGCTCCAGATTGCAGATTGGTTCTTTAATCGACTTTCAAATTGAGAGAATTTTCAAAATATAGAGATCCTAAAACAGCCATAGAGAAACTATTTTGATTGAACTCGTAATTAATATGTTTATACTAAATGGCTTAATTTTAGATATATTGAAATTACACTTCAAAAGTATTATTTTTAATATCTATCTATTATATTTGTCTTTTATTAGAAATCTATTTATCTTATAATATTCTGATTTACAATTTTATCAGTACTTACTTTGAACTAGTAACTAAGGGTTGCTAATTTAGATGTTTTATATAATGACAAAATACTCATAAATTTTAACGAGCATATTATTAATAAATATATACTATATTCTTTGAACATATGAAATCTGAAATTTCACTATTATTTATTATTATTATAATGTAATCTCAAATTAACAAAACCTAGATCCTAGCCAAAGTGAAGAAATGCCATAAGAACATTTCCAAACTGAATGAAAAATTGTATATTTTTGAAATGTTTAACAACAAATCAAATTTCAACATCGAAAAAAATCCAGATGAGATCAAATCAAAGGAAATTAAAAACTCTGTAGTTATTATCAATGATGAAACCAGTGTGGAATTGATTATGAATACAGAGGATCCCCAATAAGACCAGGTTTTAGATATAAAACAGACTGCACGCAAATTAATATCACGATTTTATTATCACATCAAATAAAAGATGAAAGAAGGTTCCATAAATCAAATTGAAGCATTAAAGTAATTTTGCGATAAAGAGGGCAAAAACGATCTCTATTTAAAGCTTCATCAAGGATTTCTAAAATTGTATTTTGAAAAAGATTCAACATGTAAGGAATGTCATTAAGTCATAAAAAACTAGTCAAATTGTCTTAATCATATCAGAAAGGAACATCTGGCTGATCTAGAGATTTATATTTGTATTAAATGTAAGTTGTCATTTTCTAAAGGAGATGTATTGGAAAAGCATATTTAACAACAGCATTATTAATAGTAGACTATGGTCTAGAGTCACAGAGAGACTAAAGTGAATGTCTAATAAATGCAAAGCAAACCATAAAGTAATGGAAATTGCATACAACATAGGTTTAATCAGAAATTAGATTTAAATAAGATTGTTTAGAATATCTAGCCCCAACCAATTCTTAAGAAAATATTAGTGCCCTAATAAAATAATAATAGTTTAAGATCCTCATCAGACGAAGCAAAAAAGTGTATGCCTGTATTTAATCAAGTGTATATCCCTGTAGAATTTTAAGCAGGAAATGCTGAGGAGAACCATGAAGATAAGTTAGATCTTAATTCCAATACTATCAAAAAGCCATCCAAACTTAAAATTAAATACATATAAGTATAAAAAAATGATAAAACATAAAATAATTGAAATAATTATTTATTCCAAAATGATTAAAGGAGTTTTAACTAAGTCTCATGGAATTGTTATAATAACGATGTCAGGTCTATTTACATAAGCAAATTGGACATATCAAAGTCTTTAATAGTCTTCATAGAAGCCAAATGATTTCTAAAAGGATTTTCTTCAATATCAAATGGCTCACTTTATAAATTATGTACAATTTCTAATTAATAAGTCTATAAGTGGATTTTTTTTCCCCATTACAACTAGTGTATTGCTGTCAGGATTATTAATTTTGAGATAATACAACTATCATATCGATTATGAATAGGAGAAATAAAAATACTTTAAATATGCCTAGATTTCAATGATTGGGCTCATAAGTCTTTTAGGTTTGAGTGTACCAGGTAGATTTATTTTATTGAATAAACATCGTTGATGCATTCTGAATTAGTTTTAGAGTATATTTAATTTTCATAATTAAGAATTAGACAGTTTATATATAAATAATTTATTTATTAAATAACATATTTAGAAAGATCTGCGATGAATAAGGACGATATCATTGCATTTTATGGGAAAAGGGATGTGAAAGAGACATACAATTATGATATTTTGGCAGATGATAGAGTTTCTTTATTTTCTTCGATAAGGGGATCAAAGCGGGAAAAATAGAAGACTTTAATTTTAAGTAGTTAACCTACCATATATTGCTGTCTGAGTATATGTAGTTTTTTGATTGCCCTATCAAATTTGCCAGAAGAGGATAGAATTTATTTTTTTTATGATGATCCAGTATCATACAATGTAGGATTAGTAGTAAGTTATTAATTTAAGTAAGAGGTTTGTATGTGTTGTCTGTGTATATTGGGCATAGTAATCTCAGATATTATTAAGAAATCATTTACAAATAAACAAATAGGAACTTTGCCGTTTTTGACAAAGAAGTAACACAAAATGAACTTTAATGCCACTATCTGTCTAGCAGGACAAGTTGCTCATCTACTTTTACTTATTGAAATAATTCTGTAGGTAATGCCAACTTAGTTATTTTAACATGAAACTTTAGTTGATTTATCATTCTTACTAAATGTGGTTTATTTTGCTTATGCGTATAGCTTTTTAGAGAAGAAGAAGGCTGCTCAGATGCATTATATCCCATTTTTCATTTATATATGTGTCACTCTTGCATGTAATAATTGATATAATTTAGAGTGCTATGTTAAAACAACTCGATGAAACTACAATATACTCATATTTGGAAGGTGTAGACAGAGAGAGTTATTTTAACTTATATGGGGATTATGTTGCAAGGAATATAATTTTAGTTGTTTAGACCAGCTATAAAGGAGATGGAGAGAAATCAAAATATCTTGGCAGAAGTTCTTTGATTGCTTTATTAAATATAAAATCAATCTTGGAAAGGGTGAATGTCTTATTATTTTTTTTATGGTTGTTTTTTTTATGGTTATGGTTATGGTTATGGCTATTGTTATTATTATTATTATTATTATTATTATTATTATGGTTTTATCTTTTGCATCAATGAACGCATGAAGTTTTTTTGAGGGGAGGGTGGTTCTGGAGTAGCAATGTATTATTATTTGTAATTTGGAGACACGGGGATTTATTTTATTATCAGAGGACTTTGGCATTCAAAATTTTTGGGTATTTGTAAAGGTTGAGCATTTGATATTGATTTTACGATATCTCTGAATTCATTCAAGAATTTTTCATTATAGTACTCTACAATTCTGGTGAATACTTGCTTTTATTAGGAGTAATATTTAGTGTAAAGCTATGATAATTTTCTATATTTTTACCTTATTGTAAGAGTTAAAGGAGGGACTCTGTTTTTGATGTTTTTGTATGACATAGAATGTGCAAATGATCACAGTGTCAAATATCACATCCTTCAATACTGATAATTTAGGATTCTTCATAAATTCACATATTGCAGAATAAGCGAAGTCATGAATGTCTAATTCCAGGATATTACAAAGTTCCTTCACTCTCAAGGCTAAGTGGTTTTAGAATCTTCTCACTAATTCCGAATCAAAATATTTTGGGGAATCTATATAATATATATTCAATACTCTCTTTGAAGATTTCAACCAGTTTTTCAGCATCTGTTTGCCACATCAAATTGAAGAGGATGTGCTTCTCTAACTCAAAGAGTTATGAAGTTATAGTAGAGGGCATTTATCTATGAAAATGAGCAAAATTAGCTATGACTCTAAATAAATCTAAGGGACTTATCTCAAAGACTGTGCATAATTGTTTCATGTTTTGCAATAAGTTCGGTTTTTAGGCTACGATTTAATAGGTATACAGAGATAGACCTAAAATAGCAAATTGGAATCTATAATTTTTAAGTAATTTCAAATCAAATTAACCTTCATTCTATTTCATCAATGAATCTATGACAGCAAGACACAAAGTCAATATTGTTTACACTTATTCATGTTATTTTTAAGATTTTTATGCTTCTGTGACCTCAAAGTATTTATTAATATTAATTGTTGCCTAATTATAAAATCCTTATTCATCATCATCATCTTCAAAGCATTTATAAGTTTGCATAGTGATTTTCTTAATCCATTAATGTAATTCCATGCATTTACTAATTGGAGTTTGAGGATTAGCATTTTTCTTGATATCAAAATAGGTTTTTTCTTGCGTGTTAGAGAATTTGTTATCTTTCAATGGGGTTTACATAAAAGGAGGATCACTTTTTATTTTGGTCTTCTTTTACCATGTTTCAAAGTCTGAATAGTCAGCTTGCTTATTGATGTCCTTCTTAGGTGTAAAAACAATCCTCTATCTCAAAAAACATTCTTCATCTAAATCTGAATGTTTTCTAGTCTTTTCATAATATTTGTGTAATCTTCTATAGGTTTAATCAATTGCATTTTCTTCAAATAATACTGAGAGCAGAGTTTCTTGAGTTTCTTATTGCATATCTAATACTTTTGTTTTATGTTGCATCATATTTACAACTTGATTGATGCATTTAAAGCACAAATCCTAATAATATTTTAATTCCTCATCGATTTCTTTTTAATCATTGCAAAAAAAGGACAGCATTTTTTGTGAAATATCTGAAACATTTTATGTAAATGTATTTGGAATATTTTAAAATACAATCGATAAAGATCCCACTAAAATTAAAATGACTTTAGTATTTGGATCACAAATAATAAGCTAATTTTTATCTAACTGCTCCTCATATTGTAAAATATTCTATCGAACTATTATGCAGAGAATCCAAGCAACTTTTTTTAAGTCAGATATATAGGGATCACAATCATCCTCCTTTTTGAATTATGGAGTTTAACTTGGATTCTGTACGGGCCTATAATAATATAAAAATTATCAATACTAGATGAGACTAAAGCATTTGTCAAACTTTTTGTACAACCTAAAACTGAAATTAGCCTATCTGACTACGTTATCAAATTCGGTTGAATGATACTTCAAAAGCGCAGGGAGATCTTGCAAAACCATTAAGAACTACTCAATATCAGTTTAGGGATCCAAGTTGCGGATGATCTACAATCCTATGAATAACATACTTAAGTAAGTGTAATTCCATTGCCTTGTTTTGTTTATCCATCAATTTATTGAATTTGACAACTTTGACTGCATAAATAAACTACAGCTGGAACATAAATCTATATATATACTCTAATCAAACATACTTTTTCATCTTATTCTGAAAATTGTTGCATAGCTTATTTAACCTTATCCAAAGTTTCTTGATCCAAATTTAGTTAATTAGAAAATTCTTCTATATACATTCTTCCCGGGTAATTTTATTATATTTATAAACTATTAATGAATATATTTTGAAAAATTAAAATTTGTGTATGAATGCAAAATATTACTCATTTTCTAACTAATATTCATTCTCATTTTAATCATGTCGCTTAAATATTTTATTTCAAATTCCTTCCAAAAATATCATAACTCCAGGATTTGGTAACAATGAATTTAGTTTTCCTAAAGATATGATACTTTTTAACAAACTTCTAATTGAATATCTTAATTAGGATTAAAGAAATTATTTGTAATGCCTTATTTTAAGTATTAAATAAGTTCATTATTAATCACTTGGATTTGAATAATCAAAATAAAATCCTTCCTTCCTCCAAATCACATTTACTGATACAAAAGAAATTGTAGCAAAAACAAGCAATAGCAATTTATAATTTATTTGAACTATTTAAAGGATGAAATTTACTTTAAAAAGTTTGAAGTAGCTAATTTACTATTGCAAACTAGATTGTATATATACATTGTAATTATTTATAAATTAATTAAAAATTATGAATAAGAATACTTTAACTAAGTATAACTAATTAGTTAGTTTTAAATTGCAATTTAAAATGAACCAAATCCTCTGCTTTTTCCTAGAATTCAATTGTATTTTACTCAAAACCTATATAGGAATATGTTAAATTTTGTAAAATAAAATTAATTAATTATTTAGCTTGATGATTTCTAAGTTGATAATACAGTTAGATTAAACAATAATATTCATATAATGGAATAACAAATATATGAGATTATCATTCATTTAATTATGATATTATTCGTCCACGACTTTGCTTAGGAAGATCATCATCACTAAAATCAATTTCTCTCTTTTCTTCCAAAGGATTTTCTTCTGAGAACTAATGCAATTAATTTAAGAATGCTAATGGATCATCATCTTCTAAATTATTATCTTTAGTATTTTCACTAGATGATTTTAATGCATCAATAACTTCCTTTTTATCCTTTAAATTAGCATTTATTCTTGTGACTAGATTCCCTGGATCATTTTGGCAAGCCAGTTCATTATCCTCATCAGTCTCTTAATTAGATTGAATTTTCAAATTAAGCTATTCTGCAACTATTTTAGCAGTGCATTTTCTTTGATGGCTTTCTAATCTATCTATAACACCCTTCCATTTGCAGCCATAAATTTTGTTTGAACAATAAACATCCAATTCACTTATGATTCCTGCAGCAATACGGTCGACTATGAAAAATTATTTTGAATAAAAATACTTTGAAAGTGCTTTCGCTTTGCATCTGATCTGCACTCAGGACATGTAGAATGATCTGTTAACCATTAAGAAATGCATTATTTACAAAATGTATGGCTTCATTAAAAATATATTAATACCCACATCGCAATCTAGTTGGTTCATCAAATACTGCGGAACAAATAATACACTTTATATATTTGGAAATCAAATTTTCATTTACAAAATTTCGCTCCAATTTTGTGCTTTACATTATATTGATTATATTTATTTAAATATATTTTCTATTTTATAAATACTAATTACATCTATTCATTTATAGTATTGAAATAATGAAGAGAGAGTGTGAATACTTGATTTATATTATCATTTAACTATTTTCAAGATTGCATATAAAATAATTAATGATTTACATATAATGAATCAAAAATGGAAAATCCAAATTTAAAGCAAGCACTCAAAATATGAGGGGAATCCAGTATTCACACTTTGTAAATAATTAAATTCAATATATATACTATTTGGAATTAAAGTTTTATTTATAATTGAAATAAATTTTAATATGTCTGAAATTGAGCAGTTAACTTAATAGAAGTAAGAGATTGAGAAAAGTCAATCAATTTTAAATTAATGGGTTTAATTAAAGAAAAATCTGTCTTCTAAATTCAAAAATACAGCAGAAGCTTTTAAATCTATATGCAAGGAAGGGAAGGACGTATTGGCCATTGAAGATTTTGGGGATTATGCAAAAGGATTGGATTTGTAAGATTATTGAACTATATTAATTAGAACCTAAGTATTTAAAGACATTACATTAAATGAAGAAAACTTTTCTAAAGCTTGGGAATAATGGGAATACAAATAAAAATAGAATGATCATAAATTACAAATCATTAATGAGAAACTATAGCTATTGACAATGTTAGATAATGGAGAGTTACCTAAAGAAGCTTCACGAGGATTAGATGCAGCACCAAATAAAAGAGTATAACAAATAGAAACATTAGAAAAATTACAAGAGAAATTGGATAATCTAGTAAATGAAGGATAAAAATAGAAAGAAAAATAAGATGTTGTTCAAAATGAATAAGACTGTTTTGCATAATTTCTAGCCAAGAAATCAGAAGTCAAATCACCAGAATTGCAAGTTTCTAAACTCCAATAAAAAAATAACGAAGAAGAAGAATAAAATAGTAATCCTTCCAAAATTAAACGAAGTTACATTGATTCTACTCCTGCATAATCTAGAAATAAAGCTACTTTTGGAAGCAGTGCTAATTTACTTCAAAGTAGTCTCTAAAATAAGGGTTCGTTAGGAAATAGTCAAATATCCGTTAAATCTTCCTTTATTGTTGAATCTTAGATTTAGATTTCTCCCCAGAAGGCAGCTCAAAATTTAAGAAATTATGCCCCTAATCCTCAACAATAACTAAGGTCTCCTTATGAAGAAAGGTAAGTGTAAGAGGAAAGAAAATCCCAAAAGGCAAACAGAATGAAAGGGGATCTTCAATCCTATATTTCTGAACTATTTTAAAATGAAAGGGATCCAAAATAGTAAATAAGATCATTTGAAAGACCAAATTCCTAAGGCTTAGCTGGATTTGTTACATCTAAGAGATTATATTAGAACAATTCAAATAAATAATCCTTTGCTGATACAGATTCCCATAATGTATCTAACAGAGTGCAAACAATTAGGTATTGTTGAATAAAATGATAGATATAAATTGGATGACTTTTAATCTTAAAAATTGGCATAATATAGTTATGTTCCAAGAACAGTGCCAGATTGGACTCCTGATAGACCAGTGAGATTGTCAAATCCGAAGCCAAAATAAAATAGTGGGAAATAGATAAGTCCCAAATATACTCCTGGAAATACTCATAGATTAAATCTTAATTATTTGAAACAAGAAAAGGAAAAGGAGTCACATGAACAGAAATAGGAAGAATAACCATAAGCAAATTGTTGATTTATTATATATTAATAATATAAAAAAATGATGGATTCTTAATTGTTGATGTTACACATTTTATAAATAGTTCATAGATTTAATAAATAGCTTATCAAATAAGCTAACCAAGTTTTATTTTATTATTTCATCTTCAATTTCTATTTCTCTTTCTGCACATAATTATTATAGAGGAAATCTGTTAATCGAATCAATTCTAAACAATAATGGCCAATTAGAGATTTATGTAGGATTGCCAAATCTGAATGTTGAGGATTAAAAATATCACAAATCCCCCAAGGAAATTTTCTATTTTGAATAATGCACTCATTACCTTCCATATATCAGATGATTTCCAACTTGAAATTGTTCCACCGAACTTATAATCACATAAGGAGGCGTGGGTCCAAATTGACTTTTCTCATTGAAATTATTATTGCATTAACATTTAAACAAATCGATATGATAATCATTTATCAAATCATTAAACTACTATTTAAGCTATATTATCTCATTTTTAGTATATGAATCTCCCTTGGCCAAAATGGGAATAACATTCACTAATCCACTTATTTTTTTGAGTGCCTATAAATCCTCAGTTTAAATTCTAGGACCAGAGAAAAAGTAAAAACATACATGCACTCTTTCATCCAAGTCTTATTATGATAATTACTAAAATTTCTCTTTGCTTTCATATTACTGATTTTATCTTTGCTAATAAGAATTAAATTAACTCCTAATGTGTCCACATAATAATTTAAGCCAAGATCTTAGACTATATTAATGTCTAAATCCAGGAGTGTCGATAAATTTGATATTCAAAGTTAAATCATTAGCAGTTATTTGACCTTTGTTTTTTGAATGAATGAATACCTTAAATTTCCTATATTTGAAGAGTAGAATCTCTTAAAATTTAGCCTGTTCCAAACTTTTTTTTAAGTATTACATCAATGAAAGTTGATTTCCCTAACCCTGACTAGCCAACTACCATAATGTTCAAATAGATCTAGATTTAAGAGATTACTAATACAGGTTTGTGATCTCTCTGCTTTTTTTATTCAATTAAGGCTTAAATCTCTGATCCTGGATATGAATCTCCCAAGGATTCTACTATTTGAGATTCATACTCTGACTTTTCTATGTCTTGTTGAATTATAGGCAAGGGTTATTTAAGAGAAGATGATTTACTAGATGAAGGAGCATATTTTACTTTTCTTAATATTCTGATGTTTCACTAGCTTATTCATCAAATTTATGATCACTTTACTTGATTGTACCTGTTGGCCCATTTATGATTGAGAAATCCTCTGTTCTTTATGAATTATCTAATTAAATTTGCTTTAAATTTCATACAAGAAGTCTCAAGTTTAGTTCTTTTGAAATCTTGCATTATAAAATTATATTTATTAAAGTAAAAATCAGCCAGAGATAGTTTTATTTTTATAATTTCTAGATATTTGTTAATGAATTAGGATAAAAGAAAATAGAGGAAAAAAAAAGAAATATATATTGTTCACAAATAGGTTTAATAATGTGAATATAATTTATTTGTTTAATGATTATTAAGTCAAAAGCTACAGTAACAAAGATCAAGTTACCATAATTGGCTATGAGTCACATTCGTGAACGATCTACTCGACATTCATAGACAAGATCCTTGAATCCCTCTCAATCTCCAATGTCTAAAATTTTATAGCCAACAACTCCTTTGCATTCAACTCATCACAAGAACTCTTCCTATTATCATTATTCCAGCATAATGAAAATAGATTAAACCCCTCTCAACGAAGTCGAAATGTTTAATTGCTTATATAAACCACTCGATGCTGCCAAGACAACTAAGAATAAAGAAAGTCCGCTTAAGCGTGTCCGCAATAGTAGTAATGAGAACTTTTAGAATAATTTTATGATATCTCGAGATCCTCGCAGAAGTGCACCTGATTTAGATATGTATCCAAACTACTTGAAAAAGCCTCAGTAATAAAATCAAACCAGGAGAATTGAAATAAGAGAGAAGATCATGGAAATATATCAATAAGTTGAGAAATTGCTCCAAAATCATAAAGGATATGTAAGATAGGTAGAGAAGAAGCAAGCTGTAATTACTTTGGTAAAGTTAAGGAAGGAATTCATACTTTTAAATTAGGATTATAATGATTATTATATTTTACCAAAAGCAGAGCCTGATCTTGAATTTAAGAATAGGATGGAAATGCTCATAAATTTGTTCTAACCAAATAAATTACAAAAGAGCAACCGAATAAATCTATTATTTAATTCCGATGATTCATTTAATACAGCTGAACAAAGTTAGATAATGCAATTATTGTCTGATTAATTTAGTGACTAGGATTAATATAATACAACATCTCAGTAATCCAGTGAGAACTTGTCAGAAGTATCTGGAACTATAAGTCAATCAAAAAGAAATGCTTAACAACATAGAACAACAAAAGTGATAGTGCAAAGATAATCAAAGTTAATTAATCCAATTGAGTCATAATAAATTTAATAAATACAACTTGATTCCTAAAAACAGAAACGCAAAAGTATTAAATAAGATTTCAAGGAATCTAAAACTTAAATACCTCGAAAATATACTAAGTTAAGTCTAGAAGATATCATGGATACCAAAGAAAAAAATGCTAATATAAATTATTTAGATGAAGGATAAGAACCAAGTGAAAGTGGCACAGGTAATAAAGATACAGATACAAAGAGAAAAGTAAGAAGAGAGACAAAGGTAATAAGTAGAAAGAATGCCATTTTTGCAGCTAACGGTTAATAAATTGATAAGAAAAATTATAGAATTAATACTGATGGATAGATGGTCAGTGATTAAATGTCTGATTAGGATAAATCTAGTGATAATAGAAGGTAATCTGAAGAAACAAATAGAAACGGGTTGGAAAATAGAGAGGATTTATTATCCAATTAAGAATAGATTGATGAGATATTAAATCAGGTTGAAAATGATTTAATTACTTATTAGAGAGTGGATGAAAATGATAATAAAAGAAAGAGAAGTAAGGCTATGGAATTCAATACGGATTTTAATCAGCAAGGTTAAAATAAGTTTTAGAAATCATAAACTAAATATGATCAAAACATTATCATTAAATAAAGTTAAATATACAAAACTGAACCAGAGTTTTTGAATTAAATCATTGATGAAACTGGTTTAATTGAAGCATTGTGCAATTGCTAATACATCTATGATTCTCGAATTTTGGATTTATATAGAATAGACAAATAATATACTACATGGGATGATGATATAGATTATATTTACTGTGGAGAATATTAATTCAAATGATATATTATATATAATGTTTATTAATGAATCATTATTATAATTTTTCCTGTGCTTTTTACAATAAATCAAAGAAATTGATTGAGGAACTTCCTGTTGGTAGATTGAGAAAGCCCATAGCGGTAAAAGCTTGAAGATGCAATTTAAATCCATCTATATTATCATAATTTGAAAATGTTGGACATAAAAATACTAGGTGTTTGCTTATTAACAAATTGAATCCCATTTTCAGAGCAGCAGCTAAATATTAGAATAAGAAATACTATGATCATAATCCAAAATGATAGACAATATCTTCATAATAATATCCATCACAGATTCTGCTGTTAGAATTTATGGAGGGAATGCAAAGTAATGTTGGATATCCAAAGACTTAACTACATTTTTATTATTATTCAAATTTACGTTTAAATATTTCCCTTTGGACTTCATAACATTAACTTCTCTGATCAAGAATGAATTCCTCAATTGGCATTAATTGTTTATAATTAACTTGCACTTTCTTCTCATTCAGGAACTTAAATAGTTTCTTATTGGCTTTATTTAATTCAGCATGTTATCTTAAAATAATGGAGTAGTGTCCATTTGATAATGGCAAAAATGACTCTAAATCTTAAGGAAGTATATTCAAAACAACTAATGCATCACATTTGTTAATGATTTTGGTGACAATTTCACAATCTTAGATGGTAATTGCTTTAAATATATCTAATTAGTGCTCATACAATCCTTCGCAATTTAATTATGCACTGCTTTTTTTATATGAATTTATTCTTCCTCTTTTAATACAACTATAATCATCAATATGATTATCAATAGGTTTGCATAGCAACATTTAACCATCCATCAATGGAAATGGATGCAAAATAAGGGCGTATTCATTTCTAAACTTGTGAACAAACAATTCTGAGACATCAATTTTATCAGGCTTTTCCTAATTACTATTTAAGATAGTTTCAATGTCTTCTTGTAAATCCATAACTGGTCCACCTCCAATTGATTAGACTTAATCTAATTCTTATTGTTCATTATTAGGATTGATTTGTTCCTGTTATTAATCTGCACCTTATAGATCAGTCTATTAAGGATCTTCAACCTAATCATTTTTGATGACATCTATTTCCCCCTCTTCATTCGGTTATTCAACAATTGGCTGAGTTTGAATAGTTGCCTTGGGAGATGAGTTGGTATCATTTAATTCGTTAGTGTCTCTTCTGATATCAGGTGAGATCATGCCTGAATAAGATAAGATAATATATTACTATTCTTATGAGATTGTTCCCTCTCTCTCTGTTATGCCAATTCTTGTAGTTGTTATTAGAGTTATTCTTATTCTAAAGTAAGGAATCTGGCTGTTTCACTAAACCATAAGATTTGCTTGATTACTAATTTACCATCCTCTTTGACTTCTGCTTCCACATAATTAGATTCTTGAATGGCTTCCTTGTTTTCTTCGAAATAGTGAGATTCTTATAACTTTTTGATTGGTCTCAATCTATCATCGAACTTATAGAGAAACTAGAATAAAAGAGAGGAATCACCTTCATTCCATTTCGAAAACTAGATGAGTAAATACTGTCAGTTGACAAGTTTCGTTTCACATCTGTTCGTATTAGATTATTTAGTGAATCATACCAAGTCTTCAATTTTTCTTTGACACCACTTTTAAATGACTATTTGAATACGCCATCTGTAGGCTATACAATATTATTTGAATAGATAATGAGCATCTGTTATTCTATTTTCTCTACTAAAGTTTTCTTGCCTCTCTGCAATTTTAACTTTAGATCCAATTCTTGTTTGGCTATTTTCTTATTGACATCAGGAGTGATAGGACCTTGTCTTAACTTGGGATCAGAGAAACCGAATCTACTTTCTGCCAATGCAATAAATGCCTAGATGATTTGCATGGTTGTACATTTCTATCTCCAATAAGACATCCATCCATAGTATATATGATGGGATTGCTCTTTTATTTAAATCCATATATTCTGCAGATCTCATCAGCATATTATTCCCATTAAGTTAGATCTTTCAATACAATCTTGAATGAGATTTCTGGGTAGTATTGTCTAATCAGATTGGCCATGTTCTCGCACTATTATGTTAACTTGAAGATAGAGTACTTCGGCTGTATCGACTTTATCGGAACTGCCTGCTATAATATACGAACTCATTTTAATTAATTATCTTTATGTGTATTGTACTATAATTAATGAATCTAAATCAACGATTGGTTTTGGCAACTTTCTCTAATTCGTCTCTCTTTTTAATAGTGTATGACTTTTATCCGTCTTCATTGGATGCTGCAATCAATTCATCAGCTAAGGCTTCAGCGATTGTCTTCATCTTCTTAAATACAGAATCTCTAACACCTTTGGCCAAATTGTGAACAGCCTTTCATTATCATTAAAATGCTTACCTCATTAACTCTTCTAATTGGAGCAACATCAACAGCTTATTATTTGGCAACACCACCAGTTCCTACTTTAGTGAAATCTTCTCTTGCTCCACCTCTTTAGACTGCAAGTGACAACACTGCGAGTGGGTTCTTGCCTGTCAACAAATGAACAATCTCAAATGCATGTCTGATTATTGCCACAGCCTTTACTTTCTTACCTGTATTTCTGCCATGAAACATAAGTGCACCAGCCAATCTTTCAACAATTGGGCATTGAGCCTTTCTAAACTTCTTTCTTTGATATCTATAAACAATAATATTCAATCTCTTTACCTTCCAGCAGTGTGAGGGACAAACACACGTGATTTTGATGTTTGAACTGCAATATAATCTTTGAAGCATTAATCTGTTACTTAAACTTCATCATAATCCCATTTTCCGAATAATTTAGGTTGATTTGCAAATTTGACTGTAGCTACAGATTCTTATTCAGCCATAATATTTTTTTTAAAAAGGATATTTTATTTATTTAAAATTTGATATATTTTACATGATTAAACAATCATTCAAAACTAAAGTGGCTTTAATGTTATCATACATTGGCACCAATTATCATGGACTACAATATCAATAAATGTATCCCACAGTAGAATCCACACTCTATGATGCTCTAATTAAAACAGTAATTTTGAATAATATCAAGGAATTTAGTTTCTGAATTAAATGCAGATAGCATTAAGAAAATAGGAGTAAGTAGAGGAGCAAGGACAGATCGAGGAGTGCATGCATTATGTAATGTAGTCTCTTTGAAATTGCAAATTGATCAAAAATATTGTTCATCAATGACCAATAATAAATTAATTGACAAGTGGAATATCGATTGGGATCTATTGATTCAAGAATTGAACTCATAATTGCCTACTGATATTAAAGTTAATGGAATCAAACATGTAACTCAATCTTTTAATGTAAAAAACTAAGCAGATTAAAGAATGTATAATTACATATCACCTTCATTTTCGACTGTGGACTATGTTTAGAATATATGCAATTAGTACATAGGAACCCATAACTTCCATAATTATACCTCCAAAAAACAATACAATGACCCTTCATCAAAAAGATTTATACAGGACTTTAGGGTTCAAGCTCTCAATTTTCACAATGAGAACTATCTTAAATTCACCATTCTTGGAAATAGTTTCATGTACCATTAAATCAGAAAAATCGTAGGAACGATTTATTAAATCATATAAGAGAAAAAAGATCTATCCTTCATTTAGGATACTTTCTCTTAACAGCAACACTCTCTATACATTGCTCCACAATAAGGTTTGTACTTAAGGGAAATCAAATTCACAGGATATAATATGAAGAAAGATATCCCATAGAAATTAGAAATAGATTTCAAATAATAGAAATTAATTGATGCATTTGAAGATGAACTAATCAAATATATATGTGAGCAGTATGAATCCTAAAACATTTTTGAAGAATGGTATAAAGAGATATAACAATATAAACTATGATGAAATATAATTATTTATATAATCATAATGGATTAACATCATTCTAAATCTTTTGGAGCTTTCAATTAGTTGAACTGCTAGCTTTTTAAACCAAAACCTCTATCTTTCAGACTTCAAATAGGTAAACTATCCCATTAAGATCAAAGGTTCTATACCGACTGAAACACCGCGAGTCCTCAAATAAGCTCTCGTCACTCCTTCAACAAATGATAATGATTCAAAGTATCTCTTTTCATAACTTAGTCATTCCCCCTCTCCATAATTGCGAGCCTTCAAATCCTACAGAGTCTCCACTGAAATGTTAAATGGATCTCCAATTGATTAGATTTAGTTAATTATTCGAGAAAACGAGAACCTCAAAAAATCCTTGAACCAAAAACAAAAGATTATTGACACTTTGACTCGATCGTAGAAAACAAAAACTCGATTTGATTTCAATGACTTGAAAAAGAATTCAAGGTCGCACATCTAACCTCAAAGTTAATAAGAAGCCATTAAACCTAAGTTAGTGGAAGTTAAGTAATCTGTCTCTCAAAATTACAATAAACGCACTAAGTTACCAAAAATTGAAGACTCTATCTAAAAAGAAGATGATGATTGTAACTTCACTTTTGCTAAGAATTTTTTCAATAACAATGCTACTTGTCAAAATAATAAGATTAATTTTAAATAAGTGTTTGCTTAATCTCATTTGAAGAAGAAATTTTTCACTTGATAATTAATTTCTATATAATAATTTAAATGAAAGACAATTATGATCATATCACAACCTCTTAGGCTATATTTGATGTGGTTAAAAGAGGGAATTACGTAGAGGAAACTCGTGTACAATACGAAATCAAATGCATTGGAACTGAAATAGAAACAGCACAAATGTAAATATTCATCTTCGATCTCATAGGGGAAAAGACACCGTTAAGTATAAGTTCACAATAACTAAAATTGATTTGTTAACAGATACCAAAAAGTCTCATGAATTTGTCAGGAGGTATTCTGAAAATAATCAACAACATATAGATATACACATTTCTTATGGTTATAAAATGAATTGCAAAATAAATAAATAGGCAGGGTGATTCCCAGTCTCCCTGAAAAATAGACAGTTTATGATAAAGATAAAAGGTACTCTCCTTGTTAATAATTATATAGAAAATTAGAATTTGTGTACTTTATGTAAAAAATATTGAGTCATAAAAAACTATAATAAGTTGATTGTCTAGAACGGTTTTTTAGTGAGGAATTAAGAGTAATGAATTAAGTTATATTAGGATTATGATGTATTTCAACACTATATTGAGAATATGAAAGAGTCTCAATCTATGATTAATATGTTTATTACAACTGGAATATCCTTTATGAATATGTTCTCTAAAGTCTGTAATTACAATGCTGTCTAAATAATAAATAGAATCCCTGATGAAAATGACAAATAATTTGAAGATTGTAAATATAATGATAACTTATCTTAAGATAGGAAAGAATTGGAGTAAAATTAGTCTAATACTGAAATAATATTTTCTGATATCCAGAAAATAGTTTAGAAATTGTAGATATAAGCAAGATCTTTATCGAATAGTTTTGATATATTCAGTAAATTATACAAATAGAATTAGTGAATGAATGTTAGGGAGTGGAAGAATTTGCTACATTAAAAACCATCATAAAAATTTATGAAAGTTATGAAATTTAGTTAAGATAGAAGTATGTTTACAGAATGGAAGCAAGCATTAAAGATTATGATCAAGCAATCAAATTAATCAATCTATATAAGGAGTTAAAGGATTAAATCAACAAAGATACTCAATTGATTAATAATCCAAATTACAGATCATAGATAGACGAACTGAAAATGCAAATCAATAATAACAAATAGAAAGTAGAGTAGTTGCATATCAACTTTCTAGATGATATAGATCTCTTTAAATAACAGTAAAGTTGGTGTTTGATTGATGTATAGAAAAAGTTTTATGTCGATTTGCAGGAGTGTTATGACTCTATTAAATAATAGAAAACTGCGCATCATTTGTGAAATCTATATAAATAATAACATTATTTTGGTATCTAACAAATAAATTATAAATTAATTAACTTATTGATATATATTTCGAATATATGTCCATAAAGAACTTGGAAGATTATGAACAAGAAGAAGAGTAGTAACAAAATGAAGAAGCAGAAGTCATTGAAGAAAACGGTTTAAGAGAACTATATGAGAACTAAGGTATGTATTTGATTCTTCTATGAAATCAGAATAATTCATGAGATAAATCAATTAACTTAATCATTAAGGTGTTCTCAAAATTAAGCTATAAAAATATTAGGAAGCTCTGAAATTACTTTAATAATCAGAATAAATGTTGGAAGTAAAAGAAGTAGATAGTATAATAGTATGCAACAAGTTGCGGCAAATAAATTGATAAGAATCTGATTATTGTCATACTCTATAATCAGGCATGCAGTTATCAATGGTAACTCTATAAACAAATTAATTAAGTTAATGGATATTAGATAAATGTTCAAAATATTTGACTGGAGTTATATACAATCTGGATGAGGGCATGAAAGATGAGGATGTAAATACCAATACTGAGACAAATGAAGAGGAAAGTGATGCCACTTAAGTTAAGAAAAAGTCATTTCTCGCCAGAGCTTCATTGTAACACACAGCAATATTGAGTTAATTGGGAAAGTAAGATTAAATTCAATTATTAGACACAAATAGGCTTTATAATCAGCTAGAAAAGCTGCAGAAACTATGAGAGAAGTATTTAAAATAGCTTCACAATTTTGCAAAGACTGGGTAATTAAAAATGGATCATTGGAATCATCAGCTACTACTCATTCATTTATGAACTATAAAGCTAAACAAAAAAATACTAAATATTAAATGAAAGATGAGGTTGAATTTAGTCGATTAGTAATTCAATCAGGAAATGATACATTGTTAGAAATGTTGAAATATTAGGATTTAGATAATATATCTAATAACGAACAATTGATTTTAAGAGAGACAAAGAAATAGTTGTACTTTTGGAAGAATAATCCTACAAACAATGAAAAACACATCCGACAAGAACTGAAGATAAACAATAAACCAGATGATTATCGATCAATCTTAGGAGTCCAAAATGTCGAAGAGTGGATTCAAACGTTTAATGTTAGTTTCATAATGCACATGACTCCATTAATTCATAGCGAATTTGCATAACAGGGGGAAATGCTATACGAGATTTCCAAAAGAATGTTATTGGAAAAGATCATTTAATTGTCAATCTCATACTTCACTATTGCAACTGAATTAAGATTTATAGAATTAGAAAAAGCAAAACAATAGGGAACTAAAGAATTCAATACTGAAGAATTTAAATTAAGTGAATTCTATCATCTCAAAGCTATTGAAATTGCATGTAAACATATAGTTTGTTCTTCTCAATATATCAATCATCTCATTACCACTTATCATAAACATTATAATTCAAATTTAGATACTATTTAAGAAGAGTCAATAACCACCATAGTCTCAGAATTCAACTACAAAGAATAAAAATTGCAGTAACTTAAATAAATGCAACTTCAAACTTAACGAGAAAACCAACTACTCATGTAGAAGATCACTGAAAAAAAACTCAATGATTCTTCTCCTACTGGAAGATTAGTCAATTCTCTTTAGGGTTAGTTATCTCCCCTCAAAAATAATAGAAATATTAGTGATAACATTAAGACCCAGGCCAATTTCCTTGATTAAATGATTCGTAACAAAAGAAGATAACAAATGCCATCTGATGTATCTCCAAAATAAAAGTTTTAATTTTTGAATCTATCTACAAACAATAGTTGTGAAAAAGTCAATGAGAAGGTGTTGAAAATGAAGGATACTCTAACAATATAATTATAACCGTATAAATCAGCAAAAGCAACTTTCAATCATATCATCAAATATATACCTTTTGGTTAATAGAACAATAATGGATTAGTAAAGTCCTTCCTACTTGAAAGCTGCAGAGTTCAAAGGCAAAATTTTGTATCCAATTGTTCTCCCAAAAGAGTAGGAAGATCTCCTAGAAAATCTCCAGACAAGTCTTATGTGAACTACAAAACTAGGACTTCAATTCCCTAAAACAAATAGAATATTCCTAATTTTGAAATAGAATCATGTATTCATAACACAATATTATAGAACTTCCAATGAAATTAGACACTTTGTAATAGTCATTGATAGGGAAATCATATTAAAATAAAAAAAGAAAATGAATACAACTTATCATTCTTTTTAGTGTTTTTGTTTATAATTATTTATATATAATTTATGCAGTAATAGTCACAGCAGTTAAAAGACTTTTGAACTCTTATTGAATCTATCATCAGTTAATTCTAAAGTGCTTCCCATATAGGACTACTAATGGATCAATTATTGCTACTATTAACTATTGCTTCTTATAGTATTTAATAGATTGATCACTCTATTTTAATATTCATTGATATTGTTATTTCTATGAGATTTATCATTTGAGTTTAATGGCAATAGTGAGTTCTCTGATTTAGTTTATTTCTAAGCTATAATTTATTCTAAAATGGTTGAATATTTCATCATTCTCTAATTTAAGTTTAATTCTTTTTTAATTAATATATCCTCCTTTTAAGCCAATTGATTCTCTTTTTCTTTCAACTTCTTTTCTTTTTATATTAACTATACTTAAGTTTTATGATACAAGATACTTGTGTTTCTTTTTGCAATAATTACTATTCCCATTAATTAAAAAAGTCTGTATTCTTGGTATTATCTATAGGCTAAGATTTTTTGTTAATCAAGGATGGTTTAAGCAAATTATCGACTTAATTCATAACTGAAAAAATTAATAATTAATCATCAAAATTTAAATTAATAGGATGTAGCTGTTGTCTAAAATACTGAATTTTTTATTTTTGGCGATTCAGTGTGTGTTCTAAAAGTATTGAATTACAACTTTTTATTCATCCTCTTCAATTCCTATTACCTCTTATTCATAAAACTCTTATATTTCATCAAATATTACCTACTACATTTAGGAAATGTTCATTGCTGAAATTTCAGCCGAGCCACTTGTATTTAGATGTTTAGAAACGTACATTTTGAGATCTTATTGGAAATTAGATTAATCTTTAGCTTCCTCGTTGCTTATTGTGTATGCTTTTACTTGTTCATCATACTCATTAGCATTTTTAATCTCAAACAAGTAATTATTTTTGTTGAAATTTGAAGCCTCTGAAATTAAGACCTCTTATTAACTGAAGGTTCTTCTTAAGGAAGGTGAGAGTTTAGGAATATCTTGATAATCAATACAAATGTTATTAGATTGTTTCTAGTCTTACTCTTACTTAATATCATGCTTTTTATTCAGATGCTTGAATAATTCATCTGAATACTTCTCTTTTTATTTTAGTTCTAAATTGCAAATGGGTTGAAAACATTGTAATTTTTCAATCATAGTCGAATTTCTCTTTTTTAAAAGAGGTAGAATTTCAAAAAATCTTTATCCTTTATATTTAACATATGATTTTAGGTCATCTCTATTTTTCTTATGCAAAGCTCTAATACTTTTGATTGCCTCAGTCTTATTTTAAGTTCGATGCATATCATTTAGTTCTTATAGATATTAATTCATGTATTCTATTTTATCTTAATAATCAAATTATTATTCCTTTGTTTTAAAATGTTTATCCAATTAATTTTCATACTGTTAATCTATTTTTATGTCCTCTACGTTGCTTTTCCAATTACGATGTACTGGAATTTTAATTTAATTTGCACCAATGTTTATTTTCTTGGAATTGACTTTTTCACCTCTCTAATCAACTGGTTCCTCTGGCAAACCATATCGTATAATTCTTTTTTGACTAAATGATCTACACTATTTTATATCCGCATAGTTTTCTCTTAGATATACATATGCAACAACTTTTTTCATTCTATCCTCTTATCCATCTTCTGTACTCATCTCAGGACATGAATTAAAAAAAGGAACCTCATTATCATGTTAAATACTTAGATATTATTTCTTTTTTTGTGTTCATTGATACTTCTCTTTATTTATTTTGTTTTAGGTTTCATTATAAAATTAATAAAAAATATCAATAACTATTTTACATTAAATCATTAAGACTAATTCTCCATTTTATTAATTCTTGCTAAACTAACATTATCTAGTATACTATCTCCTTCTTGTCATCTCATATGAACTAAGTACATTAACCCTAACGACTTGAATCAATATTCGAATAAAAGGATAAATTTTATAGATTAGACATTGATAACTTGATTTTTAATACAAAGAGTTCATAACATTAAGCTCAAAACAAATTAGTAAATAATTTAATAAATATAACTGATTACTTAGTTTTTCTGTTCTGTAATTAATTTCATAAAGAAAATAGGCAATTAGTAATTATTAATCAAATGGTGTCTTCTGAAATAAGCAACTAAAGTGCTCCATTGTAATTTAATTTTTGAAACTAGAATAATTATAGAGATCTAAAATCAGATTTTAATATAAATTTATATATAAGTAAAAATGTAAGACCCATCTGATTTAATTTACCAAGTTGAAAATGAGCCAAGCATTTAACTCATTAGATCCATCAAGATTCAAAAGAATAAAAGGTTAGTGATGAAATTTTCATCTGATTCTTAAAATGTAGAAAGTGATTAGAGTGTCGATAACTCTCAATATTACAGAAAATAATTCTTGGAGAGCTATTCTATGTTCACAACCAAGAATTCAATACCAGGCAAATTCAAAAGTTTGAATTAACCAAGCTATTCTGAAACTTATAAAGCAAAACTTGCATCAATACGAAAGATTAAATCATTTAGACTAGATGATGAAATATATAGTTAAGATGAGGAAGAAAGTTTGCCAAAAGAATTGATGAAAGTCAATTTTCAGTTTAGATAAGATGCTATAATTAATGTTTAAAAAATCCTTAACTAAAAGAAATGATATTACTATGGATTTTTTCACTTAATTACTCTTAAAACTAATACATAATTTTTTTACGATTTTAATTCTTAATTATTTTGAATAAATAGCTTTTTATAAAATTCATTATTTTATTGAATCTATGTAGTCTAGAGATTCTGCCAAGTAATTCAATAATTTTTGAAATAATATCCTTAATTAACACTTGATTTAAGTACTGATACGAGTTTAGGTAGATCGGATTCATAAAATGTAATTTAAATCCAATAGTGAATTGGTCATATTTGTTAATTGATTTACTTAAGACAGCGCCTAAGAAGTTTGGGCCACCTAAATTTGCTATATAATAGCATCCTGCATTGAAATTTTTGTGCAACTTTGATTTTAGTTCTCTCTAATAAGATTTCTCTCTTATTTTTAATATAGAGCTCCAAATAAGACAATTCAAACAAGATTCAATTTAAGTTATTTAATTATAATTATGTATTAGATTAGTAACTAAATGCTTCCTAATTAAAAAACTACTTATCTCATCTATATATATTGAATTATAAATCAATAAGGATCTTCTATTTCTGATCTTGTTATCTAAATACATTCAGGGTTGAATTCTTTATTCTATCAACATCATTAAGTTTCTGATTTTGCAAAGATGTAGAAATAAATATAATAATAGTATTTCTAAGTTTTCAAAAGTGCATATATATTAAAATAAGTCAAAATATAGAGTATTCATTTTTGCTTGAGGCTTCTTTTAAAATTCTAGATCATTTATTTCTTTTATAATTATTAGAAAAAGGCTTTGAAGATCTAAAGTTGTCTGTGTTCATCAGCTATTTGAATATTCTTTCTTTGTGCATGTTATTCTAATGCATTGTAAGCTTTCATCAAAAGTTTACGTTAATAAAAAATTTTAGCTAATTGATCCAAATCATCATCTATTCTAGATATTTATTTTATAATTGTTTCCGATTTTCTATTTGGAATAGCAAAATCATTTGGCAAGGTTGGTTTAAAATGTTAGACTGATGGACGATTTACAATTATTGGTACTCTCTCTTATTTAACTGATTTTGTAAATAATTCAGTTTAGTATTGATGAACATCATCTTATTCATTTAGAATTTGTTTTTAAAGTTAAAGATTTCTTTAAAAGGCTTTATACTATGAATCCTCTGTAATGGGTTTTTATTGAGTCTAAATAAAATATAATTCCATTATACTAGGTATTCAGCTATTGGCACATTCAAAAAATTAAGAGTTTTCTCTCTTAATACACTTCTATGATTTAATAGATTAGCAGACGACATTAAATTAACAGATAATATAATAAATTTTATCTGTTATAGCCTTTATTTCTTAATTATACATAAGATTATCAAATTGGATTCTGATTTACTCCCTTTAATTAATCCTATTTAAGATTTGGTTAAGGGGATCTTATAGTTGAGATGATTAACTTGATAATTTAATGATTCTTGAGAATATTGAACTTGTTTTTACAAAATTCTAATACTTTTTAGAAATTATGGAAGAGGATTATTGTTTTAATTCATACTATTGAATAATAATCCAAAATGAACTAGAATTATGCATCCATAGATATGCTGCATAATTAGATTCCTTGGGTTTAAAAAAAATAAATTAGTTGAGGTATAGTCATAAGAGTATTGCAAACTTCTTTAATTAGCCATCGATCATAGCTCTTAGATCCATCAATAATTAAACTAGTACTTCAAATATCAAGCAAAGTCATTATAGTAGCAGCTAAGTCAAAACTCAATAAAGGTTATAGAATAAAATATAGAAAAGAACGTAACGTTATCTAAAGGGTGCAGTAAAGAAAATATATAGATACTTGGTATAATGAGATAATCAAAAAAATATATCTTCTTATTAATTATTAATTCAAAGTTCCCATAAGGCATATAAAGATATTGCTGGCTTTATAAAAGGTAAAAAGCATATTCACCATAAAATATACTTCATTGATCGTATTAAATTTAATCTAAGAAGTTTCCACCAACCCAAGTATCTTGATTGTTTACAAGTGCAATAAGTCTGTGTATTTATTATTATTATTATTACTATATTTTATATATATGATTTATTAATCCTTTTAGAGATAAATCTTGTTAATAAGTTAATAGACCATCAAATTTTATTCGGAAATTCGCTTTATGGATTTAGCAAAATTAAAATACAATATGAAATTTTAAAGGTTCTAATTAGTTTAGTAACCAATTAACCATAAATAGTTAATAAAGATGAATGAATCTAATTCCTCATTAGTTAAATTCCTTGAAATTAACTTCTAAGTAATCGTTAATATGTTTCTCGACTTAGAAAAATAATATGGCTAAGAATATTTAAATTTAAATCAGTTTTAATCAATTTTTGAATAAGTTTATCATTCCTATAGTATTCATATAATTATGAAAGGATTCTAATGGAGAAAATTATAAAAGATTGTTTTAAGGCAAATAGTACTCCAATTAATGAATTAATGCAAATTTTGCATTCATAATTAGTAAGGATGGAACTATTTCCCATAAATTACAAAATAGACTAAAATTGACAGTTTGAATTTCAATTGTTAAGAAATTAAATATTAAAATGAAAGCTAATGAAAGAAACAGCATATAATAATTTTTTTATTTTTCTATAAATTGAATCATATTTCTAGTTTTTGAATGTAACTCTTGATTCCATCATTGAATCTGCTTGTGAAAATTTCGATGCATTCGTTGATGATTCCGAGCTCAGTGTTTCTAATGATAAATATGAATTCTATACTTTTATTATCTCATATTTTAGTGACCTTTCAATTCATCATCACAAGTCTTTTACCAGTCAGCTTTTTCTTAGTTCTTAACATCTAATAATTATCCTTTGGATTCAATATCATTCTTTAATTCTAATAAATTTTATCTCAATTTTTCAGCATCTGCATTCAAATCAGCCAAATTTGTTTCAAGAGTCTTACTTTCTAATTCATATCTTGCTTTTTATAAGAGATAAAGTTCTTCCTTAGCTTTTTCTCCTTGATGTCCGACCTTTTATAAATGTTCCAAAGACTTTAAATATTGAATAGAATGATTACTTCAATTAATTCATCAATAATTTAAACAACTTTAGACACGTTTTCATCTCCTGATGCTGCTACTAACATCTTAACAAGTCCATTATAAGGTGTTTACTTATTGTGTAAGGATTCTAAATGTTTATGTAATTTAGACTTGACATCAGCAACTTAGATAAAATTACTATTGAGTTATGAAACGATGGATTTAGCTTTCTTCAATCCTTAGATAAATTCAACAGATTCTGTTTATTTAGCTTCAAATGCTTTCTATAATAATTTATTGTAAATTATTTACTTTATCTTCTTCTCTTGCCCTATCCAAAGCAGATAGTCTGTCTTTGATTTTTTAATCTTATCCTACTTTATCTTTAAGTTATTAATTCTTGGCAATCAATTCTTCTTGTCTGAGAGGGAATGATTATTCATCTGATGCCTTTTTGGCTGAAGCAGAATCAATAACGCCTTAAATTTCATCAAAACGAAGATTGCAAAGTTCCTGTTAATGTCTCAAATTCTATGTATTTTCTTCTAAGTCACTTTATGCATTAGTTTACATGGATTTCAATTGATGAACGATTCCATCGATATTTGAGCTATGCAATTATTATTACATGGTAATTACTCTTCACTTGAAAGGGAGATTTGCATTGTAGCTATGATTGTTTTTCCAAATTCATATTGGGATAATTCAGAAAGTAATTCATAGTCATTTGCTGTGACTATCAAGGCAAGGCATACTAAGACTATAAACTTCATATTTTTAATAATATAAAAAACGATAATTTGTGATAAGATTAAAAAAAGAAAAAAAATTGAAAAAATATTTGTGCTTGATTAAGAAGAAACCTAAATAATTCATTCCTTTCAAACTTAGATGTTTGAGAAATCAGCACTTTCGACAACAGATAAAGCTTATTCACTGATTCCAAGTTCTCTTGTGAATTCATTCTTTAAGTTGGTGTAGGTATCGGTTTCTTCAGCATAGGTGTTATTCTCTAATTCAAGTTCAGCAGTGTATTATTTTCTGTCGGCCTCTCTTTAATCTCTGAATTCAGACAATTAGTCGATCTTTTCTATAAATTATCAAAAATGACTTATACCATTGGTGGCTGTCAAATCAACATTGACTCTATTGATTTATCTTTAGAATTCAGCATATTCCTCATCTAATTATTCAAGGTATTCTTCGTGATCAGCTTAAGCTTAAGCTTCAGCAGCTGTTTAAGCATTAATTGAATCAACAACAGCATTTCTGAATTCGTTAAGAGCATCAACGATTTAACCAATGATTCCTTGATCAGAGAAGTTTTAGTTTGAGGCTAATGAAATAAGAGCCTTAATCATAGGAGCCATCTTGGATCTTGACTTGATCTTTTATTCGATGTTCTTCAAGGAGTTTTAGAATCTCTTGACTTACAACAATGATGGGTTGGTGAGTGTCTCAAGAAGAGCAAGAGCATCATCGACTGCAGCAGTTGCTTCATTTAATTCAGCAATTTAGAGTTCGAAATCTTCATGTTCTTATTCTCTTACAAGAATTGCTTCATCGTAATTCTTTCTATTGCCCTCTTGGTTTTCTTAGATTTGTTCAATTCTAACTTAGAGTTACTCTCTTCTTGGGAAAAGTAAATTGTCTAATGTGTCTTGTGTGTTATTGACATCTAGTTTAATAAATGGATATTATTACCAATGACAGCGTCTTAGATGTCTTATTCAAGGCTAACCACTAATGCATTGTGTTCGTTGGTTCTGACTTAGAAATTGAATTCTAATTCTTCCAATTCATCTTCAAGATCGTTGATAAGCTCTTCAATAGCATCAATCAACTCTTAGACTGGTCCGCCAGCCATAGAGTGGAGTTCGACTAAGTGGAGTAATGCACTTCCATATGTGCTCTTCTTGAGGTCTGTTGTGATTTTTGCAAGATTTCTCTCTTGTACTCTAGCTGTGAAAGCTATTGCAATCAAGGCTATCAGCAATATTGATTTCATAAGAAAATTATTGCAAATAATCAATACGAAAAACACATAGTTAAACAACAAAAACGACTAGTTTCATTAATTAATAATCAAATTAAAAACGCTATTCATTTCTTGATAATTATATAAATATTATTCTTTTACAAATAAATCACTAGATAATCAAGTATCAAATCAATGGAACAAATTCTACTCTTTATGTCGATCCTAAATTTTTTAATTTTAAAACCTTCATTCATAATTTACTTTGATAATTTATTTTCTGGTTTAATTAATTCAAAATCTAAAATCAGTATAAAATTATGTACTAATATCTAGATCTTAATTTTAATTAAATTCTTTTTGAGAATCAAAACGAATTGCTTTACCGAATCAGAAATAGATATACCTCATTATGCCTGAGATTAGAGCAATAACACATAATAAAATTTGAAATTTTAAGCAGAAAAGTCCTCTTTTTGTTCATAGTCTAAGATTTAGTCTGAAAATTCGTTCAACTGATTGCTTATAGTATCTTGGTATGATTATACGATTAATTATTGAGTTGTGTAGTTCATAATAGTTTAGATAATGGTTATTAACTATAGAAATATGTAGAATTGATGATTTTATTATAATTATTAAATGAGCAAAAGTTTTGAAAACATAATTAATGTCTAACCTAAAAGAATAGTATCGCTTGATGAAATTACATAATAAGAAATGCTAGGTAAAGGATAGTTCGGAGTTGTTTATAGAATACTATATTAAGGATAAACTTACGCAATGAAGCAAATTGTGAAATAGACATTAATTAGACATGGGAAAATAAATTCGGCTGTACTAGAACTCAAGATCATGTACTAATTGGATCATGAAAACATTATGAAACTCATAACTCATTTTGAGGATGAAAATAATGTTTACTTAATCTTAGAATATATTGATGGATCTAATTTATATGACATTTTAAAAAGAGACACTCGCCTTTAAGAAACCTATGCCATACATTACTATAGACAAATAGTTTCTACTCTTATTTATTTACATTCGAGACCTACACCAATTTTGCATAGGGACATTAAGCCTGAAAACATTTTAATTACAAAAAATAATGCAATCAAATTGGCAGATTTCGGTTCTGCAAATTCCTTAGCGAAAGATGAATTAAGATTTACATTCGAAGGCACATATCTTTTCATGGCACCTGAAATATATTTGAATAAAGGTTACACTTAATGTGTAGATATATGGAGTTTGGGTGTATTGTTATTTGAAATATTGGCTGGACATTCTCCATTTTTGAATAAGGAAGAGGAGAATTCTTTAATGACACATGAGAAATAAACTGTAATTAGAGAAAATGTATTAAATGTTCGAATACGATTCCCAGACACATTTCCTCCATTGGCTAGAGATTTAGTCAGAAAAATATTGAGATTAGAACCACAAGACAGATTGAGATTAGAGGAAGTTCTTAAACACCCATGGCTTTAAAATGCCGAGGTTCTTGAGCAATTACCAATAGTCACTAAAAATCCATTAGAGAATCTCGTCTCATAATAAATATCTAAATTTTCAGAATCTAGAAAAAATAACAATAATCATTTAATCAGAATAAGTGAACTTAAGAAAAGTATCAATGAAACCTAGATCTAAATAATGAAAGGAGAATTAGAGAAACAATAATTGAGTGAAAAATTAAAGGAATTATAAGAAGTTAATGATGATTAAACTCAATCTCCGAATTTAGTAAGTCCAGAGAAGATAGTAAAAATAGAGGAAAAATATAATAGGTTGAAAAAGGAAATCAATCAATTATAAAAAGAAATAATTTAGAATGAAATGTTTATTAATAAAAATGAGATGTAATAATCAAAATTGAATCATTATAAATCTAAAATTGAAAAATAAAAAGAAATAATTGAGAAATTGGAAAGAGAACTAATTCAATTAGATTAAAAGAAGAAATTAGAATAAATCAATTAAGATAGAGAATTACAAGAATTCACTAAATTAAATAACAATCGAAATATAGAACAATCAACATCGAATAATTCTCAATACACCTCTTTATTGAGGGAAACAATTGAGAGATTCAAGGAATTTATGAATTTTTACAGGAATATCAAATAGGAACCTGAAACTGATTATGAATCATAGGAAGACTAATAATGGAAAAAAGAATATTATGCAATTAAAAAATCTTTATAGGAGGAATTTAAATAAGAATAAAATTTACTTATGAAATTGGAAAATGAAAATCAATAACTAAAAATTAAATTGGGACAAATAGAAGCATAAGAATAACAAGTGTAAAAGGCTGAACAAATAGTTACCAATTTAAAATATGGATGTGATCTAAAATAGAATAGAATTGATGAACTAAAAAAAATACAATAAGATTTGGAAAATAAGATAGATTGTTTAAATAGATTTATTGAATATAATAAAAGTTCATAATGATAATCAATCTGTTTTTGGTAATACTTATTTTTTAGGAATATCTTTTGATTTCTTTAATTCTTAATATTATTATTTCAGTTTCTTTTATCCATATGGATCAAAGAAGACAAAGCTTATTGTAACAAAACATACTGTTAAAAACCCAACTAATAGAACTGCTCCTAAAGGTGTTTTGAGTAAAATGAATAATAATTAAAAGGAGAATTCAGGCCATTCAGCTTTTTTCTGAGGTGCTTTCACTTCTTCAATTTCAATCTCATGTCCAAATCCTTCTCTTATTTTTAAGATGCTTTATTTCTCCTTTATTTCTTCTTCAATACTTTTTAGTTTTTCTTCTTTTTATTTTTTCATCTCTTCATTGGTTTTAGGAGTGTTTAACTATATCCATCTTTCCTAAAACTTCTCCTTGTCCTCAAAATCTGTTTCTTTCAAAGTACCTTTAAATAAAAATAAAGCAGCAACAGTTGCTTAATCCTAACTTGCACTAAATCCAACTACTAATTCATTTCTATTATTTAAAGCTCCAATACAAGGCTTCCCTTAATAATACACAGCCCCTCCGTCAATTAGAATTTCTACATATTCTGTATGTGCTGTGAATGGTCCTACTAATTGTGAAATATCGATATTTTATAGAATCATCTTCTTGCCCAATAATACATTAAAAACTCTGGAATTGTTTTCTTCGTAATGTAACTAAATATCTTGAATCAAATACCTCTGCAAATTTCAATACAAGAACATATGTTTCGTTTTCAGGAATTTCATTGCCTATAGGAATAGTATAAGCAAAGCTTTAACCCTACCTTTGAGTAATATATAGGGATTGATCATCTGTAAATCTTATCTTTCTATTCTCAACTCTATCATAATAGTCTACGAATTCTGATGTACCAATATGATGATGATCCTAGAAAATTAAACAATAAAATACACTCTTGTATTTAATACCAGCAGAGGTACGAGTCTCCAAATAACTTCCACAATCAATTGCATGTATAACTTTGCGAGGGGCTATTAGCTTATTAATGGTAATCTGTATTAGAAAAAACAATATAATCATATAAATTTTTATAATTAATTTATTTATCCAATTTTAAGCATTTCTTTATTGGGTGCTCTTAAGGCTTCTTTTGCAAAGTCTTTGAAAATCACTTCAACAAAATTAGACTTATAAATTGCATTGAATTTCTTAATTAATTACTCTGCAGTCTTCTTACTCAATTCACTAAAGTAATCTTTTACTGTCATCATCAATTAGATAACCAGGAAATCATCATTATTATATAGAGCCAATTTAAATGCTGCATCTATTTAAGAATCATCAACTAAATCCAATACTTTGTCATAATAATCTTCTGTAAAATCTTGAGTTTCTTCTATTTGTTCATCAGCAAACAATTAGGTATCTTATAATTAAGGATTGATATTTTCAGTTATTTCTTCATTTTGATCTTAATCAGATTATATTTCTTCTATTTATTCTTGGTTTTATTACTCTTATTATTTTTATTCTTATTATATAAATTGATCAATTAAGGAATCTTGTATTTTTTATTCTGTTACTTTTTCTTAAATTTTCTCCAATTATTACTTCACTTAACTTATTTGCATTTTCTTATATTTCTCTGCATTCAAAACCAAATGTCCATCTCCTCTTTTCTTTTTAATGAACGGTTTCACATCAGGAAAATAACTAGATGTTGTTACTTAAGGCGGATTTCTAGCGATATATAGATTTTAGTATGACTATAATGCTAATTTAGCAGCTTATTGCACCGATACTACTCTATCGAAAGTTGCTTCTCTCAAGATAGTTACACATTATAGCTAAAATATGATCTGAAATTATTACTAATAAATTGTCATCATAGATTTGATACTCAGCTAATGCTAGCATAAATTTGCATAATGTTTATTTCACTTAATATGTATGTCTCTATTCTTAAAGAGCGGCTAAACTTCTTTAAAGTATTTATACTAAATTTGAATCCTAACTCGTAGTTATCTTAATCATTATTTCAACCATTGATTAATGGACTATTAGTTAATTTTTGATATATGCTGATTATATTTATTTCTTTGTATTAGGTGTAACTTCAAATTACAATAAATAATGCAATGAAATAGTAGAGCCGATCTAATTAATCAAATTATAAATATTACTTAAACGGGCTGTGAAGATAGTTTTAATGCTAAATTACAGAGTGTGTCACTCAAAGAACCAATAGTTGTAGAATTAGCTAATAATCTGTAACATTCTCCGCACAATTAATAAATCACTTCTGTTCCTTCATTAAATGCCTTATTGATAATGACAGCAGCTCTAAGGGACGAATTCAAATCATATTTCTAAACTTGCACTGATATTTTTAATGCCCTTAAATTAACTTCATTCACTCTTTATGTCTCTAATACCTGCAATACAATTTTTTAGTGTTGATCACTTTTATTTGCAACAAGTAATCTATTGTATTCTATCAAGCATTATTATTTTTTTGGTGGATTTAATGCTTCTGCCAACAGAAATTAAATTCTTTCTTTGAATTCATTTAAATTATTCATTTATCTTAATTCTAAACAACTCTGAAATTAATCATAAACAAGAAATCCTTTTTAATACAATACAATATATTTCATCATCATCATCAACTCCCATTAAACTCATTAAATATTACAGAAAATTTAGATTATATATAAAAACCAATTGAAAAATTTGATTAAATATTTTTTTAAGTATTTAATTGGATATGTCAACACCAAGTGTGAAACCAAAACTTGTATAGACTTTTGGAAGAAAGAAGAATGCAGTTGCCAGCGCTAGCGTTAGAGAAGGAAAAGGTATATTTAAACAATAAATGACAAGGAATTGTCAAAGTTAATGGTGCTCCTATTGAATTAGTCAACCCTGCCCCCTTGAGATAAAAAGCTCTTGAGCCACTCTTGTTGTTAGGCTAAGTCAGAACAGGCAGACTCGATATTAGAGTCACTGTTAGAGGTGGTGGTACAACTGCTTAGATCTATGCCATTAGATAGGTAGCATATTTTAATTAATGACAAAGGCAATCAGCAAGGGTATTGTAGCATACTATCAAAAATACATTGATGAAACATAAAAGAGAGAAATCAAGGATCTTCTTTTACAATATGACAGAACTCTTTTGGTTGCTGATCCAAGAAGATGTGAACCACGTAAATTCGGTGGTAAGGGTGCTCGTGCCAGAAGATAAAAGAGTTATAGATGACTTAAAATAAAATCAATTTATATAAATGTACATTAAGGAAGCATTTCTAATTAAATGATCTAAACCTCTCACTTCAATCTAGATAACATTCAAATTTAACAAATATTAAATCAAATTTCTTAAAAATTTATGAAATAATTAAATTACTTTCTGATTAACTTCAAGACCATTCTAGACAAATGAATCAAGATTACTAATTTTATCCATCTTCATCAATGATTTATATATGGATAATAAAATTAAATAATATTATAAAATATAATTCTTTTAATACTGAATTTGGCATTATTTTACTATTTATTGTTCTTCTAGCAATTAATGCACATTGTGGATTTGCTATGTAATCAAAAACACTTTTCCATAAGTATTTTATTTGGATATTCTATTTATTTAATTTAATAGAAACAATATTGCCATAATGAATATTCTTGTAAACAATATAAAATTTCTTAAATACGAATCTCCTATTAATTAAATGTTAGATAGCTAAGTTCTAAATTGTGTTCCTAACATAGTTATATTTTTTTATTCAGTTTTTTGTAAATAAATATTTATATATAGATTTAGACAAACTTTATGAATAAATTGGCAATTTACAGCAGTTTTATCGCTTTTGCAGGGTTAGGTCTTTATTTAGTGAATAAAAATAATAAAAAGTAAATGTACAATAATTTTAAGAAAAGAAAAAATAATCGAAAAAGCACTATTATTAAAAATACTTAAAGATCTTTAAAAACAATATTACCCTATATGGGAGAAAATGATAGAAACTGGAAAATAGCTATATCATTTTAAGAATTACAATAGTAATGACAATTAAAAGGAAAACATAAGAGATTTGATTGAATCTAAATTTTAAAAAGTAATTGAAAAAGTTGAATAAAGTGTGTATGTTAAGCATTAAGTATCTCAAGATGAAGTTGATTACAACTGCAAAATTATTTACAAAGATGATGAACAAATTAGTGCATTGCTAAGTTACATTAATTTAGGATTCGAATAGGCTCTAAAATTAGAATTAAACTTATCTGTTAATATAGAATTACCTGAATTTATTAATGAAGAACTAATACTGAAAACTCAATGTTAAATTTTGATTAGTAGTGCTTAGAAGTTTAACAATATAATAAAATAATATGCTTAATAAAATGGTGGTGTGAAAGTGACAAAACATTCAGATGCATTTCAATAAGTATTGGCAGATTTGAAATAGCAAAGTAAAAAGTACTTAAAATAAATATAATTAGATAAGAAATATTGGATTAAAATGGATTTGATGCTTCAGATGAACCAAGTTCTAAATTATTTTATGATGCTATAAAAGTCTATTCAGAAAATAGATCTTTCAAGTAGAAATTGGTGAAGTTAAATGAGATTTATGATGTAATAATGAGTGAAATCCTTGAGAATGGATAGATTTTAGAAAATGAAATAGAGAATAGATTAAAATGTTGAATAATATTATTGCTTAATAATTTATCACAAAGTTACTTCTGGAATTTCACCAATTATTACTGTTTTATCATTACTAGCTGAGGCTATTAATTTATCCTTTGGACTAAATGCTGTTTCATTGACCTAATTAAATTATATGAATCAATACAGTGCCTTGATGGCCTCCTAATTTATGAATAACCTTCTTTGAGTTAAAATCCCAAATATAAACATTCTTATCAGCAGATCCTGCAGACACATAAGAATCATCATGACTCCATGCACATCTAAGTAAGTTCTTTTCGGCAGTATTTGCAGTTGCTCCTGTGAATACCCTAACTTATCTATTTTTTCCTTAAACATAAGGTCTTAATTTAATATTAATATTGTACCTAATGTCAAAGGTACGAACAGTCATATCCATTGAATTACTCAATAAGTAGGAACCATCATTACTAATTGCTAAACCAGTGACAGTATCTGTGTGATTATCTAAAGTGTATTCAATTTCTTATTTTCTAACATCATAACATCTAATGATATTGTCCAAACAGGCAGTGTAGAGTCTCTCTCCATTTTCAGTGAAACAAACACTTGTGATAGGATACTGAAGTGATTTAAAAAAAGAGAGTTACCTTGCCTTGAATTTCAAAAGCTAATTTTCTTGTTCTTAAATCCCATACTTTTGTATAACCTTCATCTCCTCCAGTTGCCAAAAGGTCTTGTCCTCTTTTTGAAGGATAACAACAATTAACATAACTTTAATGTCCCTTCAATTTTTTTAAGGGTAAATATGTTTCCATATCCCAAATTTGTACAGTCTTGTCAGCTGATGCTGTGAATAATCTCACTCCATCATATTACCATGCAACATCAAGAATAGCATTTTTATGACTTCCCAAAATTCCCAGATTAGTACAATTGTTATAGATGTCCCAAATTAATATTTTCTTATCAAATCCAGCTGTTATTAGATAGTCTCCATTTGGAGAGTACTTTACACAATACACTTCACTCTGATGTCCTTTAATATTCATCCTATTTACCAGTTAGCTGCATATGTGCTGATTATAATGTATATTTTTTGGAGGGTTCTACTTCCATTTAATAGTCGGATGATAAGACTAGATCTTATTTATGTTATTTCTATAATAAATGGGGTGTGTGCATCTACAAAACTTGACTGGAAGTGTAGTCTTTGAACTCTGTGAATTTGGGAACACTTGGGATTATCTTATTTCCGTAAGACATAATTTAATTATTCTATTTTTTTAATAATTATTGTTGTTTATGCAATATATTCATATTAATTCCCTATTGGGCTCAATTTAGTGCTTATAATAAATTCTATTTATAAATTCTTGGAATATTTTTTGATTATTAAATGAATAATTTAGCTTGATCCAATTATTTATTTTACACCAATTAAACCAAATTTAGAACATCTGTAATATATCCAACATATTGCATTTACTAATTAATAGAGAAGAATGTCTTGAGATGCTATAGTTTCTTAGCAAATTATGGTAATCCTTGCAAATCTTTCAAAGTTGTATACAACTATTCTTCATTCAAGATCATTCCTGCAGCTTACATATTCTTCCATATATTATAGTTTTCATTCAATTCCATCATCTCATTGATATTATCAGGGTTACATTAATCTAGTTATTAATTTAATTCACCTTCAATTTGAGGTGGTTTCTAAAATTATATGTGATAATCGCGTTACATTTGTTATTGAATTAAATTCAAAAATTTAAGTAAGATAACTGTTAATTTCTGCATTTTCCCCTTGAGCTTATTCAATTGATTCTCCATTATATTCCCATTTCATTAATTCTTTTATTCTATCAGGCAGACTTGGATTATTCAAATAATTTTATTGTTATTAATGAATATTGAAATTCATAAGATCTTAAATCGATTTAGCCAAATTATCGGCTGTCATTGAGACTTGTTAAAATTTAAATGGAATCCTACCATGAGGAAATTGATCATTAATACTCTTGCTGATGTTGATACAAGTTTAAAGCATTTATGATAATCTTTCCTGTTAAATTACTTTATTTTCTGGCAACTCTTTCCACATTTTGTTAATCTCTGTATTGATATCTTTTAATTAATCTATAAGGATTGGAATTTGCTTTTGAAAAAGGAAAAGCTTATGAAAATAATCTTATTGTTCCACTAGTTAATTAAATTCTAATTAGAGGCAACTCTTTTCTTATTATTCCTATTCATTTTTAATTTTAATATTAGTTAATTCATTACTGATCTTGTCCTTCAACTCAACATTTTATTAATAATAATTCCAATATTCCTTATCATCTTATAGAGTTGTAGGTAATAAAGAACATTATTAATTAAGATTGACTTTGTATTAATCTATTAAATACGGTAAATCATAGTACAATTAAACTGATTAAGTTTATTGATTACTTGCAGTTTTACCTAGCTATTGCAATTTATTTAATAGATTTCTATGAATAAAATATTTAATTACTAAGTCTAATTGAACTCTGACTGAGCAATTTCATAAATTTAATAGACATAGGCTCTAAACCGTGGAATGAATGGCGATAATACATATGATTTAACTAAATTAAAATGAATAACTTCGTCAGATTAAGCATTTGATTAATTAATGTAATAGTTTTGAACTATTTCAATTGAAATATCATCAAATAAAATGCCAGGAATAATGTCATTGACTAATTAATTGTATTTCTCTAAAATTTCTTTTTTGAGATTCCCAACTTCATTAAGTATCAATGGTGTCTCTGCTTCTGCACAAATTGCCATTATCTCCTTAAGCTCTTTCCTAAAGCGATATATATCCTTTCGAATAGTTTTAATTGTATGCTGGATATTTGTTGTGCTTCTTCCTTTATCATCAGCTTGTAATTAAGCCTCTGTATTTTTGATATAACCAGCATATAGTTTTTTATTATCTAAATAATCAACTATTCGAATTGCCAGATCATAATTGTTTTTTAAGAAAACACATTAATCTTCAAGATAATGTTTGAAATGCAAGAAATTAGCTTCATAATCCCCTGAAGTGTTATTTGCAGCATCGGTAATTGCATTTTCATTCCATTCTAAGGAACAAGCATCAATAAATGGTATCAGAATTGTTGAGTCTGCTCTTAGATGTACTTGATAATCTTAAGTGGAATTTTTATTGTTGCTTTCCACTTGCATGGATTTATAAATTCTGGAGTTTTGTTTTTCTTCTATAACTTATGTTTTATTTAATTTATTTAACATTAAAATATATATTAGGTTTTCGTTCCAATAAAGAATATTTTATGGCAAAGTATTATTTTATCAATAATAAATGTCGTTACTATCTAAATTTACAAATCTGTTTAAATCAAAAGACGATGCTTAATACTCACTATAAAAACTCTTGAAACCTTCAACAACTAATGAACTTCAATTATCAATTAAGAGCTTCAATTAGCTCCTCAATAATTAACCAAATGCAATATTCGCTATATTAAGATAGAGAGAAGCACTTCTCACTATGGATCCAAAACCAGAACAATTATTAAATTTGTTGTTGGTTATCCATTCAAATATATCTAAAGATGAAATTTGTGACTAATTAAGATAGGTTCCAATTTATTGGTTAGATAGATTGATGACTGAAAATAGAGAAAGTTTCATTTAAATTGAAAGAATGATTACTGAACAGTCCACAAATAGTTATATCCCATAATAGTTATAGTAATCGTAAAGTTAATGTCAATAACATTAAAAAAAAGGAGAAAAAATAGAAGATAAAAGAAAAGCAAGAATTGAAATGAATCAAAAATTGTAAAATCCAATTCTAAATACTGAGGCTGTTAATAATGCGGATTCTCATAATTTGAAACCAAAAATGTTTTGTATTATATATTATTCATTTCTCTAAAAGTTATCAATCAATTAATAGATATATTAAAGCAGCAGAAACTTAAAATATCCAGAAGATGAGTAAGATGTTATTTGGATTTATAAGACTTAGAACGTAATGTAAATGGGATTAAAATTGTTATAATGTCCATAAAAATTATACAGACCTTATTAATTATCGATTTATTAGGATCTCTGTTATTTCTAATCATTTTTAAAATAAGAGTTAGAAGTACTTATATCTAAGGAGAATAATTTACATATCTATGAAGCTTTTTGTGAATATTAAAGAGCAAAATAGATTATGGAGTCATTTGAACCTAAATATAAATTCAAATTGAATATCAATAGTTCAGTTATAGATGATTATTAAAGAAATGCAATTAAAAAAAAAGTGAAAACTCAATTTGAAGAAGATTAAAAAAGAAAGAAATAATTAATAAAGGAAAATTAAGAGAATATATATGATTAACTAAATTTCTAAGATTTTGATTGTAATTATGATTTCGAGAGAGAAATAATAATGAGAAAATTCTTCGATAAAGGTTAATCAAATCAGATGAGCTTGGACGAAATTTCTTTATAGTTAAAAATCATAAACTCATGAAATATAATAAATAATATTTATATAATGATATTCGAAATAGGTGAAATATTTACAGTCTAAGAATCATTAAAGGATGAGAAAATAGCAAAAAATTTGGATTTGGATGTTGGTTCCTTGAATGATTTTCTTGATTTGAGATCCACTGATCCAAATCCTCATTTACCTAATAGAAGATTGGATCGTAAAGCATAAAAGAGATAAGATCAAATCCCTAAAAAGTTTGAACAAACTAAGGAAGAGAAGGAAACTGTCAAAGCATCAGAGATAATCTCAAATATTATAAAGGATGTATTTAAGATGGACATCAATGAGTTTGAGTAAATGAATTCACCTGAGAAATTGAACAAAGAATACAAATTTTAAGAAATTGACCCTGAAAAAAGGAAATATTTAAGAATGAAAATACCTCTCAATAAAAGATAAGAATAATTCGAATAGGAGTTATTAAATGTAAAATCTGACTTAAAATTAAAAATACAGGAGATTCGTATGCCCTAATTAAAAAATGCTGGAAATAATTCTTAAAAAGATGAAAATACTTTTAGTAGGCCTAATTCTTAAAAGATTAAATAGAATTCAAGCTCAAATAAATTATTTTTTAATTCAAGTAACGAAGTAGATGCGATTGATTCTCATATTTGGTTATAAAGTAGATTAGATAGAATATTAAAATTGAATTAACATAATCCAGACACTTAGAAAGCATGGAAGGAATATTGGAGCAACATAAATTGCTCTGATTTTAAAACTTTTTAAGAATATCAACAATAACATAAGAAACCTCATCTAGCTTCAGATTTAGTTACTATTAATTATGGTGGGGAGAGAGCTGCCAAATTTTAAAAGAATGATAATGAGATCTCTGTAAATATCAAGAATTAATCATCGCTTACAATAAAGAATAAGTAGATAAATTGTGAACACATTCTTTATTTATCTATGGTTGAACCACCTTTGATAAATCTCTTAAGAGTAGAAATCATAAGAACCTAACTGAATGAAACTGCTTTTAAATTATTAAATACCTTTCTGAGTGAATGCAAAAGATTAGAGTACTTAAATATCTCTAGCAATACATATCCTAGAAATTAAACAATTAAAATATTATTACTGGATTTGTAGAATCTAAAAATATTGAAAATGTCAGACATGATGATTTCAACTAAGTATTTTTTGGATCTTTGTGAAGTGTTGGTTTAAACTAATATTTAGGAGATCGATCTTAGTAATAATCGATTAGATCATCATGCTTATGATGCATTAATTACATTAATAAAATACTTACCTTCTTTAACATAAATGGATTTCTAATAAAATGATATTTTATCGAGTACAAATTTGCCACTTTAGAAGAAATAATAATCTTGGGAGTACTTAGAGAAAGTTAAAATGAGTTATTAAAGGAGAGTAAATATTGTATTATGATAATTAATATTAAATTTCATGTTCTTCACATAAACTAAATTTCATAAACTGAGTTCTTAGAAAGAATTATTGGCTAAGATATAAGAGTTCGAAATTAACACCAATTTTGATTCTCCAAGAACTTAGAAAGCGTTGTTAAAAATGAATAAGACTAAATATGACTTTAGAAGGAAGTATATGATAGTATTCACATTTAAGGAATAAATTTGAAAAACATAATGAGTTAGAATATAGAAATAAAAGGAATAATAAATCTTTGGATTAGTAATCACTTGATTTCGAATATGAGACTTATTTAGAGTTATTATTAAGTAATTTCCATAATTGACAATTAGATGATTACATGGAACTGAAAGAGTAAAGAAAACAAATAAAGGAATGGTTCCAAAAAAAATAGTAAGAAGAAGATGAATTACGTGGATATGAACATATACCATTTAATAGTGTACATTCGACAAGTAGATTTCCATGTTAAACCATAACAATTGATGATAAAATTGGCAAAATAAATTAGGAAAGATAGAGGCAATTAAGTTTAAACAATGCTGAAGTGAAAGAAGCTTTATTGTTTGAATTAGATAGACGACAGTGGGAATAAGAATCTCTGGAAAGAAGACAGAAAAATGCATAAGTGAGATCAGCTAAAATTATGGAAATTAAGATGAAAGCTTAGGAATAAAATAAGAAGGCTTAAAAGAAATGTGAAACATAGAAAAAAATAAAAGAAGTGTAAATAGAAGAAGATTTAGTCAAGGCAAAAGAATTTTAAGAGAAATTGAATCAAAAGTACTCTTATTAATTTATGTTAGAGATAATGAAATAGCAACTAAGAAATCTACGATAATCATGGAGAAGATTGAGAAAAATAAAAAATTAGAAGAGAAAATCTTGTTTAGAAAATCTTTGTTAAAACATGAATAATCAGAAACTTAACTTTAAAATATTAGGAAAGACACTCAAACTGAAGAAAATAGAGTAAAATCAGTTGAAAGATAAGCGAAAGATAGGTAAGATAAACAATGGAGATATGAATAATAATTAATGAGGATTCATGAAAAAAGTGCATTATCTAAAGCCATTTGGGAATCTGAATTGTGTAATAATTTTGGATAAAAAATGATATCTATTGAAGAATAGAAAAAGAAAAACGAAGATCTTATAAAAAAAGAAGCAAATAAAATGTCAAAGGAACGGAAAGATAAATTAAAAAAACATTAATAAAATCTAGAATAAGTTTAGGAAGAAGAAAAGTACTTTTAACCAATATTTAGAATAGACAATGGTAAATGAAGTTATAAGAGAAATTGCAAAACAAAGATGAAATTTCAAAGAAACTAAGAATGAGTAAGCTAGAAGAAATAAAATAATTAAGGGAATAAAATGTTTAAAACTAAAGAGAATAATTATAGAAACTAGAATTGAGAAGGAGAAAATAAGTAATATTGATTAATTATCATAAGTTTAGTTAATAAGATTTGTTGTTGGAACGATCCTTAAATGCTTAAAAGAAAATGGAATAATAAAAAAATGAGTAAGAAAAGGTCTTATTTTATTTGTTGACCTCAAAATAAAAGATTGACTCAGAAATTAGTAATAGGCAATAAAAATTAAAACTGATACATTAATAGTCATCAGTTTAGCTATTAGAGTATGACTTTCTTCTATCATTATTTAGATAATTGAAAGACCTTGTGCCAGAATCAGAATTAATTGAATTACAGAAGTAGTATAAAATTACTAAAAAGCCTTAAACTGCTAATCCATAAACTATGAATAAATTGTGAAATTATTTATTTAAAACACATAATTAAGTTTCAAGCTTCCTCCTCGACCATATCTTTCTTTTACTGTTTCTTTTGCTTTTATGCCCTGAGCTAGGCTTTTTCTATGGCTTTTTATTTGATTACTTCTTTAACAGACTTATCTGATACTAAATTAATGTTCTTTGCCAATTCTGTTTCCACATTATCAAGATTCTATTTCCTTTATGCTCTTAATCTGCAAGAATTACAATAAAATATACCTATTTTTCCAAAAATTGTTTTCTCTTTTTAATCTGATTTTATCTATTTTTTTCATGGCTTAAACAGTGTTAATATATAAATCCCTGTTATATTTTAAGGGTTCATTTCTCTTTTGCTCAAACTCAAAGATACTATCGTTAGTCATCTCTTTTCCAGCTGCTTTTCTAAATGCTTTAGTCCATCTTGTTTTTCTAGGGTTGTGTTAAGCTTTAAAGTGTCTATGGCATTTAGATCTGCAAAATCTAAACATCTATATATTATTCAAGTGACTTATACTTTGCTATCGTTTCTAACAAAGACTATTCCATGGCCTGGGTAGATGGGACCAGAACAAAAATAACATTTTTCAATTCTCATATATATTATATTTTAATTTATGGAGAATTGGAATTTTATTAGATAAGAATGCAAAGATCAATCAGAATCTATTATCGCTGATTTCTTAAAACCTTCAAATTTTCCCTGATAATACAGTTTTAGACACTTACCCAATTTCTATTTGGTTTACTGCTTTAAATAAATACTATCATTTAGGTGAAGGTGCATTTGCTGTAATATGAAATCCATATAAAGAATCCTGATAATAATTTTTGAAAAATTCTATGAATACCAAAAATAGGAAAATCAAAAAAGAAGTACACTTGTAGGTTAAAATGAAAGGGATTATGCTGGATATTATTTACATACAAAATATATGAAATCTTCAAATATGACTACAATACTTATGATAGTGAATTAGTAGAAAATCAAATATTTATTAGAAGAAGAAGCTTTTCTGGTTGTATATATACATAAATATTTATATAAATATGAATCAAAAGGTAATTAATTTTTTTGATTTTCTTGCAGGTTATTCCTTTCTTCTATTTTTTTTGATTTATTTATTTTTTGTTAAAGGAATGATTTCTTCCATAGCCCTGGCTTTATTTTCTCTTCTGAGTTCTCTTTTAGATTTGACTCTGACTCCCTCCATTGCATTAATCAAATCATCTGCTTCGTCATGTTGAACCTATTCAATTTGTGGTTAATCATCCATTTCAATTTCTTCCTCAACATCTGGTTCTGGCTTGAAAACTATTTCTTGAACTGGCTTTCTTCTTGCCCCAACAAATTAAGTGGCTGTGTATGGCAAAGATTAACTTCTAAAATCAACAATAGGTTATGGTTTTAATTTAGGAATTTAGGCAGATGGATCGCTAGGATGCAAAAACTTATTTTTTGGTGGGATGGGTCTTTGAAATCTCTAAAGTAGGTAAAAAAATAAATTTACATTTTGTATGGTTGCCTCTAATTTTTAATTTAAATCATGAAGATCTGAATTGACTTTCACATTTTGGAGATGCTCTCTCTTGAGAGATCTCCATCTTCGCATAACCTTAGATCTTTATGATTTTGCCATGAATTAAAAATTTTATATTTATTTATAATGCACTATGAATATATTTCAATCGAATAATTTGGCTAAAAATCCTTTATCTTATTNTCAAAGATACTATCGTTAGTCATCTCTTTTCCAGCTGCTTTTCTAAATGCTTTAGTCCATCTTGTTTTTCTAGGGTTGTGTTAAGCTTTAAAGTGTCTATGGCATTTAGATCTGCAAAATCTAAACATCTATATATTATTCAAGTGACTTATACTTTGCTATCGTTTCTAACAAAGACTATTCCATGGCCTGGGTAGATGGGACCAGAACAAAAATAACATTTTTCAATTCTCATATATATTATATTTTAATTTATGGAGAATTGGAATTTTATTAGATAAGAATGCAAAGATCAATCAGAATCTATTATCGCTGATTTCTTAAAACCTTCAAATTTTCCCTGATAATACAGTTTTAGACACTTACCCAATTTCTATTTGGTTTACTGCTTTAAATAAATACTATCATTTAGGTGAAGGTGCATTTGCTGTAATATGAAATCCATATAAAGAATCCTGATAATAATTTTTGAAAAATTCTATGAATACCAAAAATAGGAAAATCAAAAAAGAAGTACACTTGTAGGTTAAAATGAAAGGGATTATGCTGGATATTATTTACATACAAAATATATGAAATCTTCAAATATGACTACAATACTTATGATAGTGAATTAGTAGAAAATCAAATATTTATTAGAAGAAGAAGCTTTTCTGGTTGTATATATACATAAATATTTATATAAATATGAATCAAAAGGTAATTAATTTTTTTGATTTTCTTGCAGGTTATTCCTTTCTTCTATTTTTTTTGATTTATTTATTTTTTGTTAAAGGAATGATTTCTTCCATAGCCCTGGCTTTATTTTCTCTTCTGAGTTCTCTTTTAGATTTGACTCTGACTCCCTCCATTGCATTAATCAAATCATCTGCTTCGTCATGTTGAACCTATTCAATTTGTGGTTAATCATCCATTTCAATTTCTTCCTCAACATCTGGTTCTGGCTTGAAAACTATTTCTTGAACTGGCTTTCTTCTTGCCCCAACAAATTAAGTGGCTGTGTATGGCAAAGATTAACTTCTAAAATCAACAATAGGTTATGGTTTTAATTTAGGAATTTAGGCAGATGGATCGCTAGGATGCAAAAACTTATTTTTTGGTGGGATGGGTCTTTGAAATCTCTAAAGTAGGTAAAAAAATAAATTTACATTTTGTATGGTTGCCTCTAATTTTTAATTTAAATCATGAAGATCTGAATTGACTTTCACATTTTGGAGATGCTCTCTCTTGAGAGATCTCCATCTTCGCATAACCTTAGATCTTTATGATTTTGCCATGAATTAAAAATTTTATATTTATTTATAATGCACTATGAATATATTTCAATCGAATAATTTGGCTAAAAATCCTTTATCTTATTTCTGTTATTGTTGGTTCGTAATTGGTTATTGTTACTAAGGTTTTTGCTATTATTGTTGTTATTACTTTTGCTAATCTAAATGAATAATTTACCAAATTAGGTGGAACTTAAGTGGTCTGTGGTTATTAAGGTGGTTAACTAACTTTAGGTTGTTAACTAACCTTAGGTGGTTGATTAGGAACTTGGTTAGTTTGATTTGGTTAATTAGGCTATGCCACTTGTCCTTAATAAGCGAGTAATTGTTATCCTTATGGTTAATAACCATAAGCAACAGGTTATGCTTAGACAATAGGTGCACCAACTCTAGTTTGAGATGCTTGATATAGAACTGGAGGTTGAACATAGGCTGAAGTTGCTGTTACAGGAGCAGATGCTTTGATAAATTGGGAAGGCTATCTTAATCTAGGACTTGAGGTTTAATACACTGGAGCTGGGATTGTCTATTAAGCAGGGAGAGGTTGCTAAATATATTATGTAGTGATTGGTTATTAATATGTAGAATAATAGGTTTGTGGAACATTCTAAATTATTTATTATTAGACAACTGGTTAAGTTACCTATGTGACAATAGGTTATTGGACAGTTTAGACAATAGGAGTGGATGCTTAGTATGTTTGGGTTGTCACAATTGGTTAAATTTATGTTTACTATACTTATTGTACAGTATTCTAAAATTTAATTCAAATATGTTACTTAAAGCACATTTTATCTTGTCACTGTTTGGTATTCTACTCTTTCAGCATATTTTTCAACTGGCATGTATTCAATCACTTTTTCTTAGATCACTTAAGGAATGTATTCAGTTTCATATTAGATGGCCTAATATTCAGTGATTTATCTCGTAATTGGCACCTGAATTTGTCTTCTCACTTCTTCATATTCCGTTATTGTCTTTTCGTAGGGGATGTACTCTATTCTTGATTCTCCTTTTACTGCTTATCCAGTCTACATTCAAACAATTATTACTGAGACAATGTTTGAACTTATTGCTGATGCACCCAATACTGGTTGATTCACCAACACTCCACCACCTTAATAGAATCCGCTCTGACCCAAATTCTAATTTGTTACTAGTTATTGTTAGTAGGTTGAATTTCCAAGAACAATAGGTCTTACAAATTGAGGCTAACCTGTAATTGTTTGGGGTGCTCCATAGATAGCGGGCTATTAAACAATTGCTTGTGGTTGATACTCGGCCATTTCTTATAATAAATTTTATTTTAATTCTTTTGAATCTCATTAATTAATTATAATACATGTAAAGTAATTAAAATATTCCTGAAAATGCGAATGATCACTGTCCAGGAGCCAACTCTGATTAGGCAGGAAAAAGTGATGCTTGTGCTGGTTGCCCTAATTAATAGCTTTGCTAATCAGGAGCAGGCAAATAATTATTAGGTTTTATATTTCGCATATTCTTAGATAATTCTGAAATCATAGCAAATTTAAAATAAGTCAAACATAAAATATTGGTCTTATCTGGCAAAGGAGGAGTAGGCAAGAGCACTGTATCCTCATAATTAGCTCATATTCTTGCATCCAAAGGATTTGATGTAGGTTTATTAGATATTGACATCTGTGGACCCAGCATTCCAAGAATGATGGGTTTGGAGAGCAGCGAAGTTCATTCAAGTAATAACGGTTGGTAACCAATCTATATCAATGAAAATTTGGGAGTGATGTCGATAGGATTCTTGATTGATAATAAAGATGAAGCTATTATTTGGAGAGGTCCTAGAAAGAATGGACTAATTAAACAATTTTTAACTGATGTGGCTTGGGGAGAATTGGATTTCTTAATTATTGATAGTAATTTTTAAGTTCATCTTACTTAGCTCCTCCTGGGACATCAGATGAACATATTTCTATTGTTCAATACCTTAATCTTACTCCAGATGATGGAGCAGTAATAGTAACAACACCATAAGAGGTTTCTTTGTCTGATGTAAGAAAAGAGATCAGTTTTTGTTAAAAGACAAAGACTAATATTCTTGGAGTGATTGAGAATATGAGTGGCTTTGTTTGTCCTAATTGTTAACATCACACTGATATCTTTCTACCTACCACTGGAGGAGGGGATTAATTATGCAAATAGTATTCTCTCTAACCTCTTGGGAAAATACCACTCGAACCAAAAGTGCTATTATCAGCTGAAAAAGGTAAATGCATTTATGAAACTGCTCCTGACTCGGTTGCTGCCTAAGTTTATACAAACATTGTTTAATGTATAATTTATTATTAGCTTTAGCATTATTAGAAACATTAAATGAATAGCCAAAATAATGATTATTATTATAATTATATGTAAACGCGTTACCCTCGTCATTAAATCAATCAATCTGTCATCAATATTCCCCCACCTTAGGTTACTGTTGTTAGAAGTATATCCCCAGTTGTTGTTCGAACTTTGGAAGGTACTGAATATCATCATATAGTTCCGGTATATTATCAGAATGATCAAACAAACTGGAAGGATAAATACTACGAACTTAGACACCAATATTGGCTCTTGGAAGACAAATGTAATAAACTGGAAGACTTATAAATAAAGCATAGCAGATGCGAAGTTGTAAGAGAGAGTGAATTAAAATAAATTAATGAGCTCTTTACTTAGAGTTAGCATGATATTAGATAGCTTAAACATTGTTTAGCCAAAGTGGATACGTAAATGAATGAGGATTACAAAATGAAATACTTTTAGGCAAATGATTAACTAGAAACAATCAAATCTGAATTTATTAAACTGCAATAAGAATTATATTAATCCTAACAACAATCCACTCAAAACACTCAGAGATAACCATAATAAATGAATCAATTAATTATTACTAATTCAGAGCTTTAAAGATAAAATGAATAACTGCAATTATTAAATAAAAACCTGCAATAATAAATTGATAATCTTCATTTTCGATATACTGAGTCTGGGAACTAATATAATAAAATTCAAGAATTATTAGCTTTAACAGTCCTTAAAAATGCAGAAATTGACAGTCTTAGGATATTAGTCTCAGAAAAAGAAAAAATGATTGAATAACTTCGCACTTAATATTTATCATAATATAGATGATATTTTTAATGATTATATTTAATTTGGAATCATTAAGAAAAGAAACCAATTATGGATAAACTCAATTGCATCCCAGAATTATCTCTTATCCAAATGAAAACATCAACTAAATACTCCCAACTATAAATATGAGATACACACCATATTTTAGTGATTAAATAGATGATGCTGGATGGGGTTGTGCTTGGAGAAGTATTTAGATGATGTTATCTTCTTAATTTAACATAACTCCTGAATTTAGATGGTTATTCAGCTTCTTTGGATCAAAAGTAATTTTAGAAAAAATTTATATGCATATGAACCAAGTTGATTAGGTTCCTCAGTATCTTTCTAATTCGTAGTATGCACCACATGATTTAGGCAATGGATGGGCAGAACCATACATAGGCCATCTCATTTTATATTATATGGGATTCGAGTCCAAATTATTTTTAATCAATGGGTATCCTCCTCATTCCAATGCTCCAAAAGAAGTATTTGCAGAAACTTTTTCGTTCCCTTAATTTAAGTAATTTTTATAAGAGCACTTCACTCAAAGAAAGTCCCCAATTCAAATTGATGATTCAAAATACAGTATGGTGATTTATGATTATAAAATTGATGGTGATAATACAATTCTGTTTATTGGGGATCCACATATCTATTACATTTAAAATAATCATTAGAAAATCGGATTATATACTGTTACATTAAATGAAAAAGGCGGTTAAATTTCTAATTCTATTACTCCCGATTAAGCAGAGTTTTATATGTATGCAAGTTCTTATTAAACTCTACATTTTTATGAGAAAAATTGGATGGCAACTTGCATAATGAAAAGTTAAGATGTTTGGTTAGATTGGAAGGAAAGATAACTGATTATTTGATATTAATTATTAGAATAATAACAAATAAATAAACCAATTACAATTATTAATGTCTCCAGTTTAGGTTTTATGTTGATTTCATAAAAATTTTTATAATTATGTATATTTTATCTAAAACAAAATTGTTAATTTTTAGTCAATTCAATTCTAGTATTTGTGATAAATTGATTAATGAATTCTAGATAGAAGTATTGATTATTGTTTTTATAAGGGATTTAGTTCACCAAAAATTATTATGTTATGTTCTTTATATGCAGATAGATGATTATAAGATTATAAAATATATTATTTTATTTGTATATGACATATTTAAATTACATTATGACTATAATTTTGTATTTGTAAATGACATTTTAAACTTAAATTCTGATTATAAAGATTATTTATTTTAATTTTCTATCAGTAAATGAAATAGAATTAAGTATGATCAGAAGGTTATTTATAATAATTTACTATTTGCAAGTAATATTTTAAATTAATATATAACTTTACAGATAATATATTTTAATTTACTGTGATCAAATGATCTTCCAAAATTACATAATTATTATCTTTTATATTTTACATTTCATAAATTGCACTTTCTTAGAAATTTTAAATTCTCAATCAATTTAGAACATCTAATAGAATTTTAGATTCAAATTGTAATTGTGGTATAACAAACAGTTATAAAAGTTAGAATAAATATTATTAAAAGCATTATTCAAATTTTCATATATTTTATCGCTTATAATGTAATTTTAAATCATTTTAGGTCTAAAATTACCACAATAAAAAATGAATTCAGTTTTGCAATAAAAATGAATGTTTATGCGACTGTCTAAAGAGAAAAATATTTAAGAAACGCTGTTTAAAATATCCAATCATGTATACATCGTAATATCATTTTATTAAAACGATTTCAAAGAAAATTTTCCAATAATGATTATGATTACTTTAAACCTAAACTAGTAGATAACACTTATTTTTCTAAAATATCAAATGAAAAGTTCTGGAATTACATTGTATTTAAACATTTGTTATCATTAATTCATATATTTTTTCTCTCTATTGTCAATTACTAAGTATTAAATTATTACCTGTGGAACATGTTAGGAGCTTGAATGTTTGAAGGGTTCCTTTATAATTCTTTGCACTTTGGCTCTCAATTAGAAAATTTGAATTTGGAGAAATATTTGAATAACCTATATAGTTCCTATCTGACTCCATCCTCTAAAAAGCCTAAAATTAGTTAAAGGAATTTGTAATATTTAGCATTAAACAATTAATCCTACACACTTTTATTAAAATAAAACCAATTAAATACAAAAAATATTCTTATGGTTTCAAGAGATAATCTAAAAAAACACTGGATTGTAAATAAAATTATATATATGATGTTTAATTATTAACTGAATTGTTATGTGAATTTTGTAGAACAAATTATAAATCCCTTGAGAAGATAGTAATTGGTTTTTGCTGCAGTGAATTAAATATTTTGTATTTCCTATCCATTGTTTCTTTATTATTCTATCTATTATATAAACTTTTACAAAATTCATCTTATATATTTTTGTATTTAAATAATATCAATTAATATTCTCCCATTTCAAGCAGATTCATGTTTTTGTTATCTCAATAGAAGTGATTAATTCAAAGATAAGTTAGAATATTCTAAATTAAATAATGAAAATAAAATGAGATTTATATCTTTAATAATTAGTACCATTCAATCAAAATTCAAATCAACCTGACTTTACTAACTTTAGGATTTATCACATGTATTTATGCATTTGGAGCCTAAAAACTGTTTTTCAATTTCTTCATTATTGTCCTTCATAATTTAGAAATCATATTTTTAAGAGCACTATTCGTCACAAAGACTACATCCGTTNTTTTGTATTTGTAAATGACATTTTAAACTTAAATTCTGATTATAAAGATTATTTATTTTAATTTTCTATCAGTAAATGAAATAGAATTAAGTATGATCAGAAGGTTATTTATAATAATTTACTATTTGCAAGTAATATTTTAAATTAATATATAACTTTACAGATAATATATTTTAATTTACTGTGATCAAATGATCTTCCAAAATTACATAATTATTATCTTTTATATTTTACATTTCATAAATTGCACTTTCTTAGAAATTTTAAATTCTCAATCAATTTAGAACATCTAATAGAATTTTAGATTCAAATTGTAATTGTGGTATAACAAACAGTTATAAAAGTTAGAATAAATATTATTAAAAGCATTATTCAAATTTTCATATATTTTATCGCTTATAATGTAATTTTAAATCATTTTAGGTCTAAAATTACCACAATAAAAAATGAATTCAGTTTTGCAATAAAAATGAATGTTTATGCGACTGTCTAAAGAGAAAAATATTTAAGAAACGCTGTTTAAAATATCCAATCATGTATACATCGTAATATCATTTTATTAAAACGATTTCAAAGAAAATTTTCCAATAATGATTATGATTACTTTAAACCTAAACTAGTAGATAACACTTATTTTTCTAAAATATCAAATGAAAAGTTCTGGAATTACATTGTATTTAAACATTTGTTATCATTAATTCATATATTTTTTCTCTCTATTGTCAATTACTAAGTATTAAATTATTACCTGTGGAACATGTTAGGAGCTTGAATGTTTGAAGGGTTCCTTTATAATTCTTTGCACTTTGGCTCTCAATTAGAAAATTTGAATTTGGAGAAATATTTGAATAACCTATATAGTTCCTATCTGACTCCATCCTCTAAAAAGCCTAAAATTAGTTAAAGGAATTTGTAATATTTAGCATTAAACAATTAATCCTACACACTTTTATTAAAATAAAACCAATTAAATACAAAAAATATTCTTATGGTTTCAAGAGATAATCTAAAAAAACACTGGATTGTAAATAAAATTATATATATGATGTTTAATTATTAACTGAATTGTTATGTGAATTTTGTAGAACAAATTATAAATCCCTTGAGAAGATAGTAATTGGTTTTTGCTGCAGTGAATTAAATATTTTGTATTTCCTATCCATTGTTTCTTTATTATTCTATCTATTATATAAACTTTTACAAAATTCATCTTATATATTTTTGTATTTAAATAATATCAATTAATATTCTCCCATTTCAAGCAGATTCATGTTTTTGTTATCTCAATAGAAGTGATTAATTCAAAGATAAGTTAGAATATTCTAAATTAAATAATGAAAATAAAATGAGATTTATATCTTTAATAATTAGTACCATTCAATCAAAATTCAAATCAACCTGACTTTACTAACTTTAGGATTTATCACATGTATTTATGCATTTGGAGCCTAAAAACTGTTTTTCAATTTCTTCATTATTGTCCTTCATAATTTAGAAATCATATTTTTAAGAGCACTATTCGTCACAAAGACTACATCCGTTAAGTAGTATTCCAATTCTAATATCAAATTATTTATTGCAACATACACATTAAACCTTTCAATATAATGAAAATACTTACAAGATACAAATGATTATATTTTTAAAAACATTCATAGCTACAAAATTCATTGTTTTCTACTACAATATAGTTTTTAATTAATAATTTAAAGCAATTCCAGCAAGCTACCTTTTTTATCCTAAGTTTACTAGCATTCTATTCATCATATGGTTTTTATTTAGAAACAGATACAGAGCTAATATTATTATCAATTTGGTCTAATTCATTGTTAGTTTATATATCTATATTTGAAGTTTCTCCTATATGATTTTAATGCATATAATTAGATATTTCTTCTAATTCATTTAAGATGAAGGATGAGTGGAATGATTACTCAATTCTTGAATATTCTTTCTAATCATCCTTTTCTTTAAACGTGACTTTTTTTANCATCGTAATATCATTTTATTAAAACGATTTCAAAGAAAATTTTCCAATAATGATTATGATTACTTTAAACCTAAACTAGTAGATAACACTTATTTTTCTAAAATATCAAATGAAAAGTTCTGGAATTACATTGTATTTAAACATTTGTTATCATTAATTCATATATTTTTTCTCTCTATTGTCAATTACTAAGTATTAAATTATTACCTGTGGAACATGTTAGGAGCTTGAATGTTTGAAGGGTTCCTTTATAATTCTTTGCACTTTGGCTCTCAATTAGAAAATTTGAATTTGGAGAAATATTTGAATAACCTATATAGTTCCTATCTGACTCCATCCTCTAAAAAGCCTAAAATTAGTTAAAGGAATTTGTAATATTTAGCATTAAACAATTAATCCTACACACTTTTATTAAAATAAAACCAATTAAATACAAAAAATATTCTTATGGTTTCAAGAGATAATCTAAAAAAACACTGGATTGTAAATAAAATTATATATATGATGTTTAATTATTAACTGAATTGTTATGTGAATTTTGTAGAACAAATTATAAATCCCTTGAGAAGATAGTAATTGGTTTTTGCTGCAGTGAATTAAATATTTTGTATTTCCTATCCATTGTTTCTTTATTATTCTATCTATTATATAAACTTTTACAAAATTCATCTTATATATTTTTGTATTTAAATAATATCAATTAATATTCTCCCATTTCAAGCAGATTCATGTTTTTGTTATCTCAATAGAAGTGATTAATTCAAAGATAAGTTAGAATATTCTAAATTAAATAATGAAAATAAAATGAGATTTATATCTTTAATAATTAGTACCATTCAATCAAAATTCAAATCAACCTGACTTTACTAACTTTAGGATTTATCACATGTATTTATGCATTTGGAGCCTAAAAACTGTTTTTCAATTTCTTCATTATTGTCCTTCATAATTTAGAAATCATATTTTTAAGAGCACTATTCGTCACAAAGACTACATCCGTTAAGTAGTATTCCAATTCTAATATCAAATTATTTATTGCAACATACACATTAAACCTTTCAATATAATGAAAATACTTACAAGATACAAATGATTATATTTTTAAAAACATTCATAGCTACAAAATTCATTGTTTTCTACTACAATATAGTTTTTAATTAATAATTTAAAGCAATTCCAGCAAGCTACCTTTTTTATCCTAAGTTTACTAGCATTCTATTCATCATATGGTTTTTATTTAGAAACAGATACAGAGCTAATATTATTATCAATTTGGTCTAATTCATTGTTAGTTTATATATCTATATTTGAAGTTTCTCCTATATGATTTTAATGCATATAATTAGATATTTCTTCTAATTCATTTAAGATGAAGGATGAGTGGAATGATTACTCAATTCTTGAATATTCTTTCTAATCATCCTTTTCTTTAAACGTGACTTTTTTTACACTCTTTTGTCTTTCTTTTTGCAGGCTTGATCTCTTTTTAGGGTTAGTGAAGCTTAAGTCGATTAATGGTTCTATTTTTATAAAATGGTATACCTTCTAACTCATCATATTTAGATTCATTTTGAAAAATTACTTCATTCACTTCTACTGATTATTTGAGTTCTCTGATTTTTTTCATTAATCTAAGTTAGTGCCCCAATGGTATTTCCATTTGTTATAGCTATTCCTTTTAAATGTCAAAAAGAATATCCAACTCCTCAAATCCATTTTCTTTGAACTTTTAGACATAAGTATCCAATTTGATCGATTTCAAAAAAGATTCAATAGGTTCTGACTTATTTGAAGGAGGCCTATCCTTAAGAACTTTATTAATTATGCATTTTACTTCGATTATTTGGGGTTGTATAATTTTACCACCTTGAGCTATCTGTCAAATCTCCAGATTATTTACTTATTTGTGATCTTTCCATCTTTTATGAATTCAAGTTTTATTTTAGTTTTGCTAACTTTTCTGCCTAAGAATACGATTCATTAATACCATTTTTTTTGCTTCTTCTTACATCTAAAGTGCATAAGGGTTGGATGTTTTATTAGATGATGACCCTCTATTTTTTATCATAATATTATATTATGGATTTTGATTTTATCGAAGCTCAAAACTCATTTTTGTTCCTCTAGGAGTAAAAAAAGTTACCAATAAAAATGTCCCATAAGTTAGAGCTTCTTTTAGAATGCATCAATAACTAAGATATTGATACTTCAGTTTTCCATTCATTAGAATTAGAAGAGTGCTAAGCATTGATGAAGTTGAATAAACAAGCTTAAAAGGATGTGTTTATGTAGATCATTAAAAGATATGCGTATGTAATTACACTTTATTAATTCAAGGAAAACATGATTCCATCAGCTATTGGAGAAATCAAAGGAATTATTGATATCAGAACAAAAGTGTTGAAAAATTGGAAATAAAAATAGTTTAAGATAGACTCTAAATAAAGAACCTTTGAAATATTGAGAAAAAAGAGCAGTAAGAAGAAACCAAGAATAATATACCTCTAATATTACACAGTTTAGCCCTAAGAATTCAAAGATAAGCGTTATCGATTCGTTATTCTTGCCAATTCTGATGGTCATGGTTATTACAAAACATTAGTCTGTGGATCAGATGATAAAGCACTCTATGACAAAGTGATATAAGCACTTAAAACAATATCATAGTTTTCAGACCATGTAATGAGGGGATCTATCATACTTGAATCTAATGATTTTAATCACCCTAGAAGTAATACAAACTAATAATCCTTCATTACAACTAGGTAGGATATGAAATTAGTAACTTAATCTGAAATCATTCCGCAAAAGTAAAATACTAGTATTAAAATTACTAAATAACCTTTCGAATCAGATATAAAACAAAATCAATTACAATAAGAAAAATAAAAATAATGTCATGTAGAGCAACAATCGAATGTTAGTTAACAATATTTATAGAATGATTCTCCAGAAAAATAATAGCAATAAAGTATAAATATTTAACAATCATAATCACAACCTATTTTTAATTAGAAATAGTAAATAAAATAACAATACCTATAATAATCCTAATAATTTATTGAACAGCAATAATAATAATCATCAACACAACAACAACAACAATAATCACAATTTTTGCAATAATAGCAAGTTTTATAACAAACACAATAATAATTATTATTGTTATAGTAGTAAGAATAGTAATAGTAGTAGTAATAACATTAACAATATTATTAGTAATAATTATAATATTAATAAATATAATAACAATAACAATAACAATAACAATAACAATAACAATAACAATAACAATAACAATAACAATAACAATAACAATAACAATTACAATTACAATAGTAAAAATAATTAGAGGAATAACTTAAATAATAAGAAAAATTACTTTAAGAATAATAAATTTAGTAATAAAACCAATAATAAGAATAATTAAAATCAAAATTTTTGGAGAAAGAGCTTTAATCAAAGTAAAAGAATGATCCTGTTTTAGTCAAAAATGAATTGAAGTATCCATAAGTTTTCCAAGTTTTATCTGAAGAAGGCAAATTCAATTAAGATTATTTTGTTCAATCAACGAAATAATTTACTCAAGTTTATTCTAAAGATGGAGTGTAAATTTTAAAGGACTAAAATAATTCCCTCTGTTTTAGATCATCATTGACCATTTATAATGGAGATATCGAAAAGGTATTTCAATGTTTAGCTGAGATTGATTTTGTAAAAAAATGGAATGCTGTTATAAATCCTAATGAAACTAAATTATTAAATATGATGTAGAGCGAGAATTGTGGGATAATTTATGAAAGACACAAATAATATGGTTTACTATATTTGCCGAGAGATTTTGTTTATCTTAGATATGTAACATATAGAGGAGATGACATTCTAATTGTGGATAAATCAATAGAGAATGAGGACGCTCCGCCATATATGAAAGTGATAAGGGGGGAAATTAATTACTAAATCATAGAGATAGTCAAAAATGAGAATAACGTCATTGTAAGGATTGAATCAGAAATGACAAATGGTGGTCTATCATCTGTAAATTAAGACAGCGCGATCACTTAATGGTATTTAAGTGAACTTTCACACTTTTAGCAATTTTTAAAGACCTACTCTGCTGTTTAAGAGATAATACAATCTCCTTTTTTATAAGTTGTAAATAATACAAAAGTAAATAAATAAAAGGAAAATGTAATAATCGCTTAAAGAACATCTACTTTGCCCAATGAAGTTTAAGTTTTCTCTCCATAACAGTTATAATAATCACTAAATGTTTAATAATAATAATAATAATAATAATAATAATAAGAAGAATAATAATAATAATAATAATAATAATAATAATAATAATAATAATAATAATAATATTTGAGCATTCAATAGCAGTAATAATTTTTTAAATAAGAAGTTTATTAACCTTCTCCTGTAACTGTTGCTTATGAAGAATAGTTCAAATTTGATAAATTAAATGAAACCCATCCCATTACTTTAGATTAGCTCCCCATAATTGCTACAGTACCAGAAACTGTTCCAGTGATTATTGAAAATAATAATGAGATTTAATAATACAATAAAGATATAGAAGATGCAGATTTAAGTAATTACACTCCGAGTGATTTCATTTAATAGACATTACCAGAACTATCAGATAAGGAGTCTGGCTAAGTGAAACAAATGATAAAAAATATCGAGCAAGGTTTTTATGATTACACTGCTAATTGTATCACTCATAAGTACGTTAATGAACCTTAGAAGGTCAAAGATGAATATATTACTTAGATTAACGAAGGACATTACTTTTTAAGATAAGATTGGAAAAGAGATATGAAACATGGGGGAATGATTTTTTATAATCAGAAGAAGATAGAGGCTTAAAAAAGGGTTATTAAATTTATGTTAAAATCAATAGGATCAAATCTATTATCTGGTAAGTCAATTTTAAATATCTCATTGCCTGTCGAAGTGTTTGAAAGCAGATCTAATTTAGAGAGGTTCTGTTATTCATTCACTTTTGCTCCTTAAATTTTGGAAAAGGCAGCTAAAATTAATAATATAATCGAATAAATGAAGTATACAATTGCATTTGGATGCAGTACAAATTAATTATATAATTTTAGGTTCAATTATAATGTATATGTCCCTAGAGAAGCCATTCAATCCTATTTTGGGAGAAACCTATTAAGGATTCATTAATGGATGCCCTGTTTATGCTGAATAAGTGAGTCATCATCCACCAATAAGTGCTTTTTAATTGAAAGGTAGGGGCTACGATATTGATGGACATATTGAATCTGCAGCTAGTATGCATGCAAATAGTGTTACTGGAAAAAATATTGGATTTATCAGAGTAACTTACCACAATACACGTTCAAAGCAAATCTTTATTCAATGTCCTGGAGTATTAACTGGAACTGCATTTGGAACAAGAGTATTTAATATTAATGGAAGATCATATACGATTGATTTGGTATTTATTAATTATGAAAATAAGGAAAATAATCTAATTGCAGATATGGCATTTAATCCTGGAAGCAAGAATGTATTCAATAAGAAAGACTTATTGTAAGACTAATTTATTGGCTATTTATACAAAGTAAAACCTGGAGTATTAAATAAATATAAAAAAGAAGGATATGCAAAATATTCTGGAATTGATTTTGACAAGGATGTTGAATAAAGAGTAATAGAATATTTAAAATTTAGTTTTTCTCTATAAATGGTATTTGGAATTAAATGGTCGAATTTGATGGAGTTAAATTATTTGATACACTTGAGATGAACCCGCATGTGATGGTTAACCACCCGTGTCCTTTGCCATCAGACTCAAATTTCAGATTGGATATACTTTACTGGAAATTGAGGGACTTCAATAATTCTCAAAGAACTAAGGAGATATATGAAGTAAAGCAAAGAAACGATAGAAAATGCAGAGAGAAACTTGCAGGTAAGAAACATTGAGTTTTGTATTGTATAATTAAATATAAATTTTAATATATGGATAGATAAAAATACATAAGGCTCTCTTTCTAATGAAATAAAAGAAATATTAAGAGGCCTATGATGAATATTTAGATATTTTGCTCTTGAAAGATTGTATAACTTTATTCTATGTATAGAAAAAAATATTGAATAGAATATATTTAGTGGATTATGCTTTTAAAATAACTAAAAATTTCAATAAAACAGAAGAATTTTATCTCTACACTTTTGAAAAAAGGTTAAAATTGAGTAAGGATGATATTAAATATAAGGAAAAAACTATAGAGTATGATCAAAAATTAATTACAATTTAATAAAATATGGTATTATCCTTAACAAAAAACGGAAATGGGAAAGGTTATGGATGGTAAGGTTAGGTATTGTGAAATTTTGCATGAAAAAATAAAAGATGAAGGTATTAGATATTCATTTTCTAGAATTATTACAAAATGGGTCGATTGAATATGTTTATAAAGTAGCCAAATTTTATATTCCAATAATTATCGATCTTTAATTAATAGATGTGACATAACCTAAATCATTTAACTCTATTATCCCTAATTTTCACAAAAAGTATCTAATTACAGCGCAAATTTTGAAATACTAAAATTATAGCTAGGAAAGCAGCATCAAAGTTTTCCTTATTAGAATTTAGGGATATCAAATTTGGGCAAGAAATTTCTAAAGATCGTACAGAAGAAATATGAATTTAGTATTTTGAGGATGTCCAGGAACAAAAAAGAAAATGAAAGAAAAAAGTATTGGTAGGTCTATATTGATTCAGATGAGTAGTTGGTTTATTAAATGGATTATGAAAGAGGATTAAAAAGAATTTTAAAATAAGAGCATGAAATGACTGTCTAAGAGTTTCAATAAATAGCCTAGAGTATTATTATTGAGTAATCGTAAGCTTAAGCTTAAGCTGAATACAACAAAAGAGTATAAAATAACTTAAGTGCCTGGTCTCAGCCAGGAAGAATAAATTAGATTAATTGAATATTATATAGAACATTGCTTAATTATGATATGAACAATAATTTAGTATCTGATAATACAAGGGCATTAGGATGAATAAATAGTGGAATATTTTATCATTAATAATAATAATTAGAATAGAATAGTACAATTGAGATTGGTTTTTGTATATATATTAATTATTATATTGATTAGTATCATCATTCTTAATGCTTAATTTTAATATGTTTATATTTGGCTCCATATGTACTATTTATTAGGCTTAAAATTAATACCCATAAGTTTTCAGACAGTGCTAGCAAACGTATAGTTTTTTGATCTCGGAATTTTTTCTTCTTTTCTTTTTATTGAGCTCTTCATATTTAGTCTTCATATTTTCAATGTCTATCTTCAGCTAATCCACTTGACGATATAAGATAATGTTTAAGTAGTAAAATTTTAATGCTTCGAAATAAAATTTCTTTTATTATATTTAAGTGGTGATGTAATTCATTTGTGCTAGATTGTCTATTTGATTATTTTACAACATTAATATTGTATATGGATAATATTTATTTATGAATAATCTCATATTGTTGTTTCCAAAGTTATTCCAAGAGGAACTGGAAGAATTCCACATTTAGATGGGCATGTTCCATCAACTGGGACTTAGGTGGCTAAGGTCCATGAGAATCTATAAATTTGAATCGAAGATGATTATACGTATTATTGAATTTTCCTTTAGCAGAAAGACCAACAGTTTTATTAAAAACGTTTAATCTTGCCTTAACATCAGCTCCCTAGAATTTCGTTGAAGCAGCCAATAAAATTTAGACTCTGCTGACAGGAATGTATTCAATTTCAAATCCATATTGATTGGAGTTCTTTCTGAAAACTGCATCAACCAGAAATTTTCCAATTCCAAAATTGCTAAATAATGGGAAAGATGGTATTTAATTAGTTAAATGTCTAAAGTAAACATCATAATTTTAGGTCTAATATCCAACCAAAAAGTCTAACTTATCAAATTCCTATCTGCTGAGACATAATTGTGAGGCAATAACGTAGACCCAATTGTTGTGTTTGACTTATGATCTCAATAAGAAGTTGACTTTGTCTTAATTTAACCATTCAAATCCTAATTAATCATATAAATATTCTTACTTGCATGGCTTAAGCATTTTTATCCTTCATAAACTGATCCAAATCTTATGGTTGATTTTGATGAACTATTATAGAATTACACATTAGCAAATAAATTTTATTGTTTGATGATATTAAATTTGCCAAAATCTACATGAACCTTAGTTTATTCTTTTCTTGTTGCAAACCAGAAATAATAATTGTTATATGGGAATTAGAACTTTGTTTCTTATCCTGGAGCCAAAGATTTTGCAATATCCAAAGTGCCTTTATAATTTGCAATGCCTCCACCATTTGCTTAAGCCTTCACTTTCAAAGTAGCTTTTCCTGTTGAGAAATCATCTTCAACGAGCTTTTTTGCTGTGAAATCACCCAAAGATTACAATGGGGCTGGTGACAAGGATTGAGGGGTAGCCATAAATATTAATTAATATCTTTTTTAATTATTTTCTTTTTGTTTATTAGGATATTTATACGAATGTCAATCGTAATTATTTTTCCCACAAATATTGCATAATTATTTGTAATAAATATATCATTTATAATTGAAAATACTAATAATATCTATTCCATTTTTGTTCAAAGCTTAATATTATATTGTCTTTTAAATTCTACTCTCTCTCTCACAGCAGTATTCAAGCCTAAGCAGCTTAAGGCTATAGAAATAGATATAGGATACTACAGAAATTATTTATGCAGTTGGATACTTCAAAGAATCTCTGTATATTATCTCCTAACAAAAACTATGGATTGTAAAAACTAGATATTATGATCTCATGTTTTTGGACTAAAATAGATAAGAAATATTTACAACTTAAATTGTAAAACAACTCATTTATATTAATAATGAAATCAACTTTTACGAGGTCTGCTTAGAGAAATCTTGAAGAACAACCAGTTAGTTCTTAATTCAAAGCATCCTCTCAGTTACATGCTGCTCTCCTTAATGAGTATAAGAGACCTGAAAATTCGTCTATGCCTAAAGTCACACTTACATCCACAGGGAAAGACGCAGTCCGATAAGCTAGACTCGAAAAAGAAGTCTAAAAATTTGAATATACTTTGCAATCTGAAGTTGCTTCACTGCCTAAACATCCTGCACCGATATATAGAGAACAAACAAAAGTAAGTTATCAAATTTAATATCAAGTTACTTATTGAAAGGTAAAAGGATAATAGAAGAGAAAAGCATCTGAAGTTTTGTGATGAATTTGAGAAATGGGTCAATCGTCTAAATAAAAATTTAGAAGAGGCTTATAAAGATATTAAAAGAGATATTACAGATTTCTTTTCTGAATCAGATCAATAGATAACTAGTTATTATTAAACACTTACTGATGAAGCTTTGCTAAAAAGGGAAATTGAATTTGTGGAGAGTATCCATTCGACAGTTAATGCGCATAGAGAAAAAAGGGAAACCAAAGTCAATGCACTTGATAAACGACTAGAAGACTTAGAAAAAGAGAGATTTAGATCCTTAGAACTATTCTGTAATAGGTTCTAAGAAGGTCTAATTGATGTGGCATTTCAATTAGAACCAGAAATAACCGCGCATGTGGATGTATGAGCTCTTATTATACACTCAGACTTTCAGAGAAGCGTTTCGAAAGGTTGTGGCAGAGAAGAAAGCAGATAATTAAATCTATTTTCAAGAGGTCAATAGACAACATCAAGAGACATTCAAATTGTATGACGAGACACAATTTTAGAAAGAATAACAGTGGAGAGATTTAAAACATTAGCATTACATTGATGAATTTAATATTGATATTTAGAAATTAGAATATGTATATCCTGATGAAAGAACATAATTATATGATAATTTTAGAAAAACTTAAAAGGAGATATTCAGAGAGAGAAAATAATTACTAGAGAAGCTAAATTCTATTGATATGGCGGCATTAACAAAAACCATTGTTGAAAAGTGGATAGATGAAACTAAATCATATAATGAATTAGCATCATAAACTATAGATGTTTGTTGTAATAATTTATTAGAAGAGACTAAAAAGACCCATGCCTATTGTATGTAACGATATGAATTAATCAAATCATAATTATTGTATGCTGGGGCTAAATCAGAAGAAGAATTAAATTAACTATTAGATGAATAATTCCTGCCATAAGTAAATAGTCTCAATCAATCAGCTAGAGATTTAATGAAATAGGCAATTGATTACTATGAGAGAATTGATTAATAATAGACTGATATACTAACTAATTTTGGCTAATTTTTTATGAAAATAGCATAGAAGAATGATGAATACAAAACTGAAATGCAATTATTAATGCATAATTATGAAATCCAGAAAGCATAAGCAGCAGATAAAAATGATGAAGTGTTAGAGGAACTGACCAAAAAATTGAAAGAAGATAAACAAAAATTAACAGAAGCATTGCATCACCCTCGTTTGGAAGAATGCTTAGCCTAATGCTATAAGGATTTGGATTTATTCGGAGAAGAATATGAAAGATTTCATTAAGATAATTTGGCTATAGCTAATTAACATCCGAACATAATAAGAAATAAGCATTAGACGTTTGAAAAATCAGTGTTAAGCATTTTTGAACTAGTTGATCCGCAAAAGGAATAATTCTTATAGGAGAAATACAGAAAGATAGCTGAAACCAAAATAAAATACATAATTGCTAAGGAAGAATACAACAAGAAGATAGAAGAAGAGAAGCTAATAGAAGAAGCCAAGAATAAAAAAGGTGGTAAACCTCCAGCTACCAAACCAAAAGATCCAAAAAAGTATTAATAAGAAAATATCATAGATTTTAATAAGAATTAGAGGACAGAATGAAATAATTATTAAAAGAATAACCTCCTTAAGAAGTAGGTAAATATCACAGTGCCTTAGATTAATAATTTGTTTAGTTTAGATCTACTATAGAAATTGCAGAACGTATGTACGTTCCACCTGATGAAATGGAACAAGTATTAGCTAAAGAGAAGTTAGAGGCTGATGATATTGAATTACATTTGTAATAACAAAATGCTCCAAAGGACCCTAAAGCAAAACCTGCAGTTCCTCCTCCTATTGAATTACCTAATTATGTTCCAGAGGAGGATGCTCCTAAGAAAGCGGTCGATTTTGCTGAATAACCTCCTATTAATATATTAAATTAGGCTGTTTTAGAACAGGATGCAGTAATAACAATTGACTATTTGTCATCATTATTGAATCAAGCGCAATAAAAGTTGTTTGATTACATAGCAAATTGTCTTAACCATTAAAATCAATAAGCTAATGAAAGTGACCATGAATTTATAAAATAATCTGAAAATTATAGGGATGAAAAATAGGCTTAAATTCATCCACAAAAATAAGAAATCAAAAACACCATATATGATCTAAGAAGTCAATAAATAACTATGCATAAAAAAAGGTGATATTAAATTTTAAATTAATTAGATATGAACGATANTATTAGATGAATAATTCCTGCCATAAGTAAATAGTCTCAATCAATCAGCTAGAGATTTAATGAAATAGGCAATTGATTACTATGAGAGAATTGATTAATAATAGACTGATATACTAACTAATTTTGGCTAATTTTTTATGAAAATAGCATAGAAGAATGATGAATACAAAACTGAAATGCAATTATTAATGCATAATTATGAAATCCAGAAAGCATAAGCAGCAGATAAAAATGATGAAGTGTTAGAGGAACTGACCAAAAAATTGAAAGAAGATAAACAAAAATTAACAGAAGCATTGCATCACCCTCGTTTGGAAGAATGCTTAGCCTAATGCTATAAGGATTTGGATTTATTCGGAGAAGAATATGAAAGATTTCATTAAGATAATTTGGCTATAGCTAATTAACATCCGAACATAATAAGAAATAAGCATTAGACGTTTGAAAAATCAGTGTTAAGCATTTTTGAACTAGTTGATCCGCAAAAGGAATAATTCTTATAGGAGAAATACAGAAAGATAGCTGAAACCAAAATAAAATACATAATTGCTAAGGAAGAATACAACAAGAAGATAGAAGAAGAGAAGCTAATAGAAGAAGCCAAGAATAAAAAAGGTGGTAAACCTCCAGCTACCAAACCAAAAGATCCAAAAAAGTATTAATAAGAAAATATCATAGATTTTAATAAGAATTAGAGGACAGAATGAAATAATTATTAAAAGAATAACCTCCTTAAGAAGTAGGTAAATATCACAGTGCCTTAGATTAATAATTTGTTTAGTTTAGATCTACTATAGAAATTGCAGAACGTATGTACGTTCCACCTGATGAAATGGAACAAGTATTAGCTAAAGAGAAGTTAGAGGCTGATGATATTGAATTACATTTGTAATAACAAAATGCTCCAAAGGACCCTAAAGCAAAACCTGCAGTTCCTCCTCCTATTGAATTACCTAATTATGTTCCAGAGGAGGATGCTCCTAAGAAAGCGGTCGATTTTGCTGAATAACCTCCTATTAATATATTAAATTAGGCTGTTTTAGAACAGGATGCAGTAATAACAATTGACTATTTGTCATCATTATTGAATCAAGCGCAATAAAAGTTGTTTGATTACATAGCAAATTGTCTTAACCATTAAAATCAATAAGCTAATGAAAGTGACCATGAATTTATAAAATAATCTGAAAATTATAGGGATGAAAAATAGGCTTAAATTCATCCACAAAAATAAGAAATCAAAAACACCATATATGATCTAAGAAGTCAATAAATAACTATGCATAAAAAAAGGTGATATTAAATTTTAAATTAATTAGATATGAACGATATGCAAAGTAATTAGTAGAAAGGATTGATGATCAAACTGAATAAATCAATTTATTATTGGAAAGTGGATTATTGGATATGAAAGATTACATTTAAGAGTAGCAAACTCTTAAAAACAATTTACAATCAGCAACTACTTTAGCCAAATTATAAGGAATTCAAAATACTGTTAAAGAGAACTATTTCAAATTTGGAGAAAGTAAATAATTGATTTATCGTAGAAATAAATGATTTGGAATAAAAATTAAGTTATTTGGCAAATTAAGAATTGGATGTGTTATTGCAAAAAAATAAAGACTTTATGAGAGATTGCAAGCCAAATGAATATTTTAAAGAAGAATTAGAATGGTATCAATAAATGATGGATGAACATAACGCTACAATTGTTAAGCATAAAGAGAAGAGAACATAAAGATTAGAAGAAATTAAGAAGGTGTTAACAGCCAAAAGATAAGAATAATTGGATAAGTTTGAATAAGAATACATTGTCGCTGTTGAAGATTTAGCAGCTAAGGATGGAACTGGAAAGAAGTATGGAAGACCTAAAAGAATAGCTTAAGAAAAATTAAGAACAGAAATGACTAAATGTGAAAAGGCATAAGAATGCATTAATTTGAAAATACAAGAATTGAAGGATCATTATGATTTATTCAAAAAAAAATAAGGTGACTATTTTGCTAATCTTGACCCTTCATTTTCAATTAAAATTAGAAAAATATTAAGTGGAGCATTGGTTTGTATCAAAAGGTATGCAACTCACATCGAAGCACTTAAACCAGATAATAAAGTTATAGATATGCCAAGGAGCACATGGAAGGAAAATAAATTTGATACTATTTTAGAGAACGAAGAGTAATAAGAAGATAAAAAAATAATTGAAAATGATTTAGAAAGTATGGGACCATTATTTTATACCGAAAAGAAACTATAGGAAAGTTTAATTGAGATTGAAAAAATAATTAAAGAAGAAGCAATTAAAATTTACTCTGATAAATAGAAATTCTTAACAGGAGCTGATAAAATCCCAGATTATCTTAGAGCTTATATTGAGAATATGTAAAGGAATATGAACGAATTCAGAATATAATCTATTAGAGAACTCAGAAATGCATGTGAAGAATTATCAGAAATGTCTCCAAAGCTTAGTGAAATGATTTTATTCTCAAATCATTAAAGATGGATTTTCACTTTGTAAATGATTAACTCGAATTTATGGAATGAATTACAATAAGAATAGAGAAAATAAGAGAATATTAAAAAGACTCATTAGAAATAACTAAGACCTAATTTAGGAAATCCATAATTAAAAGACGAATTAGATGATCTTAAATCAAGAGAATCAAAAAGACTTTCTGATTTTTTGGAATTATTATCAAAATATTAAGTAACTCTTTTTGATGAGAATTTTAATTTAGGAGATAAATATTTGAAAGCTGCAAGTTAAAATTTTGAATTTCTTTTGCTTATTTATGATTCGCTATTGTTATTCGAGGATTTTATTAAATTACCTGGAGATGAATAAATACAAAAGAAGCATTAGAATTTAAAAGTTTCTTTGAGATAGAAGTAAAATGGTTAAATCATAGATACAAATTCAGAAAGATCTCTAAGTAAAACGTGGGAAGGTGTTTAATTGGAAATGTTTACGATAGGGGATAGAATTATTCAATATAATTGGCAAATCAATTAAGTAATAAAGGTAGATCCAAAGGATGCAAAAAATAAAGCTCCAGAAGTTAAGAAACCTGCTGCAGGAGGAAAGCAATAGGAAATTGAAAAACCCGTTTAGACTACTACAACGTATTCTATATATAAAATAACTTTAGGCCATTAAAATCATTTAAAACTTTCAGATAGATATCAGCCAAACATGAGTTCTTTAAATCAATAAATGAATTTGTAATAGAATATAAGAGATAAGTTGATTATACAAAAGACTAAATAAAATTACTTAGCGAAAGAGAGTTAAAGTTCCAATTCAAATGGGAATAAAGCATTGCTTCTTTGTGATATTAATATAATTTATATATATTTTATGATATTTCCAACTGAGCCTTACATTAAGAAGAAGTTTTTCTACAAGAATATGTTGGCAGACAATTCTAAGATAGACTTCCTTAATTAATATAAGGTTTTGCAGTAAATGAAAGACAATCACAGTAGTAAAAATAAACAACACATTCACACTTAAGTTACACAGGCAAGTCTATACAAGCCCATGTTTAGTATTCATTCGCCACAATCATCGCAAACAATAAATAAATCAGAAAGACCAGGATTTAGTTCAGTTAGGCGATTTCATACTCACAATTCTTAATAAACTATTTTAAGCAAACCTGTCCTTGAAACTCCTTAAATCGAAAGCAGAAAAGAAAGGAGAGCCCCATTGCATAAGAGAAAACTTGTATTGAAATAGACATCTTTGGATATTATAGAATACTTGGAATTTTTGAAGTCTCAAAAGAAATCTAATAATTCTATAAAATATTCAGATTTACTTAAAGAAGACACTCAGGTTGTCACAATGAATTAATAGAAATAGCAAAATTATAAGAAACTAAAGGAAGAATAGAGGAATTATTTGCAATTATTATATTAATGGTAAATCACATCCATAATCTTCTAGCACAAATATAGTTTCTCGTATTTAAGATGACAATAAGTTCTAGGATATTGTTAATTCGTGTACTCATCAATATCCTAATCTAAAACATACTATCGATTAGTTGATGCAAGATATCGAAGTTGCTTCACAGATCTATACAAGTCTAACTTAATTAGGAGCCATTCTTGGTAGAATCACTGGAGTTGATCATAAAATATTTTATTTGATGTTTAGACCTAAAGGGGAATACCCAGAATCAAATTAACATTATTCTGTTGATGAAGATCTCTGCAGAAACTATAAGTTTATAAAACCAACCAAATACGATATCTATTATAGAATTTTTGGGGCAGGTGATTTACCTTTAGAATTTTAGGATTAATTAGGTGAATCTGCTCCTTAAATTAAAAGGCATAAAATACGACATTCTGAATATTAATTTGCTTAATAAAATTAAGAGGCTCTCCCTTCTATTGATTATGATTTTGTTAAGAAAATATCATACTATCAAAAGAATTTGTAATTATTTTTAAAACAGAAATCAGGAGATATTTTATCTAATCTCAGATAATTTATGATGGATGAAGAGATTAAAAATGGGACTCTCCTTAGACACACCATACTTTCGAAATTAATAGATTCTGAAAATTAAATTGGCCATTTTCCATTAGTAACTAGATAAAATAGATATTTATTCGAAAAGTTTGAATACGATCAAAAAATTCTTAATAAATAAAAAAACTGAAGGACTTTCAATATATTTAAGTTTATTATTTATATTATAAATATATTTATAATAAAATTAATGAATTGTCTTACTTGTCATTTGAAAAGCAATACAATGTTTCTAATTATATAACAATTTATTTATTAAAGTTATGGCTATTAAGCTTTATTTTAATAACTCTAAACTGAAAAATTTGAACCTTTCATTTTAACAATAAGAATTTAAATAATTCAATAGCATAGCAATTAATGATTTGAATATACTATTATATCTTTGCAATTAATAATAATTAAATTTTTACATTCCAATGAACTAAAGACTAGAATCCTTTGGGCTTTAATCTGGTTAAATTGAATGCCAATTCGATGATAATTATAGACCTTTTAATAAAACTCCTTCGTGCTCACCTTTGCCTTAAAATGAGGCAGAATAGTTTGAGGATTTAAACTTTTCTATTTTGTCAAATACCAATTTTCAAGTTGATGGTATTAAAAGCGCAAAATAAAAATCGAAAATTTAGTAGATAAAAATCTAATCAAACTTATTTGAAGTTCTGAAAGTTGATAAATTAGTAGCACTTTTTAAGGAAAAAATAATGTTGAAAGCCCATGTTTTGAGTTAATCTAAAAGGGAATTGATTAAAAAAATTATTAATGAAAAGTATGTATAACAAAGAGAATCAAATGCTTAGCATGATTTCCCTACGCATTGCTCAAAAATAAGTCATCAACTTTTTGATTCAGGTAATGTTTTCCTATAAATTTGGTCTTATATAAAGACTATCATTTTACTAGTCCTATTATGGGTTTATCCTTTTCTTTGGAGTTTTAGAATTGATAGTCAATACCATCCACTTACTATTGTATTTATTCTTTTGGATATCATCTTAAAATTAAATACTTAGTTAGTATTTTAGGGAAATGTATAATATTACATAATTTAATTAGGTAATTAATTCGAGATCTGAGATACTGTCATTTTATTTCAGATCTTAATTACTATTTGACACTCTTATCATAATTTCTGTTATTACTATAAGTTAAACAATTTCAGGAAATCAAAAAGTATAAATAGTGGAGATCATTTTTGTGTTCATCTTTTCCTTTTTGATTTACAGAAAATTTACTGAAGAAATAGCTAAGATTAATCAATCAACTTAGTTTAATAAACTATTTCGAGAATATTTTAATTTATTCTAATTGCTTATATTGATAATTTATTTTATTCATATTTTAGCATGTATTTGGAATTATGCAGGTCATGAATCCTAAGAATATTTTGAAAACAGTTGGATTGTGTAAGCAAACATTTTGAACGAAGCAATAGAAATTCAATATTTATATTCATATTATTGGGCTGCTGCCACAACTATAACTGTTGGATATGGAGATATATCTCCTAAGAATCCAATCGAAATACTAACTTGCATATTTTCAATGCTGTTATCTAGCTTTATCTTTGCATACTCTATTAATTCAATAGGAAATATATTATATAATATAAATCTTCAATAATCACAGTTTATGTAATTATATTATTGTAAGTTTTAGTCAAAGCATACGTGCTATTTCAGCTTATATGAACTAATATCACATTCCAAATTAATTATAGAATAGAATTAGAAGTTATTTGTAATACTCTAATTAAGAATAATCAGATATTGATTAAGAATATAAAGAAGTGATTGAAAACAAATTATCACAATAATTAAAAGAAGAATTGAAATTCACAGTCTTTAAATACATTTTATAAAAAAGTAAGATTTTACTGAACAATTTCTCAGAAGAATCTTTGAAATAAGCATCGCAAAAATTGATTTCACGTAGGTATTGTCCTGAGGAATTAATTTTTATTTAAAATATCCAGGATGACAATTCCTTATACATGATTGATTCAGGTAAGGTTTAATTGATTGACACAAAGTCAGATACTGTTATTTGTACATTAACTAATGGATAGTTTTTCGGTGAAAATTCTTTCTATACTCTAAATCCAAGGAAATGCAGTGCAAAAAGCATTGGATTCACTAAAATATTCAGTATCAATAGAGATGACTTTTTGTAAGTATTATCTAAAACAGATCTTTAGAAATTTCATAACATTAAAGACAGAATACTATAAAATTTATCAATAGATGGAATGCTGTGTTATCTCTGCAATAAAGATGATCACATTTTATTTGATTGTAAATACCTGAATTATAAACCTGATATCTAAAAACTCATTTTACTTTATAATAAATCTATGCAAAATAGAACTATCAATGTTAAAAGAGACCGTTAAAAATTCAATTCGCTTAAAATAAAAACAGTATTATATTCTAAATATAGAAGATTATTTAAGATAATCAAAAGGCATACATTAGCGATTTATAGTAGGATGAATAACTATCCGAATAAGATGAAACTAACAAAAACTCAATATCCTAACTATAGCCAAGTCTTGATACACCATCCCAAGAATTGACAAATTAATCGCCTATCAACTTAGATGGATTCCCCACCAAAAATTCTATTTATAAAATAGTTCATCCCAAAGGAAATGAGTCTAAATAAGTTGCTATACCGAATAGTAATAGCGTCATGAATTTAGAACCCTCAATAAAAGAAATCCAACTTAAATCAAACCTTAAAATTGAAAGAGAGAAATCATAGAAATTTACAAAAACATGGAAATCTTAATTCATTACATCATTAAATAATGCAAATTTTGAAGATCTAATTGAGTTTGAAAAACATTAAGAATTTCAGCATTATTTTCCTCACAACAATATTACAGAAATTATCATTCAATATAATAAAATTGGAAAATCCTTGAGAAGACTTTCTCGGAAATCATAACGATCTGTTTTTAAGAATCCTATGAAAAAAAAAAGTTAATGAAAATATTCAATTAATTAACATTTTTTATTTAATTTTAGGAATAATCTAAGAATTTAAATCTTGATTTATATAATACAAAAATCAATTATTTCATTGATTATTACTATATGGAACACATCCAGTCCATGGTCTAGCAACATACGAATTGAAACGTCCATCGAATTACAAAGTATTTGTTACTGTGTTTTGGACTTATGTTGCATATAACAAGTTGTACTCAACTGGATCTCTTGCTAAAACCCACATGAAGAATTTTGATGGTTCACTAACGATTGCCCATTGATATTATTCATTTTTAACTGGGCCTAATTAGACAATCCAATAATCAGCATATTCAAAAGGTGCTCCTTCCAAATGAACTTTCAGTTAACCTGGTTATTCTGGATTTGGAATATAAGCATAGCCTGTAATTTCTTTGACTTCACCTGAGGGTGATCCATATCTTTCCATATTTAAGACACTCAAATTTCCATCTGATTAAAGACCATATGTTGCTCTAGTGCAAAATGCATCCTTTTCAAATGTAAAATGAACCCAAGGACTGCTGGCTACTTCATACCAGTTACCTAAGTATTAAGTGACATTAAGAGTTTAAACGCTCTATAATTAGGCAGATGCTAATCCAAGAAGTATAACTAAAAATAGTTTGTTCATTTATTAATGAAAGATCAAGAATTATATTCTGCATTTATTTCATAAAATAAGAATAAAGTATTTCTTAAATAATAATGCGTCACTCATTGATAAGTAAATATTAATTATTATCTTATCATCAATAAGAGACTGAAATTGATATATCTATATATATATTTTTAAGTTTTTGAAGAACGAGTTGTATACTATTCTGTACTTTAATTCGAACAAGACAGATGATCTAAAGAAGCCTAATACAATTTTATACTAATCATTGCCAATCAACAAAAATTTCTGCGAATAATAGTATTTTTAGTTGAACAATTAAGTATTAGCACTCTTATCTTATGAAATTCTTTGTAATTTTTTAAAATTTCAGATCATACAACTCCTCACTTCTGTGTACTTTGATTAAATTCCAGATATAAGAAAATGAACCTTATCTCAGTATCTTAGGAAATAAAATATTGCCATTTACATAAATAATATTTAAGACATTTGACTTACAAGTTACCACCAGTATGCTAATGCCCATTGAAAATTTAGAGTTAAATTGTCTTAAATAATACAAAATAATATTATCACGAAAAGTAAAATAGTCATACGCTTCTATTTATTAATTCTGTTAATCTTATAGTTTCTTTGTTATCATTCTTTTTATGACCTAATATATTGTTTCTAATTTATTAAACATAAATATATATCTATTTCCTTTAATTTATCTCCAAATCCTTTTTAAGAGCTGTCTTTCTTGAATCTAAAGATTTATAGTTGTGTATACTACATTTTTCATTGAACTAAATTCAATGCCAGTATTATATTCATGGAATTTACTAATTTTTTAGGGTAACAATCTACCGAATTAGAATTTGAGTTAGCTTTATTGGAACTCGTTTTCTCACTCTTTCACAGTTCTTTAAGAGCATATACTAATTCCTTTTATTAGCTAAAAATAAATGCTTTATCCCAAAAATATTTTTAACTTTTCATACAATTATCTATAAATCAAATTCAATAACTAGAATGGAGTCTAGATCAATTATAAGAGAATTCAATATATGAAAGTCTGGTTATAGAAACACAATCAGAGATAGTAAATTTTATGTTTAGAGATATTGATTCTATGTTCTTCTTCTCAATTCAGTAGAATTTACTCCATTAAGAAATGCGTTCTCTCAGATAATCAAGTTCTTCTTTTGATTTAGTAATCTGATTAAAAATTACATCTAGAATCAACATAATTTTTATTGAAATTTGAAATTAATGTTATTAATATGAATTTTTGTAAAAATTAATTCAATTTATAAAATATTGACTTGATACTTAAATATCGTATGGAATATTTTGTTCGACATAGGCCATTTCAATATGATTGTCTACAATGTAAGTATGGAAATCCCAGAATCTTTCAGCTGCAAGTAAATATAATAAATAATGAACTACCTTATTTTTTGTTATTTTTCATTCTATATTTATGAAATGCTTATAAGGCCATCTAGCCAAAATGATTTTAATAAAGCTTAAGTGATACAAGCATATCATTTGTTTCTAATGATTCTGCTATCATCTTTAAACCGTTGTCATCGATATCATTTCTAACCATATCTAGATGTATTAATGTTCTCTAAGATTCAATCAATATATTTACATTTTTGCTTAAAGCCTATGCAATTGCTTTTGCTCCATAATGTCCTGTTCTATTTGATGTTAATATAAGACTCTCTAAAACACAATATTCGCCACACAAATATTTAGCAATAGCCTCACAACCTTTAAATGAAATTCGATTTGCTGTTAAGTCCAAAACTCTTAATTTATTGTTTTCTAATAAATGCTCTGTGATAATGTAGATGGCATCACAAGTAAAATTATGTTTTTACAGAGATATTTTTTCCAATCCTCTATTCGAATGAAACATTTTGCCAAAATGTATCGCTGTCTCTTATCCAATAGAATGATACACTGGATTATCCAAATTTAATATTTATAATGAATTATTCTTCCAATTCAAGATAGATGTAATTGCCTTAGGAACTAAATAAATTTGTTACAATAACGCCATCATGATCTATTCCATTATTGGCTAAATTTAACTCTAAAATTGTTTTATTATTAAATAACATCTCAACAATAGACATTGCACCTTTGGTTTATAAATTATTAAAGTTCAGATTCAAATGAGTCAATGTTTAGATATCCTTAATACCTTCAGCAATCAAATCGCCTCCTTCCACTCCAATTTTATTACTCTATAAGTTCAGACTTTCCAATGAATTACATCCTTATTTAATTTAATGAAAATTGTGTACCTGATAAAAAATTTGATAATTCTTGAACTCCAACATTAGTTATCTCATTAAAAGATAGGTCAATATGTTTTATATATTCCTTGTAATTTTGAAGACAGGAAAGCAATAAAATTAAATCTTAATCTAGCATTCTATGATTGAAATTGAGTTTGTAGTTTCCTCTAAAAATTATGTTAATATCATTGGATTTAGTTTAATAAGTTCGAACTATTGCTTCATTTACAGGTTTTGAAAATTCAGAGCATTATCTTTTGTAATCAGTTGCAATTTTAGGTCTAATAATTGCCCAATCCATTATTTTAATTAATGCAATAATAATTAACATCTCAAGTTATTTTAGATCGTAATCAAGAATTCAAAGGAGTTGAGTTCTAATTCAACTCTAGAAAGATTGTTGTCGAGAACATCGATCCTCTAGAACCATTATCAAAATATATTGATGCAGATAAGCTCAATGAAATTCTCAGTAATTATAATATTACTAAGAAGATTTCAAAATTGAGGATCCTAAGAAAGGCGAGGAAGGCATCAAATTGAATCAACATATTAAATATTATGATTTTTCAAGACCTCCCACTGGTATTCCGAAAAAAGCATTTAGGGCATATAGTGCAATTGCGAAAAAAAAGAAGTGAATGCATATCATAAATATTATTGAGGCTATTCTAGTAATTTAATTAAGCATTTTGAGCATAGCATTGTCTAATATATTTCTATTACTCTAATGTGCATTAAAAATTAATAAGTTATCTTATTTTTTTATTGATTCAGCTTGGGATAAGCGAAATTAAATGAACTATTTAGAGTAATTATTATTTTTGTTTAGATTAGTGGTTAGTTATATATTAATAATTTATAATAATTGAATGACAAATTCTAGGGTTCATGCCATTGATTCTCTCAAACCTCAATCTTTATTACATTTAGAATCTCCAGATCAAATTTGTGAGAATCAGTTAGTTGTTTGTAAAACAGCCTTAAATATTAAATCCATTCTCAAAAAATAAGAAAAATAGTAGACAGAGAAGAAATAACTATAATTTAAAGATGATCTAAATAAAATTTATGTGGTTGAAAATTGGAAGATTTATAATACCCCATTTGAAGAGGAGGACAGTTGCTGTTGTTAAATATCATGAATTTCAATATTAATAAATTCATACTAATTAACTAAATCATAATTATGCACGCAAGTATTAAGTTATTTCTTAAAACGATGGTCTTTTATTCGGATCTTGATCCCAACATTTGGTCATCAAATCTTTTAAAAACAAAGGACATCCTAACTGAATTAAGTTTAGATCTGGTCTTCCATGATCAACAGTTACTAATTTCATTATAGCAGGAGGATTTGTAGATAATGATTTATAAGGAGTTTCTCGGCAACAAATTTCCCATAACACTATCTAACAGTTTAAAAAAAATAATACTGCATACGAATAAACATCTGCTTTTATAGTATAAGGTACATTCTAAAACACTTCAGGGGCCATCCAATGCTACCATTAAAATTATATAATATACAAATGTTCCTAATATTCCTGTCATTATCTCGCCATTATCAGCCTAAACTCTTGCAAGACCAAAGTCGGCTATCTTTATATTCACTTTAGATTAATCATATGTCTGTTCTAATAGTAAACTAATATATCATAAGAGATACATTTACTTTAAACTTTTTAAGTCTCTATGTATCAATGGGGGATTTAACTTATGTAAATGTAACATTCCTTCTGCAATTTACAATGCTATTTTAACTCTATTCTACCAACTAACATCTAGATGTTTTTTTCTATGTAATAAATCAAATAATGTTCCTCCTGCACAAAATTCTGTTACAATATATAGCTCATCCTCTTTTTAAGATATTCCCATCAATTAGACTAAATTATTATGCTTCTGAATTGTTACGAAAGCGGATATCTCTCGTCTAAATTCCTTTAAATGATTTTCATTCAAAGACTTTATTTTCATTTTCTTTATTGCCACTTCACCTCCTCTCCAATATCCTTTATATACCTCACAACTACTTCCAGTACCAATTAATCTTTCCAATTTTAATTGATCATGATTAATCATCCATTCTTATACGTCTAAAATATGATGAAAATTAAATTACTTCTCCCCTACTTTTAAAAATAATCTACTACTTAAAAATTATTTTATTATTATTATTATAACTATAGTTATTAACTTAGATTTACTTTTTATTAAGAAATTCTATTATTTTATTTATTTTGATTTAGTTAACTCAATTAATCGAAATAGTTATTATTTATTGGTTAAGAATTTGCTGATTAAATTCTTTAATTCTAATGAATACCATTATATTTATCTGAGCCATTCTTTTTTTCTCCCCAATTCAAGAATTCATCATCATTTAACAATTCTTTTGTTAATTTAACATTTTAATTAGCTAATGGTGCTCTTAAGTTATTTTATTATTATTCATTAGGTTTATTTGGGAATTGCTCTGTCTCATCTTCATTATGTTGCTCTTCATCGTCATCTGAAAATTCTAAACCTTAATATAAATATGACCCTTATTATTATTGTTTAGTTTATTTCTTTTTATATTCTGTATTTTTATTTAAATTTTATTAATTTTATAGCAATTGATTTATAAATTAAGTTTCTTATATTTATTACTATTGTAATTATTATTACTATTATTATTATTGCTATTACTGTTATTGTTGTTATTATTATTATTATTATTATTACTACTATTATTATTACTATTATTACTATTATTATTATTGCTATTATAATATATTAACACCATTAGAAGAATTATTTACAATAGGATCTAAATCAAAACTGAACTTATTCACTCTTTCACAATAAGGTTATACTGATAATACTGGTTTAATTGGATATTATGTTGCAAACTTTTCATTTCTTGGATTCAATTCTACAACTTCATCATCATATTCCATCACTTACGTACTCATAATTTCACCATAACTTTATGGTAGCTTAATTCCATCAATTGACATAGAATAGCTTAGATAATCATAAATATTAAATTCTCCTTTGATAGATTGAAAAAATGGTACTTTTTTCAAAGTCTCAATTACACTTCTTGGAGGGTCAGGTATTATTTAATAAAATTAAGGAATCTATTTGCATGATTGAAAAAACAATGTTGTATTTTAAAAATTGTTTTGATAATCATCTTGTAACTAGGTGAAGATTTATTTTATTTCATTATTTTAAGAAGGCGCCCCACTAATATAATTAGTGCTCTATTTTAAAGCATAATATATGTGAGTGCATGTACATAAAATGTTGTATAATTCATCTGCCATAGCAATTGCAAATCCTAATTATAAGTTATAGAGGGAGGACTTTTGGATTGAAAAGCTGTTAATGAATGTATTGAACTGTTTCCACAAATTAATCAAATTATTTAAAATTGCAATACTTAATTTTAATTTATCCTTAGAATTCATATTATTAAAAAATGGGACCATTGCAAAATTACCTTCAAAATATTTTAAGTAATATTAATGGAATTTAACCTTTTCTATTAAAATAAGCGAATAACTGTATAATAAATTAGAAAAAAACTGAGATCGAAATTTATCCTTTGATACTTTAGCCATGTTGGATTCTTAAAAATTTTTGATTTTTTCTAATATAGCAAGAGGTGACGAATTTTAATTAGTTACTAATAGAGCTTCATGAGGTCCTTTTTTCAAGTAATTATGTAATAATAATAAAGCCTTAAAACTTACGATAACAGAATTTAATTGTAATCTGTTGGATAGCTTTTCATAAAATTTTGGAATTTTGGCTTTCTTCTACCATGCTTTGACATGAAGATAGCGGAAATATTTTTAATTTGGAGCGGCATCAACTTCTTCCAAACATGCAGCAACCCAAAAATCAGTTTTTTAGGCTACTTTACTGACTAATTTAACAAATTTAGTTGATAGTGATGATGAAGAGGGTTATTGAAAATCAATTAATTCCAATTAATTGATTTTACCATTTTCATTCCTTTGAGTAACAATTTCTCGATTCATTTTTTCATTTGTTGATAGACTTCTAATATGAATTTGAGATTGAACAGGACTGATAATTTTTATATTTATACTTCTAGTTAATTAGGTATGTGTGAATGTATTCTTCAATTTATTCTGCACTCAATCGGTCCTTTGGATTAGGAATCAATAAAAGTTTGATTAAATCTTATAATTTATTACTATAAAGACCCCATTTCGGACTAATATTTTAAAATTGATACTTTTTTACCCAATTGGGATTTTAATCATAGCGAACTTTAAATAGAATGTAATACATTAATTATCCTAATGCGTAGATGTCAACTTTTTTGGTAATTGGCCATCTTTATGAAAAATCCTTTTATTCAGGGGCTCTGACATGCTCAAAAGTATTGGCTTCAATTTCTTCTTTAATTTTAGGAATGTATTCATATGGCAAATAATCATATTACTCTATTATATTATTTGATACTTAAAAAAAGCAGCGTTGAAAGTTCCATAATTTAGCTTATTTGTCTAATCCAATCAGTACATTTTCAGGTCTGATATCGCGATGAGTGATGCCTAAACTATGACATTGTTTTAATCCTTTGCTCAAATCTAATAAGATCTACACTTATTTTTCTGCTTACTTTTAGGACTTGAGGTTCCTCTAAACCTTTTTGTGAATCCTTCAAAATATTTTGGAGGACTTCAGCTTTTTCAAATACTATTACTTTAATATTTTATTGTAGATCCCCTTCAAGGGCTTTTGCAATGTTGTTGTTTCCATAATCTTTGAAAATATGAACTGCTTGTAATTCAGTATTCAAATACTAAATTATAATTCATAATTTAAGTTATTACTTTCTCCTACCCATTGTCATATACCTTTACTACATAATTGTACTCAGAAGTTGAATATAATCTGTATTTAGTACCCTGGAAGCAAACTTAGGAAAGGTAAACACTCTACTTGTTTCCAAAGAGCACTTTTTGTTATTACATTTAATAAAATAATATATAATTTAAATCTATGTTTATAATAGCAAAATTTGATCAATTGAACAAAATTTTATATAAAGCCTTTGATATAATTTTGTAAATTCTAAAGAATTTGATGAATTCTGAAAATGTGTAATAACGAATCTCTGCTGTTGAAAATTCAATTTAGGGGATATCTATACCAAGGTTATTGTAAAATAGCTTGAATATTAAAATATTTTTGTTTAGTTTTTAAATTCCTATTCTTATAGCTGAAAATACATCAATAAAGATTTTAATTTTTATATTAAAAAATAAAACTGTTTATCAAATGAAGCCGTCTTAATTCCTCTATTCAGAATCAATTAAGGAGCAGAAGGCTCAGAAGGCAAATGTAACAAAAGTAAATTATTAATTTGATAAATATAGTCGATTGGAGAGTTGAAACCTTTGCCTAAGACAGCCAATGCTCCAAAGGATTAAAATTCATCGATGATATACTCTTTGGTGAGTTTACCAGTGTAAGAGACTTCATTTATTTCATAGAAAAGAAGGACAGAATGACACTGTAGTTTTCCCACAATCGTTAATTTCTTAATCCATGAATATAAAGCCACAAGTGGTTGTTGGCAAAAACACAGAGATCGCTAGAAGCCTGAAAAAACTGAAGCCCTTAGATAGTTTAGAAGCTACTCCTGAATCAGTACCACCAGGGACTGGGAAAGGAGTTGGTGGAGAATAATAACAATAATTGCAAGGACCCAAACTTTAAGTTTATTTGAAGTCATTAAATTAATTGACAAATGGTCAGTTCAAGAAGACACAAACACAATTGTTATTTGGATCCATTGAACCAAAGCTTAACAATAATACTGTGTTATGTGTATTGCGTATCCAAAAACTTAAATTTTTCAATGAATATAACTAGAAGAATGAGAAGGTATAAATGACTAAATCTATATAAGATTCCTTCATTGTTTTGTTGGGAGGCTATCTATCGCAAGAAGAGCTTAATGAAGACGACTCCAAAAGAATTTGATGCAGCTTAACAAGATCTGTTAGATTTTGTATACACTAGAAATGCCTATGAGCCAGTAGATATAATATTATGGAAAATAAAGAATAATGATGAAGTAATTTATTTCTTAAACATAAGAAATACGTTGGACAATTTGATATATCAAACAACGACTATTAAAATGCAAGAGAAGTCCTTGATTTTAAATCAAAAATCATTTGTGAAACTCAAATTGAGAAGGAAATGTTCAAAACCATGAAATAGACAAAATCCTATATTGGTAATGTCTAGTTCTAATTAATTTAACTTGGTCATGAGAAGATCCCATTAAGTATTGAAATTATACTATTATCAAGATAAACACTCTGGAATTCCAGGATCTCCAAGAACTGAAGAAGAAAAGGCTAGACACAGAATCATAGATGCTGCAATGTCAGGCTAAGAATACAGATGGTATGTAGATGAGAATGGCAAACTTTTAATAGAGAAGATCGACAAAGTCTCATAAGAGATTGTTGCTGAATGTAGTATTGAAGTAGTTGCTGATGAATGTGGACAATTACATCTAGTTTACGAAGAAAAATATACAGATCCAGATAAATATGGTAGATCCAGACCAACATCAAGAAATATGAGAAAGCAACATGCTGATGCTACAATGGCATTGATTAAAGAGTTGGATAAAAACGGTGCATTTACTGAAGTTTAGACAAACATAAGAAATCTTAGTAGATAAGGGAGAGTAACAAGAAAGGTTATTGAAGAGGCCTTGTATACAATGGGTTGTACTGCTAATTAATTGCTATTGACTGAATGCTCAGAATTTGGTGATTGTTTAATGGACTTTTTACTTGTTACAGATGATCTAGCAGGAGTATTGGAAGCCATGTAGGAATTGAAGATTGTTGGAGAGGAAGACTAGAATTTAGAAAGTTTCTCCAATAATTTATTCTAAAACATTGGATAACATTTGAGGAAGAATACAAATCTTAAATCTGTTGTTTAGTTTATCTTAGCATTAGAAAAGAAGCCTGAAGTTGCACTATTGATTTAAAATTATTCTTATGCTCCGGAAAATGTATTATCTAATACACCGCCCTTTTTACAGAGTAATCTATTAATTAATGTTGTTTTTAGATTTTGATCCAAAAAATTACGAACATGTTATGGTGTTGAGTAAATTAAATAAAATGATTCAGAATTTTAAAATAAATACTAAATTCACAAGAGCCTTGAAGAAAGCACATGTTGAAGCTAAGAAGTCTATTTATTTTGAGATTCCATGCTTCCCAAAAAATAAGGATTTGGATGATAAATCAGACTCCTTGTAATTGAAGTAAATGGGATAGAATATTATGCATGAAGTAGTAAGAAGATAAAAGTGGAATAAGAGTCATATCATTTTTGAGAATTATTCTGAATGGTTCTTTGTAGCTGATGAATAAGGTTCTACCCCATTTTCTAGAATGTTGGAAGTAGCACCATTTGATGTTATCAAATCTCTTTTTGCAGCTTATCCTGATTAGTTAAAAAGTATTTTCAGCAAGTTTGATCCAAATTAAGAATTATTTGAAGGAAGAGTGCCTAAAGTTGAGAAAAAGAAGGATGAATAAAATAAAGATAATTAAGGAGGTGATGGAAATGATGGAGGCGATGGAGGTGATAATGGTGATGGTGGTGATGATGGTGGCGATGGTGAAGCCAAATAATAATAAGAAAAAGAAAAAGAAGAACCTTCGGAAGATGATCTATATAAAAAAGGAAAAGAAAATTAAGCAGCCAGAAAGGCATTTGAACACTTCACAATGTAAAAGGAATATAAAAAAAATCTAATTCATTGTCTACTCTTAAATCCAGATTTGAATCAAAGTGATTTATTGGATCTCTTAAGAAATATTGAATTATTGGTGAATGAATCAAATGAATCTAATTTTGAGACATTAAAAACCCAGAAATTAAGAGCTGGAGATTTTACTCCTCTAGGATTGTACTTAGAATTACTGAGATCAAAATGCAAAAAGAAGTTGGATAGAGTTTAAAGGGAAATTGGTACATCTCTTTTCATTTGCCAAATGTTGACTCCAAATATTGATGAAGAGGAGAATAATTAACAATAAGAAGGATAAGAATAACAATAGGAATAGAAACCAAAATCATCATTTGTTTGGGATAGATAAAATCAATATGTGATTTCTTAAATAATTGGGAAATTACCTGAAACTTTATTCTAATAATTTGATGATCTATTCAGGTTCATAAAATGGATTCCTCCATTTGAAGAATTAAAAACAATCAGATATATCAACTTACCTTATCGCTAATTAATCAAACATAAGTAATAACAAAAGTTGTTTGCCATCTTATAATAAATGTACGATGAAATCAAACAAAATTAAAATTACGATCCAGCAGATGCAGATTCAGAATAAAACCAAAAGATTCTTTACACAATCCAAATCTGGACATTGATGCTATTAGAGATCAGAAATCTCAGATCATAAAGACTTGAATAAGTAGCCTCCCAATTATTATCTTAATTAAGAGAGTTCACTTAATAATACATTGAATTGTTGGTCTTACCTATGCCAAAAAATATTACATCTTCATATTACCCCTTATAACATCAATATGAATCCGATCCAAATACTATTCTCGAGTTCTTCAATGCCATTAAATTCAATATATTATTGACAGATCTCCCTGTGTAAAGTTTGGATAAACTGGATGTTAAATAGTTGGCTAAAGCTTTGTCTAAATGCAAGGATAAAGAACCATTAAGAGATTTAATAAGATTGGTATTAACAAAGGATTAAGGAAACTAAAATGCTGGAGCAGAAGAATAAGAATAAGTGTATGATCGCAAATAGTTTGAATTGGCAGTAGATTCTAATGTGATTTTTAATGATGAAGATGGATCTTATAGACAATTGCTTGATAAAAAGTAGGTTGAACAATTATTATTAACTTATAAAGCAGAAAAGTTATTGCCTTTGTCAAATGGCTAAACAGATAGCTTTAGTAATCATGTTCATGGAATTATTTTGAATTCATTCCAAACTAGAAAGTCTGTTGGTGTTACTTAGTAATAAGTAGCTTTATGGATACGAAATAATGAATCAAAAATAGATTAAAAATGGAAATACAGATACATTGATTTCTTCAGATCAAATATGTCTATGTAATAAATTCACACTTTGATTGATATTGAAATTCCAAAACCCAAGAAAACATACCATAATTAAAATAAGATTTATCCTTATGTATAAGCTTAAGGTAAGAATTGGGCATCGATATTGGATGTGAGAAGATTCATCTCTGCAATCAAGGATAACATTCAATACATCAACATTGAAAACACTCTAAGATCGGTTGCTCTTAATGGACAATATGAGAAACTAGAATAAGTGTTACCATATGTTAAGGATGCATAAATCATCAGATAAACTATCCATCTAGTTGCAAACATTGCCAATTTGTAAATATTCACCCCCAAATCCTACCTTTCATTCAGATATTATAAAAAGCCACAACCAAAAGATGATGAAGAAGAATAGAATGTTGAAAGTGATAACAACAAACCAGATGATGGAGATGGAGGAGGTCCATAATTAATTTCTTCTTAAAATTAGCCTGAATCTTAGAAATAATAATAATAGAAGAGTCAAGAAAAGAAAAAGAAAGAAGCTGAACCTGATAGTGCTAGTAAATACTTAGACATTGCCAGTGAATTTTAAGTGAGATTATATGATCCAACTGTTTATTTCTTTAAGACTGCTATCAAGGAAAAGAAAGAGAAGTATAAAGTTGATATTCCCAAATTCCCTGAAGCTTTGGATTAGATTAGAACTCCATTGTCTGTCTAATCCTAATTAAATGAAATGACTCAATCAATTCAATTAGAATTTGACGACTTTTTTAGAACTCATTTTACAAAAAACGAAAGATTGAATTTGAAGAAGTTTGAATCTAACTTTGAAAAAGATGTGTTAATGTTTAGATATCTAAAGGATTGGAAATCATCATTATAAAGATAAAACTTTAGGTCAGTATTCACCTAATATGATTAAGGAACTGGGTAACAATCATATAAGAAAGTGTTAAACTAATTACTTAAATAATACCAAAGATATGGAATGCCAATTTGTGATAGTTTCAATGAGTTTGAAAAGACTTTGGATGTCTTGATGATCTATGGAATTCAAAACATGGATTAACTCTTATTCTAAGTAGCTTCTAGTAAGATGACACCTATCGAAAAGAACAAGATATTACTTAATTTAGTTTATAGAGTGGTCGATCCTGGAACCTCAGTATTAGCATAACATTATCAAATTAAAAATGCAAATACCTATTTGTAACAAATTAATAGAATTATCAAATCTGTGAATATTAAATTATTATCAGGAGAACAGGATGTAGAAGAATTTTAAGCAAATGCCTTGTCTAAAATTCAAAGAACTATGAGATATCTAAAGCCAGACATGGCAAACGATAAGAAAGTCATTATTTTTAAATTGGCAAGTGAAGTCTTGTAAAGATTTGATTAATTGGATATTAAATCTTTGTTTGAAAAGGAATTAATTGAAATTTCAGAACTCATCAAAACTAGATAACTTAGAGACAAAAATTTATAGGTTCTAGCATCAAAATATGTTAAATCAAAGGACGAAACCAAAAGGTTGAATCAAAGACCTTATTATAAAGATATTATTGCTTCATTTAAAAAACGAAGATTGGATGAAGTATTATCCACAATTGATCTAACATAGTATATTAAAAACTATTCAGATGCTTAGTGTGAAGAGATTGTTACAGAGTTATTTAAATTACCATACGAGAAAAGTTACTTAAAAGAATTATTGGAAAAATTTAATAGGAGATTATTTGAAAGTCTCATGTTTCATAGGAGATTCAGAACATATACTAAATTGATAAATGATATTCTATTTAAATAAATTTTGAAAGGAAAGGAGTTGGCCTTTGTTCCCTTTATAACATAAGGTTAAAACCAAACTGCTAAATAAGTCAAGAAGTAGGAAGGGAATAATGAGAAAGCTGATGCTTAATTGGAGATAGTTTAGGCACAACCTGTTAACGAAGGTGGGGATGAAGCGGAACTTCTACGTGATGGAAAAGATGAAGATAGTACGAAATAGGATTCCTTGAGTTAAATTGCTGCTTATTTCTGTTTTTATGAATACTTTGATACTTTACATAGGTTCAGGGTTAAAGTACAAGATGTTGAACCCTACACTTCATTCAGATTTATGTTACATACTAATGAGCAACTTTTATAATTGGCAACTCAATTTGAATAACAAGGATATAATTATATTAGTAATTGCATCAGAATGTATAGATATTTGAGGTTGAACCATTATCATTCAGATAAACCTTATATTAAATTAGAAAATGAACTTATGGTTAGTTTCATCTCATAAAACTCTCAATATATCAAATCTCCTTGTTTGAATATCGTCAGAGAATATTTGTAATTGTCTGAGCGTCAGGCACCATTCTGGTAAAACACCATAACCGATAGGAAATAGCCATAAAAGGCATTAACTAGATTAAAGATTAATGGTATTGAGAGAGGAGTGAAATTCTGTTTCCCTTCAAATTACATATAAGATGGTGATAATGAGATTACAAACGATGATATTCGTAGAACTCCAGTTAAGAGACCTGCTTTTACAATTGATTAATATGTTGAGTATTTACCTCCTAAGAATCCTTAAAGATTGGACAATCAAATTATAAATGATCCTGAATTTACTTCATTACTTAACAAATTGTTGATACCAAGCAAATAATTAGAATTTTTAATTGACAAAGTTGAATTTTAGGATAATCTACGTAATTTAGTTTATAATGATCACGAAATGTATTTTTATGTTTTGAATTTCCCTATGTTTTGGTATGAAGAGAAGTTAAATAAGGATAATTAAATATTCATAGGATTCTAAATGGAATTTGAACTAGGTATCATCTTCATAAAATCAGTACTATTATTTGAACCAAAACTAATCAATCAAGCATTAGATATTTATTTCAGAACAATAAATAAGTATTTAGAATCAGGAAAAGAAGGTGAAGGGGAACAAGAGGAAGATTAAAAAGTTGAAGATGACAAGACTGTATATGATGAAGTTACAGTAATGGAGACAGACAATGAGCCTGATTAGGAAGAAGAAAATAAAGATTCTAATTAAGCTCCTTAAGTATAAGAAGAATAATAAGAATAATAACAAGAATAAGCTTAATAAATAGAATAACAAAAATAATCAGCACCTCAATTAGTAAGTTTACAATAAGCTGACTAAAAATTGGTTTCGGATGAGTAGCAAGAAGAATAATAATAAAACCCTGATGGTCCTCCTAGAATTTAGCCGCCTAATTAATAGAAAGAACCCTAATAGTTGGTTTCTGAAAGAAAGAAAGCTTCTGAAACTGACACAAAGGAAAATGTTCCAAAGACACCTGAACAGAAACCTGTTAAGAAATATAAACCTGTCAAAAAGCTAGTGGCAAGGCCTAAAGGACCCAAAGATTAAAATTTTGTTGAGCCAAATAAGAGTTTAAGAAAACTAATTAGATAGGGTTGCAGTAGTTAATAACAATTCTAGATTTTCTTATAATTGATATTATTTGCAACAACTAGTGATGACATATTTAGATTGATACAGAACTATTTGATTAAATTTTAAGTTATAAGTTCCCCATAAATTCCAAAGGAAATTGATCCTGTAATAAAGGCTAGATTATTAAAAGATGGATTTAAGGAACCATTCAATTTGTAATTTGTAGAATAAGCAGAATTGAGATTCAAGGAGTTGAAATAACAACAAATTGAAGATATTAAACATGTGAAGGATGTATTAACATAGAATGAATCTAAAAGACATTCTGAGTCAAGTGAAGTTTATTAAGCTTTAATTGGATCTCTACTTTAAGTTCGATTTGAAGATTATCAAATATACATTGACAAATTGATGGATAATGCTGCTTATAAATGTTTATCGAAATATAAGAAATCAGTAGCAGCATATTCATTAGAAAAAGATCAAAAGTTGTAAGTGGAATTAATCAAATACTTCTCCAAACTAACAACCAAAACAATAAGTGGAGATTTCTTACAAAAATTCTTTGAAAATAATAGAGCAAATTAAAATCAATAGCCATTCACAAATGACAAATGGATCAATATTATCTGCATTTTTAACTATTGTAAACAGATATTAAAGCAAACTAGAAAATTTTAAGAGTCCGTCTACATAGAAAGATAAAAATTAGAATAAAAGGTTACAACTTTGGCATATTACAAAGAAGATAAATTTGTGAATCCTGACTTCTTAGTAAAACCTAAATTCCACTATAAATTAAAGGTAACTAATAAATTAGAACCTATCATCTATGAATACAAGAGAGAAATTGTTGAAGTTAAAATTAAATAAAAGAAATAAGAAGATAATCAATAAGATAATTAATAAGAAAATTAAGAAAATAATTAAGAAAAAAATTAATACGATAATTAAGAAGACAATTAATAAGATAATTAAGAAATTTAATAAAACGCTGAATTGAGCAGATAGCCAGCTATTAATGGCCGAAATGAGGAAGATCAAAATCAAAATTCTCAAAAACCTGAGGGTGAAAATAAAGGGAATTAAAATGATGATTAACAAGCTACTGAAAAAAAAAATCAAGAAACCTTCTATTTTGAAGTCACTTTAAACATCTAGAAAGGCACAGCTCCTAATAATCCTTACCCTGTACCTCAATTATACTAGAAGAATGTTGAAGAAGTTGTCAAATGCATAGATACTCTTTATTATGAAAATTACTTGGAACACATCAATAATTTATGTTCCTATCCACAATTCAAGGTGGCTTAATTGAGTGGATCAGACAATATTGATTACATCTAATTGAAGACCAAATTAACAAAGGAGAACTTTAGAGAATATTAAGAATTGCATTATGCTTAAAACTTTTATTTAGATCAAACAATAATGAATTTGGAAACTTACAATCGTCTGTATTGGGACCCAGAAAAAGGAAATAATCTTTCAATATTGAAAGCATTAAGAGATGGCATAGTTTAGACTGAAAGCAATGATTTCGAAAATCCTGTCCCAATCTGTGATTAAATATGGCAATTGTATAGTTCTAGAATTAGACCAGATATCAAATTGAAGTATTAAGATAAATTATATCGTAATCTTATTTAATAATATATTTAGCTGTTCCATACAGTAACTATTAACCAAGATAAAGAAATACTTAGTATAAATAAAGCATTCAAGTTGATCAATCATTCCCAGAACTATATCCAATTGTTAATTTATAAGTCTATTAATACATTCCTGATATTATGACTGAGGAGCAATTTAATTAAAAATATGATCAATTGTCAATAATCTAATAAGCTTGTGTAAGAAATACAATTAATTTTAGTATGATTTGAATTCTTATGCATAATCATTGGATGACTTCGTCACTCAATCACCAAGTGAAGAGGAATTGCAAAACTTGAGGGATGTGGCTCCATAAGTAGTTTCATGGCCATTAATCAGAACCAAAGCAAAGAGAGATAAAGGATAAACAGAAGAATATAAAATTACTCACTCCCCAGAAGCACATCCACTCTATATGATTGAATATTTATTCAGTAAAGTCCAAATCCAGTTGAGCCATCAACTCAAATTCACATTTAATGTGTTGTCATTCACTGAGATTATTCTATTTAAATTAACCAGAATACTTCAATAACATACAGGAAAAAGTAATTAGCAATTTGATTTATTTTAGGATGCAGATTGTCAACTACTACAAGCATGTTGAGTGAATGGGCATTATTGAAGAAGATCTTATTGAAGATTGGAGATTTAATAGTGGAGAATGAATTGGATAAGTTTAGATTCTATTATGTTGAAATTAATGAAGTTCATTAAAATTCTGTAAAATTCATTAGTAATTATTTATAGGTGTTCCCAATCAAATCAAATAAATTAGAAGGATTGGATGCTATCTTCAGATTTGGTTAAACCTAATTCTATGTTCATTCAAATGTTTTGATCATTAGATTGAATGTAGCTGTCGTTTCAGAGAATGCTTCCACTTTGATCGCTTAAAGGAATATTAAATTGAAGTCTAATGAATTATGTCCATTACTATTTAAGGAAGACAAAGAACTTAGAGTAATTATTTATTCAATTTTATAGGGTTATATGAATTATATAATAACTTTGGAGGATATGCTTAAGTAAATATTTACCAAAAAGTGATAAAATATATAAAAATCAATAAATAATTTATTATTATTATTATACAAATGTTTAGAATTGGAAGAATATTCCCCTTATCAGTCCCACCTGCTCATCCAAATCCACTCACAAGAGTATTTTTCGATGTTGATGTTGGAGGCAATCCATTAGGAAGAATAGTATTTTAGGTGTGTATTAATCATTAATATAAAAGCTCTTTGATAATATTGCTCCAAAGACAGCAACCAATTTCTTGAGAATTGCTCAGGGAGTTTAAGTAGATGGCAAGAAGCTTCACTATGAGGGATCATAAATCCATAAGATTCTCCCATTCAGAGGAATTTGGGGTGGCGCATTAGGTGGATCTATCTATGGAAGAACATTCCCAGATGAGAATTACACTATCAAACATGACAGAGCAGGATTAATTACAACCTCAAATCCTAAAATCAATAGCAATGATGCTGGTTTCATAATTACTTTGGGTCCTGCTGAATGGCTTGACAAAAAGTCAGTTGCATTTGGAGAAGTCATCTATGGTCTATAGCATGTGAGAGCAATAGAGAAATTAGGTAATATAAAAGTGAGTACATTTTTAGGTGGATTATCTGGGGCTCCAAAAAAATCTGTTGTAATTAAACACAGTGGTGTCATTACTGAGCATGAATATCATAAATACGATGTAATAGCGGAACCAAATATTTGGAATTTGTAAAGTCATCATTGATAGATATTCAATAACATAATATTATCAAAAAGCAGCTTTCCTTTGGTTTGCTAGGTTATTTCTTTTCTTTGTTTTAATCCAAATTATGACCATCTTGATTAAAATGACTATCCTCTCTTACCATTGTGAGACTATATTCTTTCTTTATAGATTTTACCCTAAATGATTATTTTTGATTAATCTGCTTTTTGTGATTTATTTCAATTGGAGATGACTTGTTTATTCAGGATTGAACTTCCACAATCCACAGATTATAATAGTAATAATATTCACTTATTATCAATTTTATTTATAAGATTTTCATTTGCTTTAATCAAATCCTCCTATAATTATGATGTTTATTTCAGATTCTCTTTCAATGAATTGAAACCACTGTTGATCTCTTCTAATTGACTGCCCAAAGCCCTTGCTGCAACATATTTACGAGTAGTTAATTTTAATTACATTGCATACTTCTTCATTTTCTTATTCATCTCAGTAAACTACTCTTCTGAAAAGTCGAGATGTCTCAAATATTGAAATTAATACCTCTTTGCATAATAGATCCTACCAAATACAGTGATTATCATGGCAGCTTCTTATTGCATCTGCTTCTTCAAACTCAATCTGTCTATCAAAATTACCACCTTATTTTCTAATGTAGATAAATAAGACTCATTTGTAATGATGACAATCATAGATGATACCACAAAGTTACCCAATATGCAAACAACACTCATTACTATGCGTCCCAATAATGTTCTGGTATAATAGTCCCCATATCCTAACTATGTAATTGTTAGAATAAGCAATTTACAGTTGTACTAGTTACAATTACACACCACATTGAATTTGCATAACTACTAAAATCATTCGAACTTATGTCTATTCGATTAAGAGGACTCTCACATATTCTCAAACAATATCCAAAAACTACAATTAGTAAGATCATTGCACTATAGTTTACAGTGAATGGTTGATTCCTCAAGAGTTTTAATGTATAAATCTTACCTCATTAGAGATTTTATAGTGAACATATAATCTGCTTAACTTGCATATAGACTGCAAACTCTATCCGTCCTATTCGAATGCCAATAAGAATTCAATAAGGTTGTACGAATAAAAAATATTACTCGAAAGGCAAGAGTAAGACAAAGCAATTCGTTTGAATAGTAATAGACCTACCTAACTTAATATCATTACTTCACCTTCAACAAAATCGTTTTCAAATTAGAAACTATAATCATCCAAAAATGGTAAAGGAGATGCTGCTATAATTAATATCTCCAAAGATATTCCCAATGACTCTTTGCTAAATCCACCATACATATCTCCTTTACTTTCTCTCCATTTCAATTTAGCTGCATTTCTTACTACTACTAATCCCATCAAAATTAAATTTGATATGAATATCACCCATAACAACACCTTACGTGCCTCTGGTTCTTGATCATAATGGATCAATTCCAAAGTTATTACGGTTAAACCAGTCCCAATTAGGTTGAATACAAAGAAACTTAAATCCATCATTCTAAATCTAATCACTATCATCCAAACATCAATACCTTTGAAAACAGAGATTAGTTACTCTCCCATCCTCCAAAGCATCCCCAGAAGAATCAAGATCCAAAAAAGGCACTTTATTATTAATAGGTTCTTGTCCTTAATTTGCTTAAGTATTCAGATATTCATGATCTGGTTATGTTTACATTATAATTATATAAATAAACTAAAAACCTCATTAATATTACATTCTCTAGATCATCTTTTTACAGTCTAATTCAAATGAATATTCTTCTTTACATTAAATGGTTATTACTATTTATATACTAATGCATCTGGCTATCATAAATTTATTAAAATTTTTCTTTCAAATGTTTTAATACTGTGATATTATAATCATAGATTGACAATCGTTGTCTAAATTTGACCTCTATTACAATAAGAATTTATAAAGTCTCATTATTCTCATTTTAATGTGTATCATAGTTTCATTAAAAAATATGTTGAATTAATGAGATTTCCCTTTTTTTGAAATATTGACATTAGAATAACTACCAATACAATCAAAATAGGTGTATCATTGATATATTAAGAAAATCAATTATTATATAATCATATCATATAAATTCTGATAAATAAAGTTTACAAAAAATTAAAAAAATGATCAAACTCTTATTATTGGGAATAGTTATTTGCAATGCATTCAAAATAGCTGAAAATTTCAGTTGGGCAAATGTGGATGGCAAAAACTACTTAACTTACACAAGAAATCAGAATTCACCTCAATTTTGTAATGGAGGATGGGCATTTGCAGTGACAGGTGCATTGAGTGATAGAATCAAAATAAAGAGAAATGCTGCCTTTCCTGAAATAGTCCTATCACCTTAAGTCTTAATCTCATGTGATACCTAATCAGATGGTTGTACTTCTGGATCTGCATTAAATGCATATTAATATATAAAGGACAATTGGATATCTGACGAAACATGCACAAATTATGTTGCCAAGAAGGAAGAATGCAATGAAATGTCCCTATGTAAAAACTGTTTTGAGGGAATGGGTTGTTGGGCACAACACAATTATTACATATACACAATTTCATCATATGGAACTCTACATGGACAAATAGAAATTATGTAAGAAGTTGTAACTAATGGACCGTAAATTATATTATTATGTTAGTGTATCTTGTCAACTTGGATAGAGCACTCATTATGTGGAAGTAGTAGGCTGGAGAACCAGTGACTAAACTACATACTGGATTGTGAAAAACACTTTGGGTCCAAAATATCCAAGTCTATACGAAGTTCCAATAGAGGAAATAACAGAATGCAGTTACGGAGAATTAAAGGATACATGGACAGAAGGAATCAGAAACACAACTAAATTAAATACAAGAATTGAAAAAAGATTTGAATCAAAACGTAAATCTTATTCTTTAGATATGCTATAATTTCTATAATTGGATTAATTAATAATTACTCCATTTTCTAGTCTAAATGCAGATGTACCTACTTAATTTGATTGGAGAAATGTTGATGGTGTGAATTACTTAACAAACAACAGAAACCAACATATTCCCATTTATTGTGGTTCATGCTGGGCACATGCTGTCACTTCAACCATATCCGATAGAATTAACATCAAATTAGGTAACAAATATCCTGTGGTCCTTCTTTCTATCCAATCAATGTTGAATTGTATGTCTGGAGGCAGTTGTGGAGGAGGTCTAACATAACCTACTTTTAAACATATCCATCTGAATGGATTGACTGAAGAACATTGTCATACCTATGAGGCAATCAATGGAAAACGAGTCAGGTGTTCAGATGAGGATCAATGTCATCAATGCAATGAAGATGGATGTGAACCAGTTAAAAAGGCCAAGAAATACTTTGTGTCAGAATTTGGATATGTCAAAACTGCAAGAGATATGAAAATTGAAATCTTCAATAGAGGTCCTATTGTTTGTGGAGTATATGCCACCTAAGAATTAGATGATTATGAGGGTGGATATATCTTTTCACAAAAGACTAACAAAACTATCCTTAATCATTATGTGTCTGTTGTTGGTTGGGGCGTTGAAAATGGAGTCGAATATTGGATTGTCAGAAATTCTTGGGGTACTTATTGGGGAGAGATGGGATTTGCAAAAATTAAGATGCATTCAGATAATCTACTCCTTGAACACTATTGCAGTTGGGGAGTCCCTAAGTTATGATCATTTAAATATTCGTGAAATATATAAATTTTCAATCATTTTTTCGTTAAGGCTCCTTTCTTTTAAAATTGATTGTAAGTATTGGAATTATATATGATGTTTAAATTTTGAATCTTAATTGACTATTACATTTATAATTATTATTGACTAAATTGCGATTATCCTGATACCTTCATCTTATTTGTATCAGAATTCAAATTCAACTTTTACTCCTTGAATCCAGGAACCAACTTCTCTATTGACTACTAGATTTTAGAATAAATGTTTACTGCTTTCTTTATCTGTTTCCCATCCTTCTCATGTTGCTATCCTTAAATAGTGTAATTGTAAGCTGTATTTTACATATTCAACTGATTTCCCAAATAATTAGGTACTTTGAAACTAGTCTATAGGAAAGATCTTTAATAATTCATACTTTAGTTCTAATCACATTTTATTGTGTGTTAGGTGATGCTGCAGTTCTATGAACACCTGCACTTACTTGTCGCTTTTCTTAATCATTTTGCAATTCCAATTCTCTCATGAATTCAACTGCTTCTGGCAAATCTTCGAAATATTAATGTCTAAGTGCTTATTTACAAGTCAATCGTTCACCTGGTTCCATCTTTAATAATCCTTTAACAAAATTGATTGCTTTTTTAGGTAATTTACAAAGATATCTAAAATAAATTATTAAATTACCTTTATTCCAGTGTTTCTGGTTTAGATATTTCTGGAAATTTCATTCCCAAAAAACGAGGATTCTTTGAGAATGTTTCTTATTAACTTTATGTCAATGGTCCTAGCATCTTCTGGATGAGATATAATTAATCCATTTCATTCTCCCCTGGAAACAAAGGATTACCATCTGTCAATTCACATAACAAACATCCTATCGCCCTAATTTTAATTTATACAATGTACCACATATCAACTCCTTTATCATAATTTGAGTAGGAAAGTAAAAGTTCTGGAGCTCTATACCATCTAGTTGCCACATAGTCAGTGAGATCTTATGTTGATGCAGTTAAAGACTAAATTAAATGAGAATAAACTTCATACTCTTGCAAAACCGAAATCGCATAACTTCAACTGATGAGTGTTGCTTATCAACAGATTTTCTGGTTTTATATCTCTATGAACAATATCATTCTGATGACAACAATATATTGCCTTAAGCAACTGAAAAATTATCCTCTTTATATACAATGGCTATTATGATAATTATACGAAATACTTCCAATCCTGAAGGGGATGCCTCCAGAACTTCAAGTAAATTGCGCTCCACATACTCAAACACTAAATAGATTCTCCCTTTTCTAATTAACTTTCTACATCATACTACCTTTTGAATGCTTCCTTCAATTCCACTATGTTTGCATGCCTTAGCAATCTAAGCACTTTCACTTCTCTTTGAATACTCTTTTTCACAATCTCGTTCTCTTCAGTTTCTTTGAACTTTTTGATCGCCACTACACAACTAAATGTCAAATCTAACCTATCTCATTGGTCTCCTTATTTTTGCATTTGAGAACCACTCCATAAGCACCTTCTCCAACAACTCCCAATACCTCGTATTTATTCATTAATTAAATGAATAATTCAAAGTGTAAACATGAAATCAAAAATTACCATTCTGAATTTGCAAATCCTGATCTTATATTATGTAATTTTGTTATGATCAGCATCTGCTTTCATCAATAGATAATCATATTAGAACTACCTTTATATTACCAACTTACTTTTCAACTTAAAACAATCAAAACATTGAAAATCAAACAAGATAAATGAAGTTATTAAATCTCTGTAGGACTGAATCATCAAAATAATAAATAGCTAAGACTTAAGAAGAGAAATCTTATNAACACCTGCACTTACTTGTCGCTTTTCTTAATCATTTTGCAATTCCAATTCTCTCATGAATTCAACTGCTTCTGGCAAATCTTCGAAATATTAATGTCTAAGTGCTTATTTACAAGTCAATCGTTCACCTGGTTCCATCTTTAATAATCCTTTAACAAAATTGATTGCTTTTTTAGGTAATTTACAAAGATATCTAAAATAAATTATTAAATTACCTTTATTCCAGTGTTTCTGGTTTAGATATTTCTGGAAATTTCATTCCCAAAAAACGAGGATTCTTTGAGAATGTTTCTTATTAACTTTATGTCAATGGTCCTAGCATCTTCTGGATGAGATATAATTAATCCATTTCATTCTCCCCTGGAAACAAAGGATTACCATCTGTCAATTCACATAACAAACATCCTATCGCCCTAATTTTAATTTATACAATGTACCACATATCAACTCCTTTATCATAATTTGAGTAGGAAAGTAAAAGTTCTGGAGCTCTATACCATCTAGTTGCCACATAGTCAGTGAGATCTTATGTTGATGCAGTTAAAGACTAAATTAAATGAGAATAAACTTCATACTCTTGCAAAACCGAAATCGCATAACTTCAACTGATGAGTGTTGCTTATCAACAGATTTTCTGGTTTTATATCTCTATGAACAATATCATTCTGATGACAACAATATATTGCCTTAAGCAACTGAAAAATTATCCTCTTTATATACAATGGCTATTATGATAATTATACGAAATACTTCCAATCCTGAAGGGGATGCCTCCAGAACTTCAAGTAAATTGCGCTCCACATACTCAAACACTAAATAGATTCTCCCTTTTCTAATTAACTTTCTACATCATACTACCTTTTGAATGCTTCCTTCAATTCCACTATGTTTGCATGCCTTAGCAATCTAAGCACTTTCACTTCTCTTTGAATACTCTTTTTCACAATCTCGTTCTCTTCAGTTTCTTTGAACTTTTTGATCGCCACTACACAACTAAATGTCAAATCTAACCTATCTCATTGGTCTCCTTATTTTTGCATTTGAGAACCACTCCATAAGCACCTTCTCCAACAACTCCCAATACCTCGTATTTATTCATTAATTAAATGAATAATTCAAAGTGTAAACATGAAATCAAAAATTACCATTCTGAATTTGCAAATCCTGATCTTATATTATGTAATTTTGTTATGATCAGCATCTGCTTTCATCAATAGATAATCATATTAGAACTACCTTTATATTACCAACTTACTTTTCAACTTAAAACAATCAAAACATTGAAAATCAAACAAGATAAATGAAGTTATTAAATCTCTGTAGGACTGAATCATCAAAATAATAAATAGCTAAGACTTAAGAAGAGAAATCTTATAAACTTACAAAGGAAGAAATTGTTGATTTTTTTACTAGAATAACCATTTAATACACATTTCAATATCTTTTTTGTAGAATAACCATCTTAATATACAAATGAATTTCAGGATCAAGTTACAATTCTTGATAAAATGTTAGATGAGGTGGAATACTAGCTGCAAGATGATAATTGTTCTATTATTTAATAATCCAAATTTGAATAATAGTATAAATCAAACCAATCAAACGAAATAGAATTTACATTTTGACTTTAAGATAAATTTAATGCCAAATATTTAAAATGAATAAATCATTTTATCAAAAATCGAAGTAATTACTTATATTACTTAAACTTAATTTGTCTTCTAAATCTTATTCATTAAATGAATTATCAATAGATTTAGAATCAATGAATTCTCTATTAAAATAGAAGTTTATAAGAGAAAAAAGTATTTTTGTATTCTTAATTAATTAGTGTTTTAATTAATTAAAAAAGGGAAAATAATTAACTTCTGAAATTAAGTCATCAATATATTATTCTAATAAACTTAAAATTGTACTAAAATTTTGATCTTCAATGTTAGTATATAATGACAAAGCAAGGAATAGGAATTTATCTCTTTAATCTGACACGAACCTTTTTTATACATAATTCTAATCTATTATAATCTTTACAGATAACTGAGATTTCATTTTTTCTTTTAATTCTTTTTAAGTGGTTATTATTGTCTGTATTTATTCCATCATTTGTTTCTAATTTTATTAAAGCTATAAGAGTTAATTCAATTATCTTTTCTACTCTAATTCAATATTTTCGGTTTATATGTCCGCTTTACGCTATTTCTTCAATTTTTTATCTCTTTCAAAATTGAAAGTATCATTTGTATAAAGGATTTCATTTTTATTAGATTTATGAGATTAAAACCCATATAAATTAAGTTATCTAGATGATTAAAAAATGAAATACCGTCTAAAACTTGAATAATTATTATGTGTGAAATGCTTAACTAAAATACCAGATTTAAATTATTCTAGATCCAAAATTTTAAAACCATTTTTCTCTTCCAACAATTAAATTATCCCTTAATAATCTTCATTCTTTATTAAAAATAAATATACTTCTAGGATATTTCTAAGTGTCCCTATGAAATCTTTATTTTTTTTGATTTTTATCATGAGGGTGCTTAATAATCAAAAATATTTTTACAAATTTATAATTACAAATAATATTTTTACAAATATTACGCTCATGATAAAATTACGTGTCTAGTAATAAACTTTAGTTTTAAATAGAGGTTATCAATGAGAGGGAAAATCAATATGAAAGTTCTTTTTTGTATGGTTTTATTTTAGGAAAATATCAAACTAATATTGATTTCCCCAACAATCGAAGAGTAACTGAAGAATTATTATACAGAGATTTGAGACTGTTCTATGATCTAAGAATTAGATTTTATCTAATTTTAATGTGAGTTTTTTAAATTCTTTATTAAATTTTCAGGAATGATAACGATTTCTTTTTAAATTTGATGTGAATCAGTTTAGTTATAAAATATTAACTAAAAGTTGTAGTTCTTTCTAAGATTCTATGAATAAGAGATTAATCTTTGAAATTATAAAGTGGAAGTAAAGAGAAACAAATTAGATAAAAAATACATCATTTGAAGATACAAAAGATACTTACGAGTTAATTGGGCTTTAGGAGAGTAATAAAATTGTGTAATAAGGAAATTGGAATGGATAATTTATCACAATTAAAAGAGTTTTGTAATTTAAAGATTTGAGAAAGAAGTGAATTTCTTTAATAAAGTATTGATCTGTATATAATATTTTCAATGATTATAATCATTAATTAAAATATAAAGAAGAGAGAATGGAAGAATTGAGTGCTTACCAAGCGTAATTAAATTCTGTGTTAGATTTGAATAATGTACTTCTAATAAAACCACGTTGTAAAGAATCTGTTGATAAGAAGATTGCAATTGATTATTCCCCGATGTATAGTGAGTAAGTTTAATACTAAAGTTCAGAGTTTTAGGGTGCATGCTAAATACAGTGCCAATACTAAACAATGATGGAGAGCCTTCTTAACATGGGTTTATCCTCTAGATAGATTAGGTTTGCTATTTCGATATAATTTAGCCTGTTCATTTAGCTAATAGTATACAATATAGATCTTAGTTTGAGAAGAAAGTTCAGGAAGTTTAGGAGAAGAACAAGGATTTAGTACATTTCTAATTATCATTTGAAGCTCTTCCCAAAACCAAGAGGAACTAAAATCTATTGCAATGTTTGTAAATTATATATAGAGGATTATCTATAAGTAAATATTAAATTCATAGTTTAGCACACAGAATCTAAGAACCACAAATTGAAGTTTAGGAAGAACAAAGTCATCAATCTCATCCATTCTATGGCTGATGAATTTTAGAAGAATCGAAGTATGCCTCAAAATACACCGACTCTTCATTCCGATTCTGATAGATGTGGTTACTTCTCGTCCATCCAGGATGACAGCATTGAACATCAAGACAGCACATAGTAAGAACCACATACTATTAAGAAGATCAAGTTGAATGAAGATGTCAGCGCTTTCAACAAGATGGGCAACTCGTATAAAATCAATTTAAAATATTAGTCTTGTACATAGCTCCAATTAATCATTCAACGATAAGTACGGAAGGTAGTGTCTTTGAAGGAACAATTATGAGCAGCATTATATATATATAGATATATAACAGAATTATCATCCTAAAAATTAAGTAATAAACTCTGAATGTGGAATGTTTAACTATATGTCTCTTGGATTTAAATGTTTGTGTCTCTGCATGCAAGCTTCTAGCGAGTTAATTTGTGGTTATAACTTAATAAATTACCACACATTATAAAATCTATCAAAAGCTTCTATTACATCTTTTTCAGTAAATTAAAATTGCTAAGATGAATTTATCTTTTCATTCTTAATATTCAAAGCCAACAACAAGCAACAAATTGCATATAATTGTCTTTCAATAATTAATTATTCATATCCCATAATAAAAAAGTCACAGAAAAAGTAAGATAACATTTAAGAGTCATTTGAAACTTTCAATTTTGAATTTATAATTTTCAAGAATTAAATTGGAGTTCTGTAAGTTAAGTTATAATCTAAAATTGAAAGAATTTGTTATTCCATATCAATAATTTGTTTTTCATTGTATTCATCTGCAGTAATATAAGCATAAGCATTACAATTTTCTTGTTTGAAATATTCCTTAGACCTTTCATTATAAACACTATAGATTTAATCAAATATATTACTCAGCTAATTTTAATGAAGTAACTCCAATCAATTACAAATCTTTCCTGTTAATTTTCATTGTTGATAGTACCAAATCTATGTAAATGATCGATAGATGCAATGTCTCATCCATCAATTCGAAATGAATACAGACATCAATCAACCAATCAATTAAAGTACTCCGCATGGTTTGATTGATTTCTGTTTGGAATTCCAAATACTCCTTGAATTTCGGTTCTATATAATAAATCTATGCATTTTGACTAACAGCATTTAAAAAAGGATGCTACACAATCTCAATGATGTCTAATCGGGTTTCTGGTTTAATACATAATAGTTTTTATAATAAATCAATTCCATCATTACCTAAAATTTTATTAAGAGTAATCAATTTTTCGTAGATCTACTTTCTATTCTAAACTATGTCTATTATTTCACTTTTCTTTAGTTCATTGATCTATAAACTATACTTTCTCCACTAAGGGAATTTAATTTTGACATCACTTGAAATGGAATTCCAGTCATTTTCATCAGGTGAACCCAAAAATTGGAATACCTCAAACAAGTATTCGATTTCTGTTTTGCCACCAAATAAAGGACTCCTTAAGGCCAATTCTGCTAAAATACATCCCAATGACCAACTATCAATTTCACAACTGTAATACTATTTTCTGAATAGCATTTCTGGAGCTCTATACCACAATCTTTTAACTTCTCTGTTTGATCTTTCTCTTTCCTTTGGATCCTCTGGTGTATATGGAATTATGGGGAAGGTTTCTAATCTAGACATCCCAAAATCTGAAATTTTAACTACTTTATTATTTATGAAAATATTGTCCGGTTTCAAATTCCGATGTAATATATGGTTCTAATGTAAATATTCAACACCTTAACATATTTGCAAAAATAGAGACTTAATCTATTCAATTGATAACTCTGTCTATTTCAATTAATCTCTTAAATTCAAAGGGTAATACTCATATAAGATTGATACAATATGATCAGTGATTTTAACCTAAACAATTGAAGCTATGTTAAGATGAGATTTCAATGATCTCAGATACGAAATTTCTCTTAGAACTGATGTCTACACTCCATCATTATGATTTGCGTTTGCCTTAATCGTGTCAAGTTCTCGAAGCACAAATTGTTAACCAGTCAATCTATTACAGACTTGATATAATTTGCCTTTCGATCTTCTTTCTTATAGAAATTTGAACTTCTAATATAGGTCATCAAATTACAAAGGATTGTATCTGTTATAATACTAAAATCTCAATTAAAATCTTACATTCCAGAATTGTTGGCCTATTAATTACAAATATTGATGGTTGAGTGTCCTGATGTGTTTATTAATCTCTTTTGGAGTTAAGAAAAGGAATAATTTATAAAGTAGAACTTTTGGTAACAGCAGTTTTTGCTTTACTTAAAATTCTCCCTTTTTATTAGATGAACTTTAAACTAAAATATTCTCCTTCCCTTTCTGATTTTCGAATTCTCTTTTTTTTTTTAACAGCATTATTATTAATTATTAATATTATAATAATTGTTAATCCAATAAAATAGTGTCATTTCAATCAATTTTGCTTGCATTCTATGGAAATCATAAATCAATATAATCAACAAACTTTAATTCAAATACATCAAATTATGTGCAAATAAACATGTTATAGCCGATGTTTACAAAATTTATAACATTATCAAAAGATAAATTAGTATTAATAATTAAAAATTTTAAATATTATCCAACTGTTTAAATCCTATTATAAATGATTGAAATACATAGTTTCCTTTTGTTATTTTATAAAAAATCAAGTAATATAGATGAAATACTTAATTAAGTCAAGCTTATTAATTAATTTCATCATTTATTTTCAATTATTGTATTTGAATTGTTCAATTATATAATCAACAAATATATATAAGTTTTTATGATGAATCTAATTATCAAACTATAATAATGAATAAAGCTTTTCATCATAAACATATAAAGCAGCATCTTATATACCCAAACTCAAATATGAGATACTAAATTCAAGATCTTTAAGTTGTTCATTAGAGATGTAATTAATCATATGAACATTTAAGAATAATTTATTAGATAGGAATATTATCTCTATTTTGATTAGAATAAATATTTAAATTAGAATTTATGTATATTATATGGAGAGCAATAAACTTAAATAATACTCATTTTAATTCTACAATATCTTCGTACTTAGTGTCTGAATGCCTTTTTTAATCTTTATGCCAAACAGCCATATCATCTTCATCATCGTCTTAGAAATTTTATTCAAATTGTTTTTATGCTTTTTTATAGAATTGTTCAACATTTTATTGTTTAGCTTATTATTAATCCTATTCTAATTCTTTTTCTACAATTTTTGGATCTCTCCAATGTTAAGGCATAGACCAAACCTTGATAACTTTGTCTTTAGCAGCTGTCAAAAGAGTTTAATCAGCATCTAGCCATTGCAATTTTGTAATATCAGAATCATGAGCCTTAAGTACATCTAAGTAATCATTAATGATATTACATAATTATTGTGATTTTCGAGCATCCCATATAGTAACAGTGCCATCAATATTGCCAACATAGATTTCACCTCTTTTTGATGACCATCCAATTTCTCTGCTTTTTGACTTCCCATTTAATGAAGCCACTTCCTTAGAATATTATTCTCTTCCAGGTAATTATATATCTATTATTAAAATAACTCCGTTTTCATGACTAATTGAAAATAAATAATTCCTTTGGTTATCTATGAAAAATCCTCTAATAAACAATTGATTGGTTGGGATTTTAATAACCAACTTAGGTCGTTTCTAAATGTTTTGATATCAATAATATACTTTCTCAATATCATAGATAAATATTTCTCCATGTCTATCTCCTACGAATGTCTTTTTCCTTTCTTCACTACCTAATAGACATGTTAATTCATATTAATCAGGTTCGATTTCTAAATTATAATTAAGATTAAATTTAACCTGCTACTAATTCCCCTTTTCTAAGATTTAAGACTCTATATTTTCTATCTTTGGATATGGAATGTAAATATTTCCTTTTATTATCATAATACAATCCCATAACCCTGTCTGTATGTTGCTCAANTAAATGATTGAAATACATAGTTTCCTTTTGTTATTTTATAAAAAATCAAGTAATATAGATGAAATACTTAATTAAGTCAAGCTTATTAATTAATTTCATCATTTATTTTCAATTATTGTATTTGAATTGTTCAATTATATAATCAACAAATATATATAAGTTTTTATGATGAATCTAATTATCAAACTATAATAATGAATAAAGCTTTTCATCATAAACATATAAAGCAGCATCTTATATACCCAAACTCAAATATGAGATACTAAATTCAAGATCTTTAAGTTGTTCATTAGAGATGTAATTAATCATATGAACATTTAAGAATAATTTATTAGATAGGAATATTATCTCTATTTTGATTAGAATAAATATTTAAATTAGAATTTATGTATATTATATGGAGAGCAATAAACTTAAATAATACTCATTTTAATTCTACAATATCTTCGTACTTAGTGTCTGAATGCCTTTTTTAATCTTTATGCCAAACAGCCATATCATCTTCATCATCGTCTTAGAAATTTTATTCAAATTGTTTTTATGCTTTTTTATAGAATTGTTCAACATTTTATTGTTTAGCTTATTATTAATCCTATTCTAATTCTTTTTCTACAATTTTTGGATCTCTCCAATGTTAAGGCATAGACCAAACCTTGATAACTTTGTCTTTAGCAGCTGTCAAAAGAGTTTAATCAGCATCTAGCCATTGCAATTTTGTAATATCAGAATCATGAGCCTTAAGTACATCTAAGTAATCATTAATGATATTACATAATTATTGTGATTTTCGAGCATCCCATATAGTAACAGTGCCATCAATATTGCCAACATAGATTTCACCTCTTTTTGATGACCATCCAATTTCTCTGCTTTTTGACTTCCCATTTAATGAAGCCACTTCCTTAGAATATTATTCTCTTCCAGGTAATTATATATCTATTATTAAAATAACTCCGTTTTCATGACTAATTGAAAATAAATAATTCCTTTGGTTATCTATGAAAAATCCTCTAATAAACAATTGATTGGTTGGGATTTTAATAACCAACTTAGGTCGTTTCTAAATGTTTTGATATCAATAATATACTTTCTCAATATCATAGATAAATATTTCTCCATGTCTATCTCCTACGAATGTCTTTTTCCTTTCTTCACTACCTAATAGACATGTTAATTCATATTAATCAGGTTCGATTTCTAAATTATAATTAAGATTAAATTTAACCTGCTACTAATTCCCCTTTTCTAAGATTTAAGACTCTATATTTTCTATCTTTGGATATGGAATGTAAATATTTCCTTTTATTATCATAATACAATCCCATAACCCTGTCTGTATGTTGCTCAATTTCCATACTCTCAGTGAATTTCTTAAACCCTTCCTTCTCTGGAACATACAAATAATTGATTGATCCGCTATCTAATCCCACTAGCAAAACAGAAGCTACTGGATCCCAATAACAAGTTATGGCTTAAGAATTGTACATCTTAACCCATAATCTTTAAAATTCTCCGCTCTCTTGTTATAACCAACATTCAACGCATCCTACAGGTATAAGTGCTTGATCTCCCTTTTCAGATTCCCATGGAGCTTTCATGTTTGTAAGATAGGCATCCAATCTATTTATTACTGAGCAATCTGATGTGATTACAAACATCAATCCTTATTCTGAACTGATTGTGAAATCTCTGATTCCATGCAAGAATCCTTTGAACTCGAATATCTGTTTTGGAGGATTCACAATGATCTCCTTTGCATTTTTTTCTATTTCTAAGAATTACTTTAACGGTTCTGATGCAACTACTTCTGGTCTGCTAGCTAAATTCTCATTTTATCAATAGTATTCTTACTTGAATGAATTCATCTAAACCTACCTTTCTTTTTTCAATATCTTCAGGTGTTTTACCTACTAAAAATGTAATATATTTCTTTTTTGGAAGTGTAGGCAATTATTCACCAAAGAGAACTTTTAATTTTTTGGCTAGGTCTTCAAATTATGAAAATCTAGTTTAGATTAAATGCTTTACCTTTTTTCTAATTACCAAACATCACTTGTTTTATTTTTAACTTGCACCATATAGTAGATAGTATCATCATTTGGATCATTTCTGTAGGAAATGACACTTGCCTAATGATTATAATAGAAGAATACAGATATCGGAGAATTTGAATCCATATAATATAATAATAATTAAATACAATAAATTTAAGCTAGTATTATTTTATTAATTATGTTAATTTGATGAAAAATGTTTAGAAAATTAATATATATTCAAAATAATTTGATATTTTAGGTATTCTTTCTTTTTATTTTCAAATTTGATTCGAAAACTATGAGTTTATCATTGGGACTATGAAATTGAACTCTTTATTCAGATTTCAGTTTGAACTCTTTCGGTGTTCTTGTTGTGTTTTATCGTTATATCCTAAACGATTAAACATTTTCATATTGATCAACATTGCTTGAATGCATATGGATATGATCTTTATTATGTGATGATAGGTTTCTACTGATTTTATTTAAATTTTTTAGACTTGGAGTTTAAGCTTATTAAATAGAAAGAGTTTGATTTATGGTCTTTTAAGATTTGCTTTCCCCTCTAGTCAATTTATGAAAATTGTATTTTTTTTCACATTATCCAACCAAAAATGGATTGATGGATTTTTTTAAATTTCTTTTTTTCAACAAACTAGTTTTGGGTGTATCTTGGAACAATTTAACTGATTTGTTAGCTAATATGGTTTGAGGTGGAACTTCCTCATCTGGAACTATTCCTATTTCAGCCTCTGAGTCACTATCATCTGATGCTTAATTCTCATCTAGTTATTGATAATACTATTTCTTTAATTCAAGTTCTTTCAATATCTTGTTTTTCTAATCCAATTACATATAATAAATTTTCAAGGATTGATGCAAATCTTTTCCAATCTGTGTTAAATCAGATTATGAATATTAGATTAATTTGTCTTCTGATTTATAACCAAAAAATGAAGTTTCAAGAGTAACAATATTATGAAAACTGTTAGGATTATGCTTTTGCATTTAATTATAGACAAAAGCTCTTGCAGTTTTCAATTTGTAGGATTTCAAATTAAACGTACATGAATTGAAATCGAAATATCGAGAGTTTTCAGCCATGATCATGGGGAGAACTCGACATTCAATAGGATCATCAGTGTTTCTGCATGCATACATAAAAGTTCCAAGCTTTCTAGAATGACCATGCAAATCAATGAATGTTTTGATATCTCTGCCTTCATCCAATATTTTTTGGATAAGATTTCTGATGTGAATAATTTATTAATGAAACTTAGATCTGGGGTTTTACCAGACTCTATTCAAATCTTTCCCACTTAAATCGCATCTAAAGTTACCCCACTTGACACCATCTGGATTAACCATGGGAATAACTATTATATTATAAAATAGTTGTAGTGTTTTGTCATTTGAAAGTGCATCAAGAAAGCCTTAACATACATGAGAAGAGACAGTCTCTCCGGGATGTTAACGTGCAATTACTAAAATAACATCGCTCCTTTTGGATCCAAATTACACCATTCTTACAGGCAATCCAGAAATAGTATTCGTTAGGATTTCCGATTGAAACTTGAGTAAGTGTCTATCCAGATCAAGATGAGTGTAAGGGATGCCAAGAGCTATCTCAAAGGTCTTTGATGACTTTTTTATCCAGAAAGATAGGGTGTATAATTTAGTAGAAGTGGTATAACAGAAATTGGATTTGACATATTAAGATTATTTGATTAATACTTGAGACTTCAGTATTTCCCAGTGAGAATCGTGCTTAATATAGACTCCAAAACCATTTTGGTACTACAAATAATTCTTGCTCTGTGATTTTAATATAATAAGTTACCAAATTAATGATGTTTATTCTGTATTTATAGTCGTTGGGATTGGTTACTCGGAAGTAAAACCATTGAGAATAGCTGGTAGTGTTGATGTCTTCTTGGAGAAGTAAATCATATTCAAATGTATCCACTTAATGAACTGCAGCAAGATTTCCACAGGCGAAATTGGAATCAAATAGTGGCATCTGTTGGTTTTGAGTGATAGTAGGCGTTTGTAAGTCATTGAGATTTAATTATTTAAAATGTTGATTACTCACTTTTGATCCATATTATTTCTTATAAACACATTTATATGTTTTTTCGATATCTTTTATGTCGTTTGGCACTCCTCGATAGTCTGATTAGTATACGATGGGATTGGGAGTGGGAAGAGAAGTGAATATGAAGGTAGGTTACTTATCTTATTAAGTTATTAAGGTTTCAATAAAAGCAGATTCGAATCCCTCATCATCCATTTTACCCGTTTTTGAGAATTAAATAAATTGATAATCATATGGCAAACACAATAAATATTAATAAATGAAAGTCACTCTTGCAATTCTCTTGTTGGTAAGCATTGCCTCTGCAACATCCACTCATGATTAAATCATGGCTCTACTCCAAACTGGAACAAAAGCTATGGATGCCATTGACACTGTCTTTGGTTTATTGAATGATCTTGTCCAATCCAACAAAGATGCCTAATTTGCTGCTGACTAAAAGAATGAAACAGACGAATGGGTTGGTGCATAGTAATTATCTTCCTTAATCATAGAACAATCGAGTAATTCACTAAGATCAAGTCCCTCAACTAAAAGCTTTTCTAATAATCAGTTGAAAATAGAGTCCTTTTCGAATAAGAACTCCAAGACACCAAGAATTATCTTGCTTGGAATGAATAAAGATAAGATGAAATCACCAGAAAAATCAATGTCCTCCTTGATGAACAATGTCTTAGTAATCAACTCTTCGTCAGATCAATCAAACAAAACAGAGAAGCCCTTGAAGTTGTCAGAGTTCTCAAATAGGATGTTGCTGGTTACATCATTAATGGAGATTCATTTGAATTTGTCCAAGAAAAAACCACCAGTGTTGCTCAAAAACTCAAGGCCTACAGCAATCTATTCAACGATGAAGAAATCAAAACCTTCTTGAGTTTGGCTCAAACCAAATAAGAAGATGGAGTCAGCAGAGGTGCTACACTTGCAGAAAGAGTCCTTGCAGTCCTTGAATCACTTGAAGCCAACCTCCAAGCTTCTCTTGAAGCTCTTGAAGTCAATGAAATCAATGCCTCATGGGAATTGGCCGGCTGGGTTTCATTGAGTGAAGCTGAAATCGCTACCCTCAAAGTTGAATACGAAAGAAAATAAGTCTTTGCTGATAGATTAGCTACTGTATTTATTTTCATCATACCTAGTAAATCTAAGCAGCCTTAGCCTAATAAGCCAAATCTAAGATCATCTTATAAGAGTCCCAAGATGCCCTTGACTAAGCTTAAGCTGATTTAGAATCAAAAAGAGCTGACTACGCTGAAGCTAAAGCTAAGAGAGATGAAGAAAACGCCATCCTAGAATAAGTTATCATCATGTTCAAGAAATAAGTTGCCTCATGGTCTGGAAGATGATTAATATAACTAATCAAGTTATTCAAAACATTTATTCGGTTTTTTTAATTCATTACCCTAATTTTATATCCTATTCATTATTCTCAACAAGCATACTTGTATTTAACTAATTAATAACAACCGAAACAATTATCTAAAGAGAGATTTAGGAATTTAGAATAAATATTTATATATAATAATAATCACCAATCTTTGAAAGGGTCATCTTATGCTTTAACAGCATCTGGCAATTCAGTACTATCAGGATAAGTAGCAAAATTAGAAGTATCATAATCAGATCTACATATTAAATGTTTCATACTAAATAACTGGTATATATTGTGGTTTTATTTTTTTTGTGAACAAATCCTTCCAATTCAGAGTTTCATACCATTTATGTTGTTTGATATCATCTACTCCGTTCTTTAAATTGCCAAATCTCTTGGTTACATCCTATTCCAATAAATGCTTCACTAAACTTTTAGCTTCACTAAAGTTAATTATCATTTCCTTTTTTACTTATCAAAATTTCGAGGAAATTTGACTTTTCCCTTCAATATTTTCTAATATATCGCCATTGGATCTTCATCATTAAATGGGTCAATTCCTTTGGAATTCAAAATAAAATAAATACCTGCAAGCATCTCATACAAAAAGATTCCTAAACACCACCAATCTACTGGTTTACTATGACCTTAAATTTTGTTTAGATTTCTGGATTACCTTTATTCAACAGGATTTCAGGTGCCAAATATTCAGGTGTTCCACATAATGTATAGGTTCTATCTTCAACTACTTTAGCAAAACCAAAATCAGTCAATTTCAGATAACCATCTGGTTAAACTAAAAGATTTTCAGGCTTTAAATCTCTATAGACTATATTCTTAGTGTGAAGATACTCAAACATTAAAACAACTTAGGCTGAATAGAATCTATTGTGAAAAATTAATTTACTAAGCCTCTTCATTTTGTACTGTTCCAGCATTTCTTAAGTAAGTGAATAATTCACCTCCTTATATGTATTCTAAAACAAAATATATGTGTCGTTCATCTTGAGTGTACCCACTCATCTCAATCTAATACATAGTATATTGTGATATTTACCAGAAATGGGTGCTTCACCTACTTCAGAATATTAAATTCACTTATGATATGATCAACCTATTTCAATCGTAATATTTCAATTTTTTTCAACATCTTTAAGGCTACATATTTGTTATTTGATTTTTGTTTTGCCAATCTCACTCTCCCAAACGAACCAGTACCCAAAGTGTTCATTATGTCATAGTCAGTCAATTTTACTTTTTTAGTTTCCATATAATTAATATTTTTATAAGAATGATCAATTTCATACTTATGGTTAACAAATAAGGGCAGACAAGACTCGCACAATATTTTTAGTTTCTTAGTGTCAAAGAAAGGATGACCCTAGAAGGAGAATTAATTCGAAAATGTCTATCTAGAAGTGAAACCCAATGTAGTTTTCTTGAACACAGAGGCTATAAGGTTATTTATCAATTTCATTCTCTAGATTATTTACAGAAGATATGCTTCTCTTTATTTCATAATCGGGATGGATCTAGAAGAAGAAGTAATTCTATATAATTATCATCAAGAATGAAATGGCTTATTTAGAATTTATTCATAATTTGGTTGAAACTCTTGACAAGTATTTTGAAAATGTATGCGAATTAGATGTATTTTGCATATTAATCAATTTAGATAATGTTTAACATTGAAAAAGCGCACTATATTTTAGAAGAAATGGTGATGAATGGCCAAGTTGTAGAAACCAATAAAACTTAAATTCTAGGTATTCAATGCTTCTATAAGCATAGCTCCAATTCATGTATTAGATAAGGCTAAAGATGAATGATGTTTTGGTTATTTATTTCATTATTGTTTTTATCAGAACCTATATATAAAAGCTAATAAATGCTCTTGAAATTCAAAATAATATCACTATAATAATATCTAATTAGTCTATTTAAAAACAAATTTATCTAAATAGACTATGAAGCTTAAAAAAATAAATACTCTTAAGACAGATACTGATTTACCAACCATCAACTTACAATCCTCGACATAAAGTTCCAAACCTATGAAATTACCCTTTCTATTATTGTCCCCTGCTCCTTAAAGGAGAAATAATCTCTCATTTCATTAGCATCCCAAAAAGATTTCCCCAGACTCGAATTCCTCATAAAACTTCAAATCCTTTAGAGGAAGAAGTATCACTCTAAATAGAAAAAACTTATCCTAATTTATTGTATATTCGAATTTTATTTAAGTAACCCATCCCTTTACAGTCATTATAACGTTAACATCCGACTCATAAATCCAAGTTCGAAGAATAGTTAGAAAAAAATAAATCAGACAATCATCAAAATAGAGATTACTATCAAGAACAAGTATAAACTGAAAAAAATTACATTCACTCTCAAAATAATAGAAAAGTATAGTAAGGTTAATGCAAATTAAATGAAAACAAAACAAAATCAAAAGTTGGATAATAATAAGCAAAATAACACCAAGCTAAGAAAGAGTAAACTTATAAGAAATACTCATTTTAATGCTTTTAAAAAATTATTCCAAAATATCACTAAGAATATACTAAACAACTGATTAAGTAATAACCTAAATTTTTAGAATTTGGCAATTGCCATTACTATGATAACTCACAAAAATGGATTACTGATTATGAAATAGTTTTAAATATGAGTGGTAAATATGTCATTTAATGATAGAAATATAAGAAATGAATGAAGATGTTCTTTCTTCAAAAGCATAAAGTACTTTTTTTAATAAATTCATATGAGTGAATTATAAGAACTATACTATTATTTTAATGATTAATTTCATTATTAATCTTCATCATCTTATTCAAACTAAATATGTAATTTCCTTGATTTGCCATGTTCTTCATCATCTATCATACTCTTACTATTCTCTAATTTTGCCTTCTCGTATAATTATTTCTACTATTCTTCTAACTATTTCAAGTGCTCCTCATCCTAAAACCTCGCTCTATTTTGATTTTTCACCTTACAATAAAATTCATATATACATTCACTTCTTCTTTAATTTCTTCTTCTATTTCTTTAAGATGAGGTATTTAACTGTCTAACTTTAGCTTTGAAATAGCCTTATAGAAAAATTCCCCCGAGATGGTCTTTTTTCCTTGCTCTAAACAAATTGTATTTGCTTAATCGGAAACTAATTAGATATATTCTCTAGCCATTGACATCACCTGAGTCACAAATTCATTCGAGCACTTCATGTCTCCATTTGTAGAAGTCTTTATAAATTGTTAAACAGTCGCTAAGTTATTTTAAAAATATACCTTTGGGAAGTTGTTCCATTTCTATTTTTTTACATTTTATTAATCAATTTTTTCTTTTTGAATTAGGATAGTTGCAGTACTTATTATATATTTAATGATTGGCCATTAATAATTGATTAGAATACATATAAAACACAAAAAACAAAATTAAAATAAAAAGCTAACATAATCTCTATCAACTACCTTTTCCAATAGATCCAAACCCCTGGTTCTTCAATCTTAACTTTTTAAAAAGTCTTATTTAATTTACTACTCAGTCTTTTTCCATCCTTTATATATTAAACTATTTTTATAAACTAAATATTCTCCCAAAATTCCAATATTATCTATTTTTTCAGATATATTCAATTAAACTACTAATTTTCCATTTTCGATATTATAAATATAAATTATATTCAGATTTGACAAATATAGCCATTTGTCTTAATATATTGAGTTCCTATAATCAACAGTATTTAACTTCCGAATTAACTTCTTACATGTTAATTAATAAAAATGAGTTTGTAAAGAGTCATATCTTGGCTTTAGAATCAAAATTTTGGAGGCATATACTTTGATATGATTTATTTCCTTAACAAATATTGAGCTAAGACCTTTTAAAGTAAATTTACTAAATAATTTGATTTGCTCAGTATTTACTAACAAAAGACAAGGACTCTGCTAAGTTAAAGTGTCCTTTTGAATGATTTTTTATAGATTAACCCATTATGGCTATTATAGAACTAAATTTATATTCATATGTTAATCGATATTATATAGCTACATGCATTTGTTTAATTAATGGTTTAAAATCAAATAGAAATTATGGTTGTTATTCCAAAATTGAATAAATTGACAAGAATCAAAATTAAATTCTCTACAATCATCATTATCCATTATATTCTAAATCAAATAGAAACTTTTGAGTTACTGTGATCTAATAAGAATTACAAACTTGTTGTCTTAAGTAAATATGAATCTATAATTGATTCTTGGATATCCTAAATTTTGAATTGGCTTAAATAAAATAGGATTTTAGACTTTAAGATCAAAGATTCTTATGTATTCTATTGAATTTTCATCAATCTTTTCAGCTGCATAATTTCCATCATTTGAAAAAAAGACGTTCTCAGAAGATGTTTAAAATACAATTTTTGGAGTCTCATCAAATTATTAAGGAGGGTTTCTAGAGATTTATAAAGATGTATTGATTTTATTCATCATAGTAAATATGTAATAAAATTGATTTAACTAAAAAGTGGTTGAATATTAATATTATGCTAATAACAAATTAAAATGAAGAAGTTTTATAAAAAATCAAAAAAAAATGAGCTACCATCTCGCTTAATGCGTGTCATCCTTACGCAGGGGCCATGCTAATCTTCTCTGTTACGTTCCAATTTGACGGATGACCCCGAAGGGTTCCAATTAATATGAAATTGATTTATTTATAAATTAGACTAAAGGAGGAATAATTTTTATGGGTTTAATTGGGTATGTAATAATTTGAATTTGCATTTAAACATGATAGAAATAACTGAATATTAATTCGTTTATTAAATATCATCCATCTGTGATGGTCTGGACTGCTATCTTGGTAGATCCATCCTTGAATTTATAGGTCTTTGTAATTTTTGTAACCTTTTGTCCACCTTTCATACTGACAGCAGATGAAGTACTAACTGATACGCATCCAGGAGGCAATTATTCTAGAATATAAAATAAGAATACCTTCCTCTTCATCATCTTATTAAGGAGCAGCTCCTACATGGCCTCCCTTTCCTCCCAAGACAACTGTTTTTCCTTAGTTATTGGCTGATTATTTAGGTTATTGTCCTTGTGGGGTGAATTCAGTTGCAAAATCAAAAACACATTGAGTTTAATAAGTTTTGTGATCACCTGCTGCAATTCCAACAAGGTTGAAATCTTAACCAAAACAATTTTTTCTATGTCCTCTAGAACCAACTCCATCATCAATCAATAGTTAGATTATAACATCTTCTCCTGTTTTTTATCCATAACTAATGTTCTCTCCAATTTTGCCATTCCATTCTCCGTATCTTTCAATTCTGTCAGAAAGTGAGGAACCATCAGTTCCTGTGTGACCACAAACACCTTTAGGTCCAGTGTCCTTAACATGATCAGTGCAAGCTTATTCTAATCCTTTGTCATATGTTAAGGGATGTAGAGGCTATTGTTTTTATAAAAAAGCAATCAATTCTATTCCTTATATTAAAAGATACCTTATATAACTTTGGTGCCTTCATTAGTTTGCAAAGGGATTTCACCAGGCTTATAAAGAACACTGCCTTTGAATAGTTTCATCAAATTTTATAGTTTTGGAATAGGGAGTGTGGGATTTTATCTGACTTGATTTAAATAGTTGAAAGCATCTTAAGTTATTTTATCATCAGAGTCTTTGGCTTAAGGCTAGGCAGGAGGTGCATCTGGTTGTCTATTTTATTGTTGTTCTGGTTATTGTTATGAGCCATTTTGGGAAGGTGCACTGGCATCAAGTCCTGGTTTATCTTCGAAAGATCCTGCAAAATCAAAAACGCATTAAGTTTTGTATTGTTTATGTTCTCCATCGTAGATACCAACAACTCCGAATTCTGGTTTAAAACAGTTTTTTCTGTGTCCTCTTGATGAAACACCATCATCTATAATTAATTGAATGATAACTAAAATGATATTGGATTAATACCATCCTCTCCTGTAGTTTATCCATAACTGATATTTTCACCAACAGTAACATCCCATTCTCCATATCTTTCGATCCTGTCACTCATGGATGATCCATCAGTGCCTGTATGACCTGTGACTCCTTTTGGTCCTGTGTCTTTAACATGATCTCTGGCTGCACATTCCAATCCTTTACTCCAAGTCAAAGGATTGAGGGGCTTCTGATTTTGCAAGAAGGAAATGCACTCTAGTATATATCCTAAAAATTACCATTGACAGCTTTAGGACCTTCATTTGTTTGGAGTGGTATTTCTCCTGGTTTCTATAGGACATTCCCTTTGAAAAGCTTTAAATGCTCTTGCAATTTAGGGATGGCCAATTTAGGATTCTGCCTCAGTTTATTAAGATACTCAAAGGCCTCTTAAGAAATTTTGCTCATAAAAATTAATATTTTGCATTTTTCAGAATTATTGAAAATGAATAAAGTGATATTGAAACAAAAATATGATATTAAAATTTTTAAATTAATTTTAAAATGGTGAAGAATGTTGCTTAAGAGAGTGTTAATCAAAAACTTTAATTGGTCGTCAGATCAGGAAAGATCACCATGGGATATAAGCAAACATTGAAGGCAATCAGAAATGGAACAGCCAAATTAGTGTTTATTTCTAACAATTGCCCAACAATTAGAAAGACCCAAATTGAGTATTATGCCATGTTGGCTCAAATCACCATTGTGTTATATTAAGGAAACAACGTTGATTTAGGTATGGGGGTTTAGAGGGAGGCTTAGTTCTTCTTTGATTGAATTAATGGGCATGAGTGATTTAATCTTATTATAGGTACCGCCTGTGGTAAATTACACAGATGTTCAAGCTTAGCCATCATCGATGCAGGTGACTCAGACATCCTTACCCAATAATGATAGAATGTTATTTTAGTACAATATTTTAATAAACATAAATTATGTATATATATTGCTCGAATAAATATTTGAATCATCTTCTATTACCACCTCTTGTTTTGATTTCTCCTTACTTGGGTCTAAACTACCCCTCCTTGTCTTAGGATGAATATTATTTAGAGTGGTCGTTGATTTGTTTTGGCCTACTAGACTACTTAGAATATGTTTGACCCCGATTGTCTTATTCATGCTTTTCCTATTTAAATGTCAAACTCAACATACCCTGTGTTCTGGTTCATCTGGCTTCCTTTTTAATTCTTCAGGGTATCTCTTCCCCACCTACACTTCGGCTGCTCCTCTGGACTTCAATACTCCTCTTTCTTCTATTTGTTACACAACTTTTTTTTGAGGTTAGTTATGGTTCGGTTTTTGTCCTTCCTTGCCTTTCCAAAAATACAAATTCCTAGCATAGATCATGATATAATCATAAAGTTCAATCTTCTTATCATCTTTCACATCTCCTGGGGCCTAATATCCTGGCTATTCTTATTCTTCCTTGGTTGGATTGCATCTACGATCCATAAATGAAAGTACGTCAATTTGATTCTAATAGCAGGGATTGATATTGTTGATTTCTATCCATTCTCAAGAATTTCCTTCTGAATGTTCTCCAATGTGACAATCGAACTCAATCCCTAATAGATAACACTCATTCTTACTTTGTGTCTTGCTCTAATTATTTCAGCAACCAAAATTACATTTGGAATTGCTGATCCACTTCCTTAGAGCCTAATTGACTCACTCTTATTCTCCCTATCCCTCAAACCCAAAATGGCCTATACCAAATAGGTTGCTATTTGGTCCTGTGAAGACTTGGTCTTAATCATGATGTCGAAACAATCCTTCTTTTCTTTCTTATTCATTATTTTATGATAATATCCAATCCCTATATTTTTTTTAAATATTATTGATTTATTACCCTCGTTAAAATACCATAGCAATTACTTTCAATATATATATACAACATTAATTATACACTGTTCAAAGTTACTCTTGTACTACCATGCTTTAATAAAGCAAAATATTATTAATTTAAAAATATAATATGTTCGTTAATAACTATTGTTTGTCAATGAATTGCATCATAGCACCCTTAGATGGATATGGAGGAATATACTTAGGAAATCTGGATGCTGCTAAAGATTCTTAATTGCTCACTCAATATAATATTGGAGCAGTCCTATAAGTACTTGATTAATCAGTTCCCATCAGAGGAGCACAAAAGTTGGTATAGAATAATTTCTTATGTTGAGTGGATCATGGCAGAAGATTCTGAAGAGTTTCCACTCAATAAATACTTTGAACAAGCAATTAAATTCATTGAGAATTAATCCAAAAAAACTAATGTTCTTGTTCATTGTTATGCAGGTATCTCTAGATCTGCAGCTATTTTGGCTGCCTATCTAATGCAAAAATATGATTGGACCATAAATCAAGCTATATTACATTTACAATCAAAAAGAAGAATAGTTAATCCTAATCCAGGATTCATGATATAACTTTAAGACTTTTAATAGAAATTGCGCAATAATAATCAACAATCTACTCTGCCATTAGCAATCATTTAAAATGAATTTCAAAATGATTAATAGAACTATCAAAATTCTCAGAGTAAGATTTCTCCATTGCACAAAATTTCAAGATTGGATGAATTTAATAATAAATTAGATTAATTTAGAAATTAATTGAGAATTAAGCATAAAGTGTGTTGATGATTACTTACTTTAAGAGATATTTTTATATTTATATTAAAATATTATTGGTTCTGTCTTTCTGAGTAATCAACCCTTATCTTTGATTAAGGAATTGTTTGTTTGAAATAGATGATTTAATTCAGCATGATGTTTGATATTATTTAAATTGATTATAAATTATATTTTTAACGATATATGGGGAATAGCTCAGACACACAAATAACAAATGACTTGCGTTATGGAAAGGTCAACAAGTTCACATATGAAAACTCATTAATAATTTAAAAGGTTATTGACTATAAGAATGCTCCTGATTAATTGGCTAATTGCATTCACAGATGCCAATTAAGTCAATCAATAAATCACAAAAGCATAATAAAATTGCACAAATACGAAGTAGATCAACTGAGCGTTTCGATATATTTTGAACATTATGACTACGATTTATAACAAGACATTAATAAAAGAAAACTAAATAATGTAAGATTTGATGAAGTATTATTAAGAACTATTACCAAGAACATGAACTGTTGCAGATGCTTGATCAATTCGTTTCAGCGTTAGCCTACCTATAATAATAATAAATTTTTCATGATGATATTAGACCCCAAGTATAACTTATGATAACTAGAATATTTTCTTGACTCCAAATGATACAATCAAATTGAATTAATAATGGGTGATAGATAATACTCAAAACTAGCAAAGATACTATGCACCTGAATAACTTTAGCCATAAGCTTCAAATGTGCAACCTAATCCTTTTAAAAGTACAACATACAGTTTGGGAATCACAATGCTACATCTAATGACGTTAACATCGATGGAAATAGTCTATCTAAAAAATCAAGTGAATCAATCATTGGTAAATGAAATACTGAGATGCACAAACTACTCGAATAAATTAATTAACAAAATTTAGCATTTACTATTTTAATCTCCTCATTAACGAGCAGATTACATGTATCAAGTTAATAAATAAGCCAATTTATAACAAAAACTATTGTCCAGTCCGCCCAAAACAATTTCATCGAGTTAAAGATATGTTTACAGAACATCCTAATCGCCTTTGACCAGAACAATTTAGCCTCGTCATTCTCACTCCCCTTTTACTTTCAGAAGAATTGCTTAACTACAAACTCCCATATAACAAGTTCCTCCACAACAAATAGCCATCATTCAAAGCAGTCCCAGATAAATAGTTACAAGTTCTAGTCCTATGAAGGTAGTTAAATAACAAGAATAATAATCCTAATTGATGTTCACTCCAAATCAATCCATAAAGACCAAAGAAATGCTCCAAAAATTGGATGAAGTCACTCCCAAGACTGATTTAGATTATAGGATATAGAAGGCACTCAAACAAACAAATGAAACACTTAAAAAGAATTACATGTTGCAATGATAATTTATTAATTTCACAAATCATCAGTTATTGAATTTTGTACCCAAATAATCATATTCTCCAATCAGACGATCACAACCTGGACAACTATGGCTTATTTTCATAAAGTATTTCTTCAGCACCAAGGGAATCCAACAAAGACATATTAACATTAATAATAAAGCAGAAACATATGTATAAATAGTGTATTCCACATGCACAATTGAACTGCTAAAAGTATGACAATTATCGCATTATATTTAAATTGGTTCAATTGAATCAAATTCTATAATTTAATTAGTAGAAGATTGAACCATTTAATTATATTATTTTGAATCTGATCTAGCTTTCTATGATGAATTGTTCCCAGAAGCAGCACTAATATTGGGACTCTTCATTGATTAAGTCACCTAAGGATAATTTGAAACATTCGGTCCTGCAATATAATGCGATTCAGCTAACCTTATCGGTGTTGTTAATTACATAAATATTTATATATAAAATTTACGAGAATCATTTTGAATGCTACAGCAAACCTCTATTCTGATATTTCTCCAATTATTTATGCAAAGTTTGATTAATAATCTTCAAACCTGCATATTCTTACCTCAATGCAGCCATATCCTACTGCAACCCAGATATTTCCACCACATACTAATTCTCCTTCTCCACCAACTTGGCTTCCAACCTTTTCACATTTACCATCCTTCTCTCAAATTCTTAACAATCATTCCTATATCTTTACAACTCCTATTACTAAGAATTCATTAAATCGTCCTTCTAATTCATTTCCTCTATTAAATTTTTCTGATTCCTTTACAATTCTAATAATTGTTACTTTAATTCCGATATTTTAAGAACCAATAACTAATTTTCCTATTAGGCTAAAATTAGTTCATCAATGCTTTATGGGTTGAAGTATGTTGGATTGACAATATTCAGTTTTAAATTAGAACCCATTTTCTTATAACTTCGTAATGAATCATTAGGGGAAGTAAGAGTGTCAGCACTACTTATACTGAATTCCTTTGTTTGTATTCCCAATTTTAATTATTCAATTTCTTCATTCAATTAATTAATAGTTTTTTCATTTGATTTGTTTTCTGATTAGATAAAGTAATAGTCACTCAATATTGAATCATATTGTTTTTTCAATATGTTCAATTCCATCATCTGTTGATTGAATTGTTTTTTTGTAACATTCAGAACATCAAAACATTACTGATATTCCATGATTGTCTTCTCCAGTTCTCTCTTTAGATCATCTTCTGATTGAACTGCCTTGTCAAGTTGAATTACTCCTGTTTGAGTATCCTAATCAATCTAAGTCTTTGAGTTCTACAATTATTGGATCTACTTTTTTAGTTTTCTGTTTTCGATATCATACTCTCTTAGAATAATTTTGTATTGCTCTATCTCTTTATGTACTTCATCCTAGGTTAGCATGTTAATCTCATTATAGAACTTAGAGTCAGTCTAAACTGATTAGGAATTTGATTCTTGAGGAATAACTGAAGAAATAACAGAGTTCTAACTAAAATTTATTCCAAAATCAATTTCCGTTTGTTGACTTTTACAAATCATTTGTTTATCAAATAATATCTAACTTTATTGAGATAGTAAATTGACTTGACTATTTTTCATAGGATCTTATCCCTCTAATTTATTCAGTAGTTTCTTTTTCTAATGATCGATTTATATGATCATGTTCTTAAAACTCAAGATTTGTCTCTCATATTGTTCTATTGATTTATCTTTTTATTTCAAAAGAGAGTTCATCAATTCATAATTTCTGTCTACACATTAAATAGCTTTATCGTTTTATTTGGTACTAACTGATTTTTTGATGGTAGCCACTTCATTGGTTAATTTTTCAATTTGTTCCCTTAATTATGAGTCTTCATTAGAATTGTACTTTTTCGTCTAAACCAAATATGATTCCAGTATTTCCCTTTTAATTGGCTCGGCACCTGATTCAAATAGCCTTGAATGTTTGGCAAGCATATAAATTAATTAATAATGTCCAGAAGAGTCTTAAAGGTATTTACTCCTCCGACTGTTCCTGAAGGTTAAGGGGCCTAGGTCATAAGGATCATTGGTAAATATTGAGTTATATAACATGCTAGGCAACAATAACCTTAGAAGTCTTAATCCCTTTATGATGCTTGATCATGCATTTGTTAAATTACCAGCAGGCTTTCCTGATCATCCTCATAGAGGATTTGAAACAGTCAGTTACTTATTGAAGGGTTCCTTCTACCATGAAGACAGCAAAGGATTTTCAGGTCATTTACAACCTGGTGATATATAATGGATGACGGCTGGAAAAGGAGTTATGCATGCAGAAATGCCAGGTAGTTGGGATGAATTAACATCTGGTTTCTAATTATGGATCAATTTACAAGCTAAATTCAAGATGGTAGAACCCCAATATTAAGAGATCAAAAAGGATCTAATACCTGAAGCCAAATAAAAAGGAGTTTTAGTTCGTGTTATTGCAGGTGAAGCATTAGGTGTAAAAGGTCCAATTTATACCAGAACTCCTGCTTTCTTTTTAGATGTCAAATTAGATGAAAATTCTGAATTCTTATAAAGGATACCATTGAAATGGAATTCTATATGTTATGTATACGAAGGACAAGGATAATTCGGGGGACAAAATGCCAATTAGCATTAAGTTGTTCACTTAGACATTAATGATAAGGAGGAAGTCTTAAAAGTTAAGACAGGAGCATCAAAATGCCATTTCATTATGATTGCTGGAGAGCCTATTGATGAACCATTTGTGTAACATGGACCATTTGTCATGAACACAAAGGAAGAGATTCAATAGGCATTTGAAGATTTTTATGACTAGAAGAATGGATTCGAAGGAGCTCATTCTTGGAAGTCTAAAATCTAAAATCTCAGCAAAAAGAGATAATGATTGAGCATCTATATATATATATTATTCGTATCAAAAATTGATCCAAACAAACACAATTTATACATTATTTAAAATATTCTTAGAGCTATATTTCAATTACCTTTAATTAAAATAATTGTTTTTTATAATAATGAAACTGATTCTTTTAATTTAACGTAATTATTCTGATTATTAGGATAAATCATGTTTTAAAAGTGTATTGAATTATAGCTTGTGCTCATGTCACTAAAACATTTGTTTTCATTTAAGTTATAGATATGGATTAGATGATAAATTCACATTTATATATAGTCTAAGAACTCAATACATCATAAAATCATTTATATTGTCTAGTTTTAATATGGCATTTCAATCTACCAAGAAATTATTTGAGAGAATCTGATTATATTAAATCAAAAGGCATTAGCTCAGTCTTTCCCTTTTTCGAATTGAGAAAGAAGTCAGCAACAGTAAGCTTATTACGAAGAAGGGACTGTGAATCCAATTTCACTTCTTAATTAACCCACTTAAGCTCTTATTTAAAATTATAGCAATACTATTTGGCTTTAGCATCTGCCTCAAACCTCTTGATGTAAGTTGACCAGATTCAATCACGATCTTTTATTTTTGATAATTGCGAACCTCACTCAATAAATCTAAACTTAAATTTTTTTTCCTTGGAGTTGGAGGCATAACTAATTTAGGTAATTCTTATTTGAATTGTCCCCATTTTAGAAATTGATAACTTGTAATCCGATGATGAGATTGTGATTTTTTATTTCTTAAGTCCATAATTTTAATAATTTATTTACAATATTAATTATTGCATGATTAAATAATTGATGTTTGGCATCATAAATTTTAGTAGACCTTATACATAGATTGTACTCATAGTCTTTTTAATTTAGATATAATTATGAAAGGGAAATCATCTAATTTTCATATTTACTAAGTATAAACATGATTCATATTTAAAATGATAAACTGTATTACTACTTATATCTACATTAAAATAAAATATTATACATATGTAGATTTTGAAATGATAATATATATCCCTAGTTTTAAAACACTTTATAATTTTCTCATATTTTTTATTATACATATAATTTATATAAGGATATCTTAAATGTAATGGATTTGCTCTGCATAAAATACTCCTAATTAGATTTTAAATCTCTTATTACATTCAAAATTTGATCTTGTAGATATTTTAGAACACTAAGATGATATATAATGTATGTGAATGAATTAAATTAAATTTAATACTACCTAAATACAGAGATCCATAGACCAATTATTTTGAATGGAAAACTATAATTCTTTAAGTATTTAATATATATAATCAGTGAAATAACTTCTTTTTCTTTCTCCTGTAATAGTCTAGCTTATTTGTTGCTTTTAAGTCTTTCATTAGTTCTTCCCCTTAACTAGAGACAGTTAAATAAAACTATTATATTTGACATATACTCTAAATTATAATTACTTTTTAATATACATTTATTAATAATTTTCTGCATTCCTCTCCTTCTTCTATCATTTAATTTAAATTTTTCATTTTGTTAACATTATTTCTGTGTTAATTAAATTCGAAGGTTCGTTTTTCAAGTTGTTAGACTTGCTTAAGTAGATTATAGCATTAGTTTGTATGTGATACAGACTTTATATATATTAATGATTTTACACCTAAATAATTTTCAAATTCTTCTCTAGTTTTGCAGACTTCTCCATTTCATCTAATAATTATTATTGTTTTTATTTCTATAATAGTTCATATTTAGGTAAGAGAATGTTTCTAAGCTTCATAGTGAAATTTGGATGAAATATCATATCTTTCTCCCACTTATTTATGAAATAAAAGACTTTATCTATAGGCTTGATGCTCGAGAGTATTTAGAAATTTTAAATCATGTTCTTCAATTTCATCCCAAATGCCTTAATAAAATCTATGGTAGGTCTTCTTTATTTAAGTTCTAATTAAAATATTTCATGAATCAAAAAAAGATATAGCAATTTTTTATCAGATTCAACTTCCTTTATCTCATTTTCAACGAGAAATGCTATAAAATTTGCTTCATCTGGATTTTCAAAGCATACTTATGCAATAGCTACAAAATCTATAATTTTTACATTAGATATTTGAATAGTTTTCATTGATGGAACTTAATAGTTTTTCAATTTATTTTATTATCATAATTAATAAAAGAAATTGGAAAAAATCAAGCAGTTTGTTTTACAATTTCTTCTTACCTAAAAACTCTTTAAAAAGTGTATTAATTTGCAATAAATATTCTAAATATTCATATTGTTGATTAAATTCATATAATTTATAAAAATCTAAATTCCTAATTTATAGTGATTCCAAAACATTAAACAAAATTCTATCTGATTTTTTATCTTGAAAATTGTATATATTCAATTATGAGGACTCTATACTTAAAGTTAAATTAATCTTTGTCTATAAACAGAGTAGGCATTCATCAATAGAGTAAAATTGTTGATGAACTTGCAAATTAAATTCCTAATTATTAAAATGATGAAAGGAACTTTTATATTAAATTATGAATTAATGAATGAATTATCAACAAAAATATGAATATGTTTAATTTTAAATAGTATGAAATTGCCAATACCATGAGAGTATATAAGAGACTTTGAAAGTTATGAGTTTTACCATTTTGAATTAAATCAAATATATTCAAGTAATGAGAGGTCATAAAAAGAAATAAAAGTAAGAACAAAGAAATAGAAGGGTATTATTCAAGTCAATTACCATTACTTACCATTAGTTTGAGAAAAATGATGCAGATGACCTAGTCAATCAGAGGTGAAGATAGTAGATAATCAGAAGGTATGAGAAGAAATTTGTAGAATCTCATATCAGAGAATCAAATAAATGTAGGAATAATAAAACTAATTGGAGCAATGAAATTAATAAATATAATATCAACCTTATTAATAATAATAAAATTAAATTTGAATAAGAAATTAGTAGATTAAGTAATGATAAGATGCTCATTTAAGGGAACCTAGAATTTTATAATAGCAATTTGATGCTAAAACTAAAGGTTTTTATTAATTGAAAGTTGGATTTTAAGCAATAGATTTTATACACAGTCTACCATTAGGATAGAGAGTTTAAGAACTCAAAAATTAGAGATGAATAAAGATTGAAAATATTACTCGCAGAAGGAGAGAAGTTATATATATATCTTGAAGAGGCAAGGAGAAGAATTGCTTACTTAGGTTGTAATACTAAATTTAAGTATCAAATCAAAATAAGGAAATAATGGTGTATCTGATCTGAAACTTTAATTATAAATAGCTTCTTAAATGCTTTAATAAACGTATAGCGTAATTTCATTTCTAAGGAATATCAAGAACACAGAAAAGATACTTGGTTTGTTGAGAGTTATAAGGCTTAATTGGTCATTATGTAAAATATAATCTAATAATCTGATATAAGAGTTATAAAATAATTTGGAACTTCTAAAATTATTGAGAATGTTAATTATACACTACTATAACAAATATAGTGGAATATCAAAAAATTATAAAATTTTCTTAGAGATAAGGGTCATCTGAGAATGATAAGCTTAATGGCAATGTGAACAAGAAAATATAAAGAATATTTAAATAAAGTGATTTAATATTAGAATGAGAATTTGGTATTGCAATTAGTTGCGGTGAGCCAAGACTGCACTATAAGAGATATAAAGGAGAATGAAAAGTTCAAATAGTGATACTCACAACTGCTATAATAGCATTAAAAATTGCAGACTTAATAGGCTGAAACTAAACGATATTTGGATAAACTAAGATCTGTGTTGGGCAATTTTGGGAAATGATCCATAAAATATACCAGAGACATATAAATTCAATTTTTTTTTTTCATTAAGGCTTAAGTCCTTTTTAGAATGGGATGAATAGTTGCTTTGATAGAATTTGAAACATACTTTAAATGTATTTATTTAGGTTATTAAAGGCAAATACATAGAATTAGTAGTGATCAATTGAGTTAAATGTAATATCGATATGATTAGTTATAAGTTTATTATTATTTTAATATTGAGGATAATTTTAGTTTGATTAATCCCAGGGGTTGCTTCTAAGTGAAAATATATATAAAGTAATATTATTTTAAATTACTTTAAAAAAAGTTATGAAAAATGGCATAATTTTAGAATAATATGAAGACGAGGATGAATACGAAGTAAATAGTTTTGTTTGATTCAGATTCAAGAGGAAAAACAGAGGTAAGAGAGGAAGGAATACCTCAGAAGGATGTAACAATTGATTTTCGATGAAACTTATTATGACATGACCTTACAATAAAATACAGAATCTCAAATAACATATGAATATTTAATTGATTTGGATAATGAATTTTACATAGATTACACTCACTATATACCTGCCCCGAGTAGTTAGATTAAACTAAGACCAATGAACGAATTACAGTTAGCATACATTTATGTTGATGAGTAATTAGAAATTAAATTAGGTACCCTTTGTTGAAATTGAGGAGAATGTTAATGATAAAATTTTAATCGATTAGATATCTAATGAAATATTTAATAAATCTCAAAACATTCTAATTGATACTGATGGTAACCATTATTTTGAACTCTCTGTGCTTGGCATTAGAACAAGATCAATATGAGATTATCTTTATTATTTGTTATTCAGCGGAAGCTATTTTCAAGATGTTGGCATTGGTTAACATATAATAAATAATTGTAGGGTTTGTATATGAAGAGAGACGCATACTTCCGAGATTTCTGGAATGTAATTGACTTTTTAATTTTGGTATTTTAATATTTGCCTTATTTTGTGAACATAAAGTTCAATTTTAATGCCTTAAGGACAATAAGAATATTGAGATCTCTGGATGCAGGTTAGAGTATTCCTGCTTTGAAAGTAATATTGACCTCGTTATTTTAATCAGTTTATCAATTGAAGGACGCATTGATAGTTTTAGTGTTCTCATATTCAATATTTGCAATTGTGGCTCTCCTGCTATTCGGAGGAGGCTTAAAGAGAAGGTGCGTTAATTTGGAAACAGGGATTCCTAAAAATGACGAGGTGTGTTCACAATGTATTGGAGAATTTGATTGTGTTAAGTAGATAGCCAATCCTTTTAATGACTTAATCAACTTTGACACCTTTGGATGGTCACTAATATAAGTGTTTATATGCACCTTACTTGAGAGTTGGTCCTAAATATTGGATTACACAATAGCAGCATATAATGAAGCAGTTTATATATACTTCTTTATGGTGGTGATGGTAGGAGGGTTCTTCTTGGTCAATTTGACATTAGCTATAATTAAACTTAACTTTTCGAATAATCAGAAATAAATTATATCACCTATCTTAGAAGAAAGCTATGATTACTGGGAATTGAGGATCATGGGAATATATGAGCCATCTAAATTGCAAGCACAGGCAGCTATAAGAAGGAAGAGCGATGCTCAGTTTACATTTAGAGAGAGATCCTAAAGAATATAAACTAAAATCAAACATCGAACTACCAAATATCCAAGCCAAGCTTAGAGTTCTAATCTAAAAATTCATCCTATTAAATTTGCAGACAATTTCAGCTCTCCATTCACAAAACAAGACAAGAAGTTTATGGGCATCTATGGAATGGGAAAGAAGTTGCAACCAATTATTGGGGGTGTTACTCCCTCCAACCAAAACAACCATAAACTGAATATCAATTAAGAATAACGAGGATATTCCATTCTTCAAAGTCCTATTGATCAAAATATTAGTTTCTCCTATAATATCTCGCCAGATAATAAATTGGGCAATATTTTTTTTAGTCAATCCAATAGATCTCTTCTGAAAGATAATTAAATAAGACAATTATCAAGTAAATCAATTCTAAATAATAACAATAAATCTCCAAATAATCGCTCTCGAAATACTACTCCTTAAAATTAAAGAAATGACCTTAATGTTGGATCTCCAAAATCTCAATTCAGTAAATAAATTGTACGAAAAGTAAGACCTTCAATATCAGAATCTGATTAAATGCTCGTTAACGATCTCAAGATTATTGGATAACATCAATCTAAAAAAACTATCACCACACCCAAAGACACTGATGAGCAACTCTTAGACTTCTACTCTTAGGCTCATAATAATGTTTTAACCAATGAAAATTAAAGCAATGGACTCCTAACTCCAAATAATTAACTGAGCCAACTAAATCCTACCGCCTTTAATAGAACTCTTATGCAACATGGCACTTACGCCCCACGAACTTCTCAATAAATATAAATGCTTTAAGATGTGAAATAGAGATCTTTTAATGTTAAGAATAGATAACTAGAAATGGTTAAAAATGATGTGTCCATTTTGGATAAGAGTGAAAATTCTATCATCAATTCTATACCTAGTGAAATAGTTGAATAAGAATTAATGGATTTAGGCATCTTGGATTTTAATTTAATGAAAAAATCAAAATCTGAAATGCCAGTGAATCCATTTTCTAAAATTAATTTTGTTCGCAGGAAGAAACCTCGCTTCACAAGGAAAACTATGAAGAAATCAACTTATTTAAGTAAGACATTCAATTCAGCAAATGATGATAGATATCAACAATTAAAAATCAAATTATTTAAAACTAAATTCCATAAAGAAGTTTCATTTTAGCCTTACAATTCAAATTCAGAATTAGATGTATTAGAAGTTTAACAGATGAATAAAATACAATAGAACATTAAGAACAATGAAGAAATTAATAGAAAAATCAGGAAGTAAGTTAAATACGTATTTTCTAATTAACAAACTCAATTTTTTTAAGACAGATCTTCCTCAAAAATACATCCATCAACTGTTCAAATAAAAAGTACAACTGCAAAACGCTCCTAAAAGTAAGTTAAATTCTAAGACTAGGAGGAACAACAATAATATAAAAAAATGATTTAACATGAACAAAAGCTAACATTTTAAGAAGCTTAATTATTAATCAGAAAAGAAGTCCAGGCTGTGGATTTAGAATAATATGGCTAAGTTGAAATATAATATGATCTCAAAGAACAATTACGTTATCTTAACTATGATCAAATTACAATCACTACCAGCACTAATTATTAAGAATATGTAAAATTAATGGTATATCTATTATTTCGATTATTTACTAGTCTGAAGCCAGTTCGTAACAAGAAATAGTATAGCAATCTTCAATTGAAGACGTTCTACTTATGAGTGATTATATAGATTCATAAACAGTTGCATTAATGAATAAAATAATGCAAGCATTAAATTATACTCTAAATATTTATGAAATCTGGTTACCAGGAGTCTCTGGTATTATTAAGGTGATTAGAGTTAAATTACTAAATCTAATTTAGAGTGAATATTTTAATCGATCAATTAATTTGTGTGTTGCATTCAATACTATTGTATTAGCTTTAGACGGGTTGGTTACCAATGATAATTTACTCTCTAATTTTAACTTGGCATTCACCATTATCTTTATAATTGAACTTGGATTGAAATTGATAGGATTAGGAATTAAATAGTACCTTAAGGATAAATTTAATATTTTTGATGCCTTTATTGTTGGAATCAGTTTATATGAGGTAATTATCAATTAAGAGGGTGGAGGAAAATCTGGATTTAGTGCATTGAGATCGTTACGAATCTTTAGAGCTTTGAGGGTGTTGAGAATTTCTAAGTTAATCAGATCCCTCAAGTTTATGGGATTTTTATTAAAAGTATTGGGTAATGCTTTTGAATAAATACTATGGATGTTCATCTTGATGCTTTTCTTCCTTTATACATTCACTATTTTAGGGTTTTCATTATTTTAAGGATAGATTTCAGATTAAGATTATAGATATACCTTTAATTCATTTATTATTTCATTTGAGACTGTCTTTTAGTTATTTACTATTTCAAATTGGAGTGATGTACTTTATTCTTTATTCTTGTCTGATGCTAACAACATTGTTGTATTTCTATATTTAGTTATATGGATTGCAATAGGCAACTATGTTTTTTTAAACCTATTTCTGGCAGTGCTATTGGATAATTTCGAGGCTGAGTATAGAAGAGATAAAGACTAAATAGATAATAATATAATTATTGGCAGAGATTAGATCTTTGAATCTGCAATATCTTCGAAACCTCAAGCCAGTAGAAAGTCTAGTAAATCATCAATACAAGATGATGTTGAAGAGTATTAGAAATTATAAACTCAACGTTTTATATACTTTTCAGAGAAAGGTATAGGAGAGTATGCTTTAATGGTATTCTCTTAGGAAAGTACTTTCAGAAAACTGTGCTATAGGGCTGTGAAGGATAAAATATTTGATTTATTTATTCTGATTTTGATTTTAATTTCAAGTGCTAAACTCATTTTGGATACTTATACTTTAGGTGATTCTTATGATATTGTATCTTATTGGTTAGATTTTTCAATGGTTATTTTATTTGGTTCAGAAGCAGTTTTAAAAATAATTGCATTTGGATTTATTGGAGATGAGCTTAGTTATTTACGTAATTCTTGGAATGCTCTTGATTTCATCATTTTAATAGGATCAATAGTAGACATCAGTGTGGCAGCCATAGATTTAAGTTATTTAAAGATACTGAGATTGTTTAGAACATTGAGGCCATTAAGATTTGTATCTCATAATCGATCAATGAAGATTATTGTATCAGCACTATTACAATCTGCAGATGGCATTCTAAATGTTGCAATAGTCATAATACTTGTTTGGATGATGTTTGCCATAATTGGAATTAATTTTGCCAAAGGGAAGCTGTATTATTGTGATATGGGGGATGGAGTAATGCATTATGTCACTAAAGAATAAGTAAATAAGAATGTAATTATATTAGTGTGAGGGAGCATGGAGAATATATGATAGTAATTTTGAGAACATCTTTTCAGGGATGTTAACTTTGTTTTGTTTGAGCACTTTATTGGACTGGCCAGATCAATTATTGTATTTTAAGGATGGAACTGAAAATGGTTTAGTGAAGGATAGTTCCCCTGAATTTTTTTTATTCTTCTTGACTTTTATCCTGATTGGGTCGATTCTCCTTAACAATTTATTTATCGGAGTTATTTTAGTTAATTTTCACATTGCTGAAGAAAAAGCCAGAGATTCTTCTCTTACTCAGGATTAGATTTAATGGATTGACACTCAAAAGTTGATCATTGAGTCCAAACCTGATTTAAGTTTGTACTATATGCCAAAGAACAAGATCCAAGCATTTTTCTTCAAGATTGTAAAAGCCAAAAAATTTGATGTAATAATTTCAGTATTCATCATCATTAATATTGTTGTAACTGGAATGTATATGGATGGTAATTTATATTATTATTAATAGATGCTAATCTTGAGTATCTATATGCAATTGATTAAATTAATTTCGCAATATCAATCATTTTTTGTTTAGAAGCAACTCTTAAGATACTTACATTTGGTCCATTAGCCTATTTTAAAGTAAATTGGAATTAATTTGATTTTGTTATTGTAGTTATATCCATTATTGATTATGTAACAAATGAAAGTGGGTTATCTATAGGAAAAGGGTTTAGAATTTTAAGAGCTATAAGATTATTAAGATTAGTCAAATAATTTAAGGGGCTCAAGAAACTAATAGATACTGCAGTATTTTCAATTCCTGCAATCATCAATGCAGCTGCTTTATATTTCTTGATCCATTCAATTTTTTCAGTTTTGGGAGTGTTTTTGTTTTCAGATATTAGGAGTGGGAAAATCATATCTGATACTAACAACTTCTCAGATTTTCATCATTCATTCATATTGTTGTTCCTTTCTTAAACAGGATTGGATTGGAATAGGATTATGTATGATACAATGAATAATGGTTCAAATTTTAATGCTTTATTTTGGGTTGTGTTCATTTTGATTTAAAATTTTGTTATGCTTAATCTTTTTATCCTTATTGTATTAGATTAATATGACATAAATTATTTTCATGAAGACAACCCACTCAATAGATTTGATGAGTACCAAAACAAAATGCTTGATGTTTGGACTCGATTTAGTTCTGATGGAGCAATAATTAGTTAGAATAAATTGACTGATCTGGTTCTTTAATTACCAAAACCATTGGGTTTAGACATCAACAAATCCATGCAAAAGGGCGTAGAGGATTGGAAAAACATCAATCCATAACATACCTAAGAAGAAATTAATTAACTTAAATTTAATATACAGGCAGATTTGATAAGGAATACACTATTCAAAATTATGGATATGCAACTCAAATGCGATACTTAGGGCAATATTCCTTATAATTTGGTCTTGTTTGCTGTTATAAAGGAGGCTTATTTAGAAAAACTTGAAATTAATTTAACTGAAGAAGGAGGAAGAAAACTTATGATGAAAGAAATGGAAACAAGATCAGAAATCGAAGAAGATTATGGAGTTGATTTAGATTAAGATGTGAATCCTTTGGTTTCTTATTTGTATGCCTAAACATGTTTTAGGGCAATGTAGAGATTTGTTGAAATTTCTAAAAATAAATTGATTGATAATGGAATTTCATTTTTAGCAAAAACTGATTCATCTCTAGATTTTGAAGAGTATTTAGACAATGATTTATCAAAAGATGAGTATGAAAAACCCGATTATGAAGAAGTTTATTTTGTTGAAATTCCTGTAAATAATAAAATTTATAATGGTGAATAATACAAAGTGCAAATTGCACAAGAAGAATAAAGCAGAGATGAAATTTCAAGTAAACAAGTAATAGATGATTAAAACGATGCCGAAGAAGTAGAAGATTACAAATTATAAATAATTGATTTTAATAAGTATTTAGGAGATTGATATTGTAATTTTTAAATTTGTTTTATATATATTATGTCAAAAGAAATCAAAGTAACTGCAGGTGTTAAAAAGCGATTAACTGCTTTGGAAGACCAAGAAATCTCCGTCCAGAACTAGGATTCCTTTAGTGACGATGGGGTAATTATTCAACAGCATGTAATCTATATAGAAATATGGGGAATATGTGAAAAAGCAGAATCGCGAAATTTTAAAAAAAATAAAGGAACTTATACACGATGGGTAGTCCACTACAAACCAATAAGAAGAATAGAGTTTTGCTATAGCAAATGATAATCACAAGCAGGACCTTCTAGAAGACCTTGAAGAAGAATTCGGATAATCTTATTAAGAAAGCAAAGTCAAAATAAATACATATGTCAAATTAATTCCAAAGAATGAGTTGCAACTTGCTTACATTTACAATGACAAGTATAACAAAAATCTATGAATTTTAGGTACCCATTCTTAGTCATACGTAAAAAAATATTAATTTCTACAAAACTTGTGTCATTTTATGCATAATTGGTAACTACACATCCCATTTTTGAAGTGATCACTCTCATAATGATTGTGTTTAATTCAGTCATGTTAGCCATAGACGATCCCACAACAAACGTCTAAACCCCATTCTAAAACTTAACTGACCTTATTTTTCTAGCATATTATACTTTTGAGGCTGTTCTAAAGATCGTTGCATAGGTAATTATAAATTACTTATATTCAGGGGTTCATCATTCCCAAAAAGTCTTACTTAAGAGACACTTGGAATATACTAGACTTTTCTGTTATCGTAACAGCATATATTCCATACTTTTTAGCCTCGAATTCTGTCAATTTAAATGCACTCCGTTCGTTTAGAGTGCTCAGACCTTTGCGAACTGTGTCATCAATTAAAGCTCTCAGAACAATCTTATTGGCTCTGTTTGCATCAATTGCTTAATTAAGAGATGCTGCAGTGGTATTGATGTTTTTTTATTCAATTTTTGCAATTGCAGGAGTGCAATTATTCTCAGGATATTTAAAACGAAGATGTATAGGTGAAGAAAGTGGTATAACTTGGGTTTCAGAAGAAATATTATTTTGTGCAGATGATAATAATTGTCCTTTTCCTGAACAAACAATTTACAATGAAAATTTCATTTGTGGTAAACAAATTGCAAATCCATAAAATAATTTGATTAATTTTGATACATTTGGTTACGCCTTCTTATAAGTGTTTATAATAACAACTTTAGAAGGATGGACTTAAATTTAGACAGCTGTGATGTTAACATTCTCGTAATTTGTTGTACTTTATTTCATAATTGTGGTTCTAGTTGGAGCATTCTTTTTAGTTAACTTAACTCTTGCAATCATCAAATTAAATTTTAAACCTGAAAAAATTTAAGAAGAATTAGCATAGATAAAAGAGGAAATAGAAGAATACGATTACAAATAATTAAAATAATTAAAATTATATGTTCCTGAAAGAGAAAAAGTAGATACCACTGGATTTGGTATCACTTGGGATAGACCCAATGATTTCGACTAAAATATTATAATGAATCGCCGTAAACATACAAGAAAAGGGGGTTCATAAATGAACATTATCAAAAATACTTATCAAAGAAGATTTAAAGGGAAGAATAAGGTTCATTTTGAACCAATCAAGTCAGCTATTTATTATAGTAATCCTGTTATGCTAAATAAAAAGTATGTAAAAATTGAAGGTATCTATGGGATGGGCAATCAAACTAAATTAAACTAATAATAATAGATTACATCAAATGTTTAAAGTAGCATTGCTGCTAAGAGATTCAGTGGAGTCAGAAGAAGCAGTCAATCAAGCAATAATGATGATAAAACTTCTTCAAATAAGATGTTTGATAATGAAAGTGGAAGTGGCAACAAATAACCTAAAAAGAGTCTCTAGTTATGTGATTAACAATTAAGTTCAGAGTTCATGAACTCTCCAATGATAGATCTTCAATCTGAAAATATCAGACCATTGAATGGAGGAACAATGTTGGTGCATCGCGGAGAATCAATTGATAGCAGTAGAAGTGGAGAATCAAAATTAGACAGGACTCCAGTAAATAACAAATTAGAAATTCCTAAAATAGGAGAAAGTAATCAATATTATATAAGTTTAGTTAAATAATAATCCTAAAACATAAAGCCAAATCAAAAATTCAGTTTGGCTGCTGCCATGAAATTCTAGAAATAACCTCGTAACAGTCCTAAACCAGATTCATAAAAATCACTTGATGATCATGAATTTGATAGTGTTAATTTAAGTGAATTGAATAGTCTTTCAGACGATGAACTAGATTAGAGATTAGAAGAGATGGATATCGAAATAGAAGAAAAGATTACAAATGTTAACAGTGTAAATTAGAAATAGATTTAGAAAGAATTAAATAGACAAAGAAAAATGGAAAATAGAAGACTCAGAGATTTAAATAAGAATGCTTAATAGCATTTAGATGAAACATCGCTTAAATTAAAATCCAAATTATTTGATACTAAATTTTATCCAATAATTGTTGTAGATGCTGAATTTAACAGTGTCAATGATATACTGATTTCACAAATGTTATAAAAATTAGAATAGAAGAGATTAGAATAAGAAAAGAAAATAAAGGAATTAGATTTTAAAGTTACTTTTTGCTTTAAGAATTCTAAATAATCATTAGAATTAAAGAAAACAAGCAATGGGAAATCAAAAAGCTTAACAAAATCAGCATATCTTAAGTCTGGAAATAAATCCAAAAAAACAAACCTAAGTTTAAGAAGAGTTCAACCAATATTTGATGAAATACATCCGTATGAAGATTATTAATTGCCTACAGATAAAATTGGAGAAGGATAAGAAGAGTAGAATCAAGAAAATCAAAATGGAAATTCAGAATCAGAAGAAGAAAATGAGAATAATGTTGATAGAGATTAAAATAATGTAAATGGAAGTGCCAATTAAAAATTAAATTAGAAGAAAAGAAAGAAGAAGGACGAATAAAACTAAAAATTAGATTATGATCAAATAGGAGAAAAATTTAATGAAAGTTCTGATTGCATAGTCGATCTTAATAGAATACGATAAGTGGAGTTGAATAAATAATTTGATTAAGACGAGCTGGCATTGCTTCCACCTTTAGAAATAGAATTACAAAAAGGTGTTTTCTATTAAGAATTTGTTGATATTAAATAAAAAGACATTCATGAAAGCAAGGGAATAATTACAGCATAGGCTTCGATTGAGGATGTATTATTAATAGCAGATTACACATTTTATGATTAAAAATTTGCAAGGCAAATGAATTCTGTTATGAAAGCTCTTAATTACTCAAAAAGAGAGACCTATATTTATTTAAAAGGTTTCCTTGGACTCTTGTTAGTTTTATAAAACTAATTGTTGTATTTAGTATAATCTGGATATTTTGAGGCTTTAATGAATCTGTCAGTTGCATTAAATACTGTAATTTTGGCACTTGATGGATTATTGCCTGATAGTACTTCAGAAATAACGAACTAATTTAATTTTGGATTCACTATATTGTTTACAATAGAGTTAGGATTGAAAATGTTTGGAATGGGTCCAAGAAAGTACTTGAGAGATACGATGAATATCTTTGATGCTGTTATCGTGGCTCTTAGTTTAGTTGAGTTGTTCTTTTTGGGAGGAAGCACAAATGGGAAATCTTCATTATCAGCCTTTAGATCAGTAAGAATCTTTAGAGCTTTCAGAGTTTTGAGAGTAACTAAATTAATGAGAAGTTTACAATTTATGGGATTTTTGATAAAGGTTTTAAGTAATGCATTTTAATCCTTTATGTATATAATGATTCTATTGTTACTCTTTATTTTTATTTTCACACTTTTGGGTATGGCATTTTTTGGTGGATAATTATCGAAGACTCCAAGTAGACAAAGTTATGATGATATTTAGAGTGCATTTTTGGTTGTGTTTTAGGTGCTTACTTTAGAGAATTGGAATAGTATTCTTTGGGATTTACTGGTATAAGATGTTTCAGCTTTCATCACTATTCCTTATTTGGTATTTTGGATAATGATTGGAAATTATGTGTTCCTGAATTTATTTTTGGCTATTTTATTAGAAAATTTTGAGGAAGAATACAAGAATGATAAGGCAGGGTTGGATACTAACATTGAGATTGGAAAGGATTCAGTAATGGATAACACTACTTAAGCTGTAAATTCAACGAGTACTTTGAAATCAACAATGAAGACCAAGAAACATACAATTGCATAGTAATTAGAAAACAATGAAGATGATCATAATTAGAAAAAGCATAATTAAATAAATCAAGCATTTTAATATTTTGTTGAACCTGGAATGTGTTAATATTCATTATACTTATTCAGCTAATAAAACATTGTCAGAAAAATATGTTATAGGATTGTTAAGGATGATAAATTTGAAACACTAATTTTTACTATGATATTCTTAACATCAGCCAAGTTGGTGTTTGATACTTATATTCCAGATACTGGTTAATTAAAGGAAGTATCTTTGGATATAGACATATTCTTTGCTGCATTTTTTGGAGTAGAAATGTGTACTAAAATAATAGCATTCGGTTTCATATCCTAAGAAAGTTCATATTTGAGAGAATCATGGAATGTGTTAGATTTCTTCATTGTAATTGCTTCATTCATTGATGTCAGTGTTTCAACCATTAATTTGAGTTTTGTGAAGATTTTGAGATTGTTGAGAACGTTACGTCCACTAAGATTTATAACTCACAATAGATCAATGAAAATATTGGTATCAGCATTATTATAATCCATAAATGGTATTTTCAATGTGGCAATAGTTGTGATTTTGGTATGGATGATGTTTGCAATTTTGGGTATTAATTTGGAGAAGAATAAAATGAGTTTTTGTAATATGGGTGATGATGAAATATATTATCATTATGGAGTTTAGGAATGTAAAGAGAATGGGGGTGTTTGGGAAAACAGAAAGACAAACTTTGATAACATTTTGAATGGAATGTTAACCTTATTCATATTGTCAACTTTGGAAGGATGGCCAGATATGATGTATTGGTTTATAGATGCAGATGAATCAGGCCCAATAAAAGAAGCATAATTGTAGTTTTCATGGTATTTCATTGTGTTTATCTTATTTGGATCAATATTGTTAATGAATCTCTTCATTGGTGTGATATTGGTCAATTATCATTTGGCTGAGGAAGCCTCAAGAGATAAGATCTTAACTTAACCATAAGTTGATTGGATTGAACTCTAAAAATTGATTGTTCATTCAAGTCCAAATCTAGCTATGTTTTTTAGTCCTGAGAATCCTTTCAGAGCGAAGATCTTTACTATCATAAAACACAGGTATTTTGATCCCACTATACTGATGATTATTGTGCTCAATATTATCATCATGGGTTTATCCTAGGATGATTCGCCAGTCCTCTATGATTAAGTGTTAACATAATTTAATACTGCCTTCACTTTTGTTTTTATAGGTGAAGCTATTCTTAAAATAATTGCTTTGGGACCAGTAGGTTACATGAGAAATTCATGGAATCAATTTGATTTTTTTGTGGTTTGTGCATCCATCCTGGATTTAATCCTTTCCTTTACTGGAAATTCTTTTATTTCATTTCTTAGTGCAGGACCCCAATTGGCTAGAGTTTTTAGAGTACTTAGAGTAACTAGACTCTTTAGATTAATCAAATCTTTTGAAGGATTGTAAAAATTGATAGAAACAGCAATATACTCATTGCCTGCTATGTTAAATGTGACAGCTTTGTTATTTTTGGTTTTCTTTATATTTTCCATTTTGGGGGTGTTTCTGTTTGGAACTATAAAAAGTGGATGGGTCATTGATGATACTAATAACTTTTCAGATTTTCACCATTCTATTGAATTACTATTTAGATGTGCAACTGGTGAAGATTGGTACAAAGTGATGTTTGACACAATGCAAGATGGCCAAGGATATTATTGTATTTTCTTTATAATTTTCATTGTCATCTAATAATATATTATGTTGAATCTTTTTATTCTCATAATTTTGGATCAATACGAAATTAACTATTTTAATAGTGATAATCCATTGAATAAGTTTTAAGAATATGAAAATATGTTCATTGAATCCTGGTCTAAATTTGCTAAGGAAGACAAAGGTATGAAAATGCATTAATAATTGCTTGTTCCTCTCATGTTACAGATGGAAAAACCAATAGGCTACGATTTAAAATAAAAGATATAGAATGAAATTGCTGAATGGAAACGAATTAACCCACAATTAGACAATAAAGAAACTGTTCAAAAATACACTTTGTAGTTGAAGGCCCAAGCCAAGAGAATAGTATCAACTTAGTTAATGAAAATGAATATCTATTCTGATAATAATGGGCATGTCAAATATCATTAGATTTTATTTTGCGTTATGAAATCCTATATGTGGAAGAAGGTTCAAGTTAACTTAAGTCCTGAAGGAGCTGAAAAAATTCTACTCAAAGAGGAAGAAACCCAAAAAAGATTGAAAAAGAAATAAGTTTAATAATCAAAAGAGGTGTCTCTTGTTAATCCAATTGTTCAATTTTTATTTGTTCACATGGCCTTCAAAACACTTAAAAGATATGGAGAAAAGAAGAAATAACAAAAAGAATTATAATAATTGATAGAATAGGAATAAGAACATTACAGTGGCGGATTCAGTTCTGATTCTTCTTTTGACAACAAAATTGAAATCCTTTCCAGAAATTCAAAGGATACAGAATATCCAAGACGACCAGATTATGGGAAACCCAAATTTATATCTTTACCAAACACTGAAATTTACAAGGAAGATGAGTATATAAATAAGGGAATACCAGTGTAGAATGATTCTAATCGAAATTCAGAGGAGGAAGAGGAGAATCCTGATGAAGATGGTAAGATTTGATTATCATTTTAAGTTATGTAATAATATACGAAGGACTTTCAAAAACATTTGATACACAATGTAGGAAGCAATGGAAACATTCAAGATGATAGAAGTGGGGGCGGTGCAACTAAAAGTAGTTTATCAAGACAAAGCCAAATTAACAGATAACAAAAAAAGTTGACTCTAAAACCAAATGATTTGCTCTCAGGGATGAGCAAGAAATCTATCTAATCGATTTCTTAAACCAATAACTTAAATGCTATTTATGACAATCCACTATAATGAATACAGGTAATGTGAACAGAAATTATATATGAATAATTTTATTATAATATAAATTCATAGAAACTCAAATATCCCATTTATTCTTTAAATTAAATATCTTAAGCATGTTTAGAAAAGTGTTTGGAAATTCTATGAGACATAATCCGACTCGTTTACGATACTTGAGAGAGTATGTATGTTTAAGAGAGGCTGCAAATCCATCTGCTTAATAAGCTCAAATTGCCCAATTCTAGTAAGTGGCAAATAAATATGGATTGACTACATCTCAATTGACATCACTCTCTGGTATTTACCAACTGAGTTAATTGCTTCGACCTTAAAATTTCCCAAACCCCAATGATTATAAGGTTTTATCAATTTATATTTCTATAGGTTCACGTTGAGAAATTGGAGTTACTATTCAGATAAAAACAATAGAGCAGCGAAAACCTAGAGCATTTCGCCTAAAGTCTCTAATACAGAATCCCAGAAATCAGCAAACTTACAAATGAAGCTAGAAAATAAGCAGCTCAAGATCTGTTTAGCATTTATTTGGAAGGAATTCATTATGATAATTTAGTCTCACCGTAGAGATTATATAATATTTTAGAGGCTATGTCTAACAATTAGAATCAATATTCAGATAACGAACTACTGCAGTCATAAATACAATAAAAGCAGAGGTGAAAGATCCACAATTGGCTGCTTAATTAGCACAATCACTTGAATCAATCTTCCAAAACTATTAATTCAATCAAGGAAGGTACTTTTAGCATTTAATTAATAGATATGTGGGTTTGATCAAATCATTTATTGAATCAAATCAAGAAACCGAGGTTTAGGTGAGTCAGAAGGTGGATCAATAAGCATAAGAGAAATAACTCTTCATTCAAACTGTTGACAAAGCAACAAAGCAATTTTCAGCTGAAGATCAAGAATATGCTAGAAATGTGGATGGACATGATTTCAAATTGTTCTTGTAGGAATTGTATGAGAAGGAATACTAATCAGGATTTGCTTAGAATAGATTCAATGAGAAGGGATAGAAATTGGTCTATGAATCATAAGCACAAGAACATCATGTTTTGAGATATTAAATATTGGCAGGAGTCTTTGCAGGTTATTTCCTTTATCTATTTTACAGAGGTGATGCATACTATTCCACAATATTGACAGTGCCTGCTGTTGCTGCAGCCTTCTTTTATTTAGCAAAATAAGGACAAGTATCTATTGTAGTATGAACAATTAAGGCAAAACGAGCAATTCCTTTCATCAGACAAGTCCTCAAAAACACTGACAATACTTATGAAGTGGTCTTTGAATAGAACCGTATCATAAGCAGAATTGAGAATGTTCAAGCTGCACAAATTAAGTAAGTAAGTGTATTATGAAAAGATTGGCTCAAGACAGTGTCTTTTCAAATACTTTGGTATTGGGAAATCCTACAGACTTCGGATATCACATCAGAGTAGCCGATAATTCATTTATCGCCCCATACTTGTATAGTGGCAATGGCTTAGACTTCAGAACATTCATTAATATTTGATTCAATATAATAATAAAAATAAAACAAGACTTTCATCCATCTTAAGATTATACTTAATTATCGATCCCATACAAGTCAATTTTATCCTGATCTTCCAACTCATCCCTATCTAAGCAATTAAATGCAAATCCAGTATGTGCTTTGTTGTTTAATTTTCCACCGATCTTTGGAGGTTAATGAATCGACAGATTGTTCAATGAGAATGGTGTTTTTATTGACATGTTTTGATTCACCTTCTATAGCACTCTATTAAGTTTAATGTTTAAAGCAATGTCAATACTACAAATTGCAGCAATGACTAAAATATTACCGAAATGGAAATTTGGAGTTTGAAATAATCTAATTATTTAATGAATATTTTTACGATTGAAAAACTACATATGCTTCAGCTTATGGTATATTGTCAAGAATGATCCAAGAAATTAAATATGAAATCATACTAAAGGATATGCTACCCTTAAATCATAAAATGATTAATTACTAGTAATGCTGGAGTATAGGTGTTAGAAAACAATAAGACCTTCAAATTACAAATCACGACAATCAATCCAAATATCATAGTTCCTTAGGCCCATAAATGATGAGTAAATCCGCTGTCCTCAACAAAATTCTCAGATATTGAATATGTTGCAAAGAAACACAAAATTGCAGTCTACCAAAATCCACAAAACACCCAAAAAAGAACTATTTATATATTAAATAGCACTCCCTGAGGACCCTACTAATAATAGTTTTACAATTTATTATCCGTCAATTAATCAGCATCATACTCCTCATCAAATATTCCATATATCATAATTGGCAAGGCTCCATACAAAATATTAAATAATTAATAAATGAAAGTATCATACAACGATTAAGCTGAGTACATTGAGAGAATGCCATACCAAAATTACGGTAAAACCACCAATATGTTTTTATAAAATGTGTAACAAACCAAAACACTGTTCCTGCGATAACATTCCCTCCCATGAAAAAATAATAGTCTTCTCAATTCTCTGAACTCCTATACACTGTAATCAGCTGCTCTTGCTGCCTATTGTCCTTCAACACCTCTAATCCCAACTCCAACATGAGCAGCTGTTATCATATTTACATCATTCGCACCATCTCCTATGGCTAAAGTTGAGCATTATTGATTTCTCCCTCTAATCAAAGAAACAACATCTTATTTTTATTTTGGACTCACTCTACAACATAACACAACCTCGCAAAAACCACACACTTCTGCAACCTTCTTTTAGATATCAGGCTTCAATGCATGTAACAAGGCATCACCTGAAATAATTAAAGCCTGTCCTTATGTAGTTTGAAGAGTAGGAATCTTATTTAATATATCATCCAATCTCTCATTAATTAACAATTCTTCCTTCTCATCCACTATATGTTGTACTAAATTATTCGTTAATAATGAACAAGAGTATCCAATATTAATAGCTGTTTCAATTTTATCTCCTGTCAACACCCAAACCTTAATTCCAGCTGCTTTGACTGCTGCAATTGTATCTGCCACATCTTATTATAATTTGTCTTCAATAGCAGTGGCTCCCAAAATTTCGTAATTCTTCTCCAATTCATCTTAAAGCACTTGCATTTTCTCCTCTCGATTTTCAATTTACTATGTTGCTTATTAATAACGTTTATGCCACTCCTCATATTCCTACTTACTTAGTTTTCTTTTCGATAGGACCAATGTTCTTAATCCTATCTTACCATACTCTTGTAATCTCTACACTAATTGATGATACTCATTCTTATTCAATTCTTCTCTTGATAATCTCACTTAATCCAATAATACAGAATCTGCCCCTTTTGAAAATAGGTAGATTTCTCCAGTATTTATGACCTAGACTAAAATTGATTGTCTTTTTCTGGCAGATGTGAATTCGAACATCTCCAATAATTGATATTCAATTATTTATTCTTAGTAACTTATTCTCTTGATATTGTTTTCATCTGTTCCTAAAAATTCAAATCCCACAAATCTAGCAAAATTCAATAATGCCAACTCATCTGGTGAAGTCGCATTATATATCAACTTACCATCTTTCTAATCACTAATAACAGTGTGACAAATGGCAATCATCTTCAAACACTCCTCAACTTTGTCATGCATCACATGAGATTTGTCATTAATGGCCTAGATCAAAGTCTTGTCTCTAAAATCCACATTACTGACTTGAGGATAATTAAGCAATTCATCATCTCTTATGTAATCATCTGAAGACCTCAGTATGTCCCCATAATTTTGATTGCCTCTACTTTAAATTCATAAATATACATTATTATTTGTTTAAACTCCATTATATTACATGTTAAAGTACCAGTTTTGTCACTGAAGATATGTTCAATTTGACCAAGCTCCTCATTTAAGTTAGAGGTTTAGACTCTTGGCTAATTTAGCTTCTCATCTAAGGTCATAAGTTTACCTTGAATAAATTTAACCATCTCCAGAGTAACTAATAAAGAAATAGGCACAAAATTATTGAATATGAGCATCCAATTACCAAATCTAACAAAAAAGTTATATGGAATAGTGTATTCGGATGAATTGACTCCGATGTATAAGTAATTCAGATATTTTCGATTATTGTAATATGTAATTGAATAGACAAGAGATGCTATGATGCACATGATAAATTGAGTTATAAATATGATTAAAATAAACTTTTGCATCTTGAGTTCCAATTTACTTCGTTTCGTTCTGGCCTTATACGAATTCATCATAATCTTTGTATCATGACCAGTATAAGCAACCAGGCCAAAAACATATTTCACATTTCTCAAGTTACATCCTCTCAATAAAAAATTATTAAAATTTATTGACGAAACCTATAGATTAGAAGTAGTCGTTTCTCCAATGAACTTATACAGATATGGAGTTGGTGCTTAATATTTTAAGATAATCCTCTTATCCAATTGACCAAAACAGTCATCCGATTTAAAAGTCTAGAGATGATCTACATGAACATTCTTTTATTTTAGATTAGTTTCACCATCTAAAGATTTAGTCTCCACATAGCAAATCCCCTTTCTCTCGCTAGATCTCAATAAGATCATGTCTGCTGGGATTATTTCATCCTAATTCACTTTTACAATATGACCCACTCTCAATTCATATGAAGGGATCTTCACAAAATCTTTACCATCAAATGCAGTCACCTACTGTTTGTTCTCCTCATTATCAGAAGTTCTTCTTTTGTAGTCTTCGTAGAAATCTTTTGCTCCACTTACCAAAATGATGAAACCCAAAGGCAAATAAATTGTTGGAATTCCGGAACTTATTGAAACCTCTGGAACCATTTATAATGCACCCATTAACTAATTTGATACTTATTGTAACATACCACGAAATAGACATTTGCCAACTTCGAAAATTACTCAAATAACTATTTTGGAAAAAAGTTCAATAATGTATATTTGGAAGTTTAGATGCTATTATTAGGCAATTGATAATCAGGCCTATTAGATGTAATTTTCCTATTTTTTGATTGATATTTTTAAGCGTAGTTTCCCTTCTTTTCAATGTTATCGTATTAGTAATCTCAGATTAATTCAATGAATTATTACCAAACAAATTTCTGGAATCTCTGTCCTCTGCACTACTTAAGACATGAGCTGCCTGTAACTCAATTTGTACATTCTTTGTTTCAGTCATATTTACTCTAAAACTAGTTAATCAAATAATAATTATATATATATTGATATGATCCCTAATAAATAATTGATTGTTAAAAATAAAATATTTCTTTGAGTATATTATGAAATAAATTTCAATTTTGTTTTGCTTCTGGTAGTTCCGTTTCCTTTATATCAAAGCTCTCATTATAAGGAGCAGTAGCATCAGCGATCTTCTTTCTCCAAATTAAGTATTTTATCTTGTGGCCCCACTTCTTCATTAAGTAGTACAGAAGAACAGCCAACCAAATGCCAGCCACAGCCAAAACATACAAGGTAAGAGTGTAATAAGCATATGTATTGTAATTTCCTGCCAACTAATAAAATTACACGCAAATCTTACTTCCGTCGTTGTAAAAGTGAATGAATGAGATACATTGCATAAAGTATATTGATAATTAAGGTTCTTTTCCTTCTCCTTTTCTGCACAGCTGGTTGAATTAATCTTCACATAAAACTACCTCACTCCAGGATCCTTGTATTTGCATTCTATCTTCGGCATGTTCATAATTATGTTAATCATTTAGAATTCATATTTGCTAATTGCTGCAAAGATTCTTTGATTAGTGAACTCTTCTCCTTCAAATTCAAATTCTTTTACCTTTACCAAATTTGGTTAATAGAATGTTGTATGAGAAACTAAATTTTCGTTTAAGAAACCTATTTTAAATTATATCAATATACCTTAATAAATTGAATGATAAATAATCTTATGACCATCATCCCCAATCAATACAGCGTAATACTAAAAGACATTTACATCATTAATTGTCATTTCATCAAAAAAGTAGTTATTAATGTAATAATCGTAAGTCACTTAATTAACAAAGACCTCTATTGCAAAATCTTATTTATTGATTGTTTTTGCTACAATAAAAAATGTATTATCATAAAAATCAAAACTATGAGCATGTGAAATAGTGATTGTGAATTTATAAACAAGCTCCATAAGATTTTTAATCCAATAAAATTTTAATCCTCTCTCAATATCTAATACATATAATTGATCTTCTCCATTACTATTGACATCAACTATTTAACTATCAATTCCCAAATAATCTGCTGAGATATCCATTAACAATTCTAAATTCCCATTGTTTATTTTGTAGATATCCACACCCTCATATCCACACGCCACAAAAATTAATTAATGCTTTTCATTATAATGAACATTATAGATTTTATCCCTTTTCTTGATTTCATTTTCAACCTTAAATTCTATCTCTAACTTTGAATTACCCTCAAAGCTCAAACCTCCATTTGTTGTAAATATAAATATTTTATTTGATTTCTTGTCACTAACTAAATAAGGATGATAATCAGTGTTGTCCTCATCATAATTAAGCATATTCGCAAAGGAAGTTTAAATTGGGCTAAGGAACAATTAGAATAGCCCTTAATTCAAATCCACCTATATAATCTTGAAATCATTTCTAACAACATAAGCCTTCCTAAATTTCTCAGCCAAGGCAACATCAGTACAGTATATATCTCTTGTTAATCCGCTTTTGTCAAGCCAAAGCTTTAACTTCATGCTGATCTCAATATTCCTCTAAATGGAATAGCAACCGTCTTCTTCCAAAAGATCCTCCTCTACTTTCTCAAAGTCTCCTAAATTAATGCTCTTATTGCTAATCTCTCCCTTTACTCTTTGATGCAAGTCTATTGCGAAGACTCCCGGATAACTAAAATTATATGGATTGTATAGATTACGCTCCATAAGGTATTTCAATAATCTCAGAAGCCTGTCTATAAAAATCATTCGATGTAAACGTCTCTTCTACTACCTTCACTTGTGGATTGATGATTCTGTTACTCAAAGTCAACGTAAAGAGAATTTATATCAAAACTATGATCATTACTATATAATAAAATATAATTAAATTAATTCTCTATAATTTGTATTAAGGACTATAATTTATACTATATTTTTACAGTTCAAGATGAACTCAAACTATATCTATTAAAAACATAATCACAATTTTATAACTATATATTTGAACTTGAATCTATTTTGAAGATGAGGAGAGCTAATAACCTATTTTTAGAGAATAAGAAGACCTAAGTGTTAATTGAACATCCCAATTTTGTATTTTTATATCATTGTTTCTCATTATTTTAATTTGAAATATCAAAAATTCAGAAATCATCAGTCAAAAATAAGTAATAAATTAGATCATAATATCAATTATATTTTCATACATGTGTTATATAAATAGAAAATTCATTTACTATAACAAAACCTCACCGCTTCCATTAATAAAAAGGAACTATGGTAAGATGGCTTAGTTCCCTACTCCATAATTAAGTAAAAAATAAAACTAATTTGAGTTAAAATTATATATATAATTAATATTAACAAAATTGTATATGCTATTGATTGCTTTTTAACAAAATTTATGTGCAGAGAAAAAATCAAATGTAGCAACTGAATCCCAACATTTAATAATTTTATTCTTTTGTTTTTAGAATTTATTAATTATATCTAAAAAATAAAATTATGAATAATATACTAGGCAGAGCTCTTAAATTTTACTCAAGAAATAAACGAAGAATAGATCCTCATTTAGCAATATTGGGATTATATCTAACAACCAAATTTCTCGTTAGAAGAGCTAAAGCTATTATTTCAACTTTAAGTTTATAATAAGTTGATATTGCGAATAGGTATGGGAAGGGGTCATATGCACTAATAACAGGAGGAGCTGGAGGAATTGGAAGAGAATTTGCTCTAGATTTAGCGAGAAAGGGATTTAATTTAATAATTGTGGATTTCAATTAGGCTGGTTTGGATTCAATATAATAGGAAATCAAATAAATAAAGAATGACTTGATGGTGAAAACTTTATTGCTTGATTTCAGCAAAGGAGACAATGCAGAATTCTTTAAGAAATTCTAATAAGAAATCTCTAAGTTAGATATTTCAATATTAATTAACAATGTTGGAACAAATAGAGGTTGTTTTGGAATTTTCGATAGGCTGCCCATGAAAAATATAATAGAAGGGTTTAATATTAATTTTGTTGCACCCATTATGGTAACATAGGCTGTGATCAATCAAATGTTATTGAGGAATAAATACTAATCTTTAATTTTAAATTTGAGTTCTGCATCATCTTATTATCCATTTCCATATTTTTTTGGTTATGGATCTTCTAAAGTATTAGAATAAAAAGTATATAGGTTGGAATGGCTAGCTTTTTTGATGCTTTGGCATTAGAACTAAGGAACAATAAGAATATTGATATTTTAACTTTAAAACCCTACTATGTAAGCACAGCTATGATAGGACATTAAAAAGGATTATTTATTATATCACCTTAAAAACTAGTTCAATCCACATGGAAGTATGTTGGTAGGACTAATGAAATTACTCCAAATTGCGTTCACTAATTCAAAATATATCTAGAAAGTTCTTTGCCAATATTTTTGAGAAATTTTAAGACTATGATGTCTCATAAGAAAGGAGCCGAAGCAGTGACTTAGAGTTAAGAATGATATATTAATAATTATTAAATAAAAATTGCAAAAGGTAACCATGAACGAACCTAAAAATACTATAGTGTCTATGTCTTGAGTTAACTCTTGCATATGATTGATTAAAGGTCTGTTTTTATTATTTCATTATGAAGATGATCAATATACTTTCAGTTTATTTTATTGATTCAACACAACAATAGAAGCTACTTTGAGTAATACTCATCTTGTACAATGATGAATAATTAAAAAATATTTCCAAACTATGAATCCTTTAGTTTTATATACATTTATATCGAAAACATCTATTATATATGAACTGTTTGAGGTGAAGTGATGTGAGACTGTATTTTATTCAATAGTTTTATTCACCTTTTTTCGCAGACATTTTTAACATATTAATAAATTTTACTCTACAACCTATAGAATTTCTTGAAGGAATTTTTGGATTAATAAATATAATAATGAATAAAAAAATTAATAATATTAATGACTAATAATTATTGTTGGAATATATATTTTATTGTTCATTTAAATTGAATTCGGTAAACATCCAGAATGTGAGAGGATTGTTCTAAACATAATATTCAACATTTTTATTGAAAGAGCTGGAAAATTAATATCCTTTTTATCATGTTTCAGTCATGACGAAATCAATTGATTTCGTAATTAAAACCAATATAGCTGAGTTTTATAATATTTATATGATCTCATTTGTTAAGTAACTTATTCTAATTAACCTATGGCTTTAAGCGACCTCTGCAGATTGGATTTAGATTGATTCTAACTTCAATGATACTTCTATTGATGACAATAATTGGGATGTCAAGAAGAGCTGCAGTAATTGTGGAGGTGATTGTGAATAGAACTTCTAAAGTGGATAATGTGATAATTCTGTGAATTCTTTGGATTATGCCTTAATTAAAAAAGACAGAGCAAAACTATATAAGAAATATGAATATTAAAGCTTTCAAAGTTAAATAATCTTTGATGTATATTTTAACCATGCAGATAGAGATCGATCTTCAAGTTTAACTGTTGATTATCATGAAGACTCTTCGTCTACAACAAATATGCTATTTTCAAAATATTATAAAGAAGCTGATCTGACGTAAAAATCTAACAGAATTTGTACTGGAGGTCCAGATACTGAATTTGATTAATACACTGTAGTCAGTACTATATTGGATAATTATGCAGAAAAATTTTGGATTACATTCTGTTTAGATCCAGAGAAAGATGATGTAACAGTGTTTATTCGAAATTTACTAGTTTATGCAAATACTTGTTACCCAACTTGCAAAACATGTAATGGCGCAACAAAAAATTCATGTCAGTCTTGTTATTATAATTCTGTATCCTCTGGGTAATGTTCTTGCTCACCAGATCATTAATTCTCCCAAACTCTTATTGGGTGTAGATAAGAATGTGAAAGAGATTATTACATAGCTCAATCAGATAACATTTGTGTGCCTGATAGAAGAGTTAAATCAAATGTTAAGTATTTTGACTCTAATTCAATTTCCTCCTCTATGTATCCTAGATACACTCCATTTGTATTTATTCCAGATCTCTTAAAATACTCAAATACTGAACTTATTTATGATAGTTGTGATGGTAAAGATTTTGTTGGTGAAATGAGATTTTGTGAGGGAATGCTTTTAAAAATGCAAGGCATAAATGCTTTAAAATTTATTAGATTGAGAATAACATTTTATCTTTTTAGTCTTTAAGTGGACAGTAAAATAGAAATTTACTTAGATAATATACTTTAAAGTTAGATCATAGCTTAATCAGCAAGTTTCTAATATAATTCATGCACTAAAATATACTCTAAAAGCGATAATTGTGATTCTAAACCATATTCTTTAGTCAGAATAGAGGCTATTCTTAAATCGTTTACTAATTCGCCAATATTAACTCTGTAAGGAAAACTATAATAGAGTACAGAATCATGGGGATTTAATAATGTAACCATTGATACCGGATTATGTTAAGAGAATTGTAAAATATGTTCTAATTTTAACGATTGTTCACAATGTGAAACTGGTTATATATTATACTAGAAAGGTTGTATCTCTCAATGTCCAGTTCATTCCTCGAATTGTGTAGACTACGCTGATATGATACCTTGTAGTTATATTATTTAATTTAGATTCCAGATATTTAGCAAAGGGATTCTATGATATGAATATGACAAATTAGCAAGTTGCAACTTTCTTTGATTCAGTTACTAATCCAACAACTAATTTTAAAACAGGCTAAAAATTTTCATTTTTCCCCAAAAAGTTTGTTTTAGGAGGTGTCATGGTTTGGAACAATGCCAAGTATGTTAAATCTTGGGCAATCTCTAAACCTCACTATGCTGTTACCATAAGATTTAATTTAACATATGGAGATGAATTTTCTGGTAATTTTTATTACTAAATTGGAACTGATTTAAGTAGTGCCTTTACTATCCCATCTTCTGGAGGTTAAAATGTTGTGGGTAGAAATAAATAAGAAAGATCTAGACATTTCAATATTCTTAAAACTCCATTCAAAACATCACCATTAAATATTGAACTCCAATGCACAGGCGGTGATCCAGATATTCGATAAGAGTTTTGTGCTATATCAGAGTATTTTATTGTTGTACATTATGTATTTATTCATTCCAACTTTATAAGTGTCCTCCATTTTGTGCTGATTGTTCTAGTGATACAGTTTGCATTACTTGGGAATCTGGTAAAACTAGTTCATTATGTGCTTCAAATTAATTTCAAACTTTTAATTCAGCAACAGAAACATATACTTGCAACACTTGCACTTAAGTTGGCTGTCTTACATGTAATAACTTGGATGAATGTACATCATGTTAATCAAATTAATTTTCATTATAAAATGGAGTGTGTTAATGTTATTCATTCTATTACCTTTCAGGAAGTACATGCTTAAAATGTAATAAATATTGTGAAAATTGCAATGGATCTAATCAGAATAATTGCCTATCATGTGTTTCTGATTTTTACAGAGCTATCTTATTTAATACATGTGTTTGTCAAATAGGATATTACGATGATGGCGTCAATTTACCGTGTTTGCCTATATGTGGAGATACTCTTGTTGTTGAGGGAGAAGATTGTGATGATGGCAATAACAATCCTTTTGATGGTTGTCATAATTGTAAATATGCATGTGATGAAGCATGTGCAAATTGTGTATCAGGAAAATGTCTTCTATGCTAAGATGGTTATCAGTTATTATCAAATAAATGTGCTCCCATATGTGGAGATAGTATTATTGCTAAGTTTGAATAATGTGAAGACAATAACTTAACTCCTTATGATGGATGTTTTAAATGTAAATTTTCATGTTCTTCAAATTGTATTGATTGTTATTTTGGAACTTGTCTCAAATGTGATGAAGTGAATGGTTGGTATTTATAAAATGATAAAACATGTAAAACAGAATGTGGTGACTCTGTTAAAGTACCCTTAGTAGAATATTGTGATGATGCTAATTCAGATCCTATGGATGGATGCCATTAATGTGTATATTCTTGCAATAAGAATTGTGTGGAATGTATTAAAGGAACTTGTTTGATTTGCGAAGATGGATACACAATAGAAAGAAGAACAAATACTTGTATTGTTGATCATATTTGTGGTGATAATCAAATTACTAAACCTATAGAAACTTGTGATGATTAGAATAATTTAAGATACGATGGTTGTTATAAATGTTAATCCAGTTGTTAAGTTTCTTGTACAAATTGTTAAAATTATGGTTGCTTAGAATGCAATACAGAAGGATGGGAATACAATGATATTCAATTAAAATGTGAGCCTATTTGTGGAGATGGCATTATACTTATTGATTATGAAGAATGTGATGATTTGATCAGTTTGAACTGTCAAGATTGTAGATTCAAATGTTAAGATTCTTGTGAACTTTGTTATAAAGGATTATGTCATAAATGCAAAAAAGGATGGCAATTGGATAAATTTTATAATAATTGTTACCCAATATCTGGAGATTCATTAATTGTTGGTTCTGAAGAATGTGATGACTTTAATAGAAATCCTTATGATGGTTGCTATCAGTCATAATATCAATGTTAAATTGCTTGCATTAACTGTGAACTTGGGAAATGTAAATAATGTCAAAATGGATATTTTAATTTTAATAATCAATGCTATGAAATTATTGGTGATGGACTAATTGTTGGTTATGAATAATGTGATGATGTCAATCTATCAGCATTAGATGGCTGTTTTTAAACTAAATTTGATTGTCCTTAAAATTGCTCTGCTTGTGTTAAAGGAGCATGTTTGGATTGCAATAAGAGTTCAGGATTTGGCTAAGTTGATATACTTAAAAATATTTGCATTTCCAAATGTGGAGATTAAATAAAATCAATTGATGAAGATTGTGATGATGGAAATGATATTGCTTATGATGGATGTTTTCATTGTTAATATTAATGCGATTTATATTGTGATATTTGTTTTGAAGGTTAATGCTAATAATGTTAAGTTGGGTATTATCTGAACAAAAAGAAAAATCATTGTTTCAGCATTTGCGGAGATGGCATTCCTACTCATGATGAAGAATGTGATGATGGTAATAATATTTTAAATGATGGTTGTTCTGACTGTAAGTCTTAATGTCATTAACAATGTACTACATGTATTGATAATTACTGTTATGAGTGCAAAGGAATAGGCTGGGAATTAAACTCAATAATAAGGTAATGTTAGCCAGTCTGTGGAGATGGAGTTGTTATTGGTGATGAATAATGTGATGATGGCAATGATTTAGGTGAAGATGGATGTTTTGAATGTTATTATTAATGTTAGAATCAGTGTACTAAATGTTTAAAAGGCTTTTGTGAAGAATGCGATACTGTCGGTTGGTACTTAGAGTGGAATTTATGTTATCCTTATTGTGGAGATAAATTAGTTGTTGGAAATGAAGAATGCGATGATGGGAATATCATCCCTTATGACGGTTGCTACCAATGCAAGTATCAATGTTAAGAATAATGCACTGATTGTCAAAAAGGAGTCTGTT